AAAGTATACTAATTAACTAAGTGTTTCTGACCACTGAAAGCCACAACGTTAACAGTGTGCGCAGCATAGCAGAGGTCATTAACTAATGTACTTTTGTCCTTAAACCCACCACCCCATACGATGATCAACAACCACTAATCAGCGTCATTTGGCTAATCATGGGTGACTGCATGACCATAATCACACACTAGCAGACAATTTAGTCCCAGTTTTATACGATAATACATATAAGGTCGCCCCCGTGACTGACATTGTACATTCCCAACCCGTGAATCCACAGGCGGACACGTGTCGTGTCCTCAATCTCTCAGTTCCAACGAGAAATAAACAAAAGAAGGAACAGAAAATTGGACACACGAGAAGTATATATCGAGAGTCAGATCGGAATCAATGGTGGCTGGGTGTTTTAGGCAGCCAGCCTTCCATGTGAAATTGTGAGCTTGTCTGTCGTGCAAATTTTTGTTTTTCCTTTTTTTATTTGTTTTTTCCTTCTTTTTTTTTATTCGATTTATTCGTTTGTTGCGTGAACTCCTTGGAAGGAAAGGATTGAGTTTCTGTGTTGGAAATGGGAGAAGGTGAGAGGGATCTATGTCGATGATTGTCGACACGACTATGAGCTTTGGCCCATCCAAAAGCCATCCGTTATTGAAACTTGGAAGAAAGGGATAGCCAGAAGGGTAACCAATGGGTATTAGAAATTGTGGGGGCTAATTGGGCGGGCCCATTTGGAGGAAGGGACCAAGCTCAAGCATGCAACAAAGCCTGCTGGCACGGCCACGTGACATGGCTGCTGGTAGCCAAGAGATGTTTGAGCTCTACTCTCTATGTAGCAACAAGTGCAAAGGTACGGCATGATGCACGAGGTTTGATCGGAAAAATCGTCTATGAAAGTGGATATCGCTATATAAATTTATCGGTTTAAAATGAGTAAATTATAGTTATATCACTCTTTAGTTACAAAAAATAACATGTCACAGCATTTTTTTCGGCGCACTTCCAATACTATTCTACAATATTTGGTAATGACAAGATTATCAATCACATGACAAAATACGTTTTTTTATTGAGGATGCGGCCTTTTATTAATCTATCTAATTTTATTGTTTCACGGTGATTGTAAGGAAGTGGTTAAGTACCATACATGAGCCTGTATAAGATCCAGTATAACCTTCTTCCAACAACACGAGTTATTGGGACTAACTGGATTATGACATGGTATTAGAGCTGGTTTGTCCTTGAGGTCACGTGTTCAAGTCCTGACGACCCCCAATATTAACCGTTGTCTTCAAGCACATGGTATGACGGGCCTATGCAAATTTCAAGCCCATGAGTCGGCTTTCGTTTGAGGGGGCGTGTAAAGAAGTGATTAAGTACCATACATGGACCTGTATAAGATCCAGCATAACCTTCTCCCAACAACTCGAGTTATTGGGACCAACTAGTTTATGACAGTGATTGATTGAAAGACTCTTTGTGAATGTTTTATGGTAGATTTTTTTTCTTCTGCTTCCTCAGATTGAAGAAGTTAACATGAGTACATAATCGAACAAAATATATCGCAACAAGTCAAATGAACAAGTCCTATGTCACTTGGTTGTCTACAGAAGGGTGGGGGTTCGATTTGGTTCGGTTATCTGAACTGCAAAATCATTATTAACCGGAACTCGGATTAACCAATTGTCCAAAACCAAAATTGACGAGCCTTTCACATGTTTGATCTCGGTCAGCATAAGCCAAAATATGGAGAAACCATAGCCCTAACTTGGAGCTGAAGATTCTTGTCATAAGTCATAACCTTTGCTCCATCCGTGATAACGGCACACATGACACTCGATGACAGAAGTAGCCCACCACACATTCATCCTTTCTCACTGCTGCTAGTACGGCTGCCCTTCTATGATTAATAATCTCATATAACTCACAATGATGATCTCTGTTTTTCTTCCTACATTCCTTCACTGGGTATTACTTTGAAATCACCAATAACTCGAGTTGTTAGATTATTGTTAATTACAGATATTATACCACTCTCTAAAACACCACCTTCAAATGAAAGTCAACTCACGAGCTTGGAGTTTGCACATGCCCCTCCGTACCTTGTGCTTTAATTCAAGTGTTAATATCGAGAGTCGTGAAGATTCGAACACATGACCATTTCATCAAACCAGTTATCATACCATAGATACTAGTTGATTCCAATAACTCGAATCATTGAGATCAACTGGTTCTCGACAAAAGCAAGGGAGATCTGTATATCATTATCAGCGACGGAATCTAGGAGGGCGCCCCTGGGCCACGACCCAGCCCTCCCCTAGATCCGGAGCTACTATAGCCTTTGTAAATTTCATATTTAAGGTATTCGTTAACGTTCTCGTCGGGTTACAGCCAAATCCTTTCTATTTTTTTCTTCAAATGTGGCCCAGTGCTCTACCCAATACTGGATCCGCCGCTCATCATTATCATGGGTCAAGGAATAATATACAGACATGAAGACATGCTAAAAAACAGAGAGCCATCAGCCATGCATTATACTAATATTAATATTAGTACGTACAGCCAGCTTAGCGAATGAATTTTGAGGATGTGTCTTTGACTCTTGAGTGTGAGTTGAAAGGTTGGGTTTTTGGATTCAACCCGTGAATGGGGAAGGAGGGAGTATTAATTCTGTTGTCTCGGCCCTACTGCTGCTACTTACTACTGCGGCTTCCTTCCGTGGTGCTCCCTCTGTTTTGCTATTGGCCACTCACCCAAGTGCTAACCAACAACCAAGAGTCACGAGCCTCGCCAGCTTTTCAATCAAAACATACACACACGCATCATTGCTTATTTGCTTTCATTCCCCCACTCTTTAAAAAATTCAATTCCTTCGTTGTCTTTGTGTGTGCATATTTCTACTTGTGATTTGCTAATGAAAGCAAGCAGATGGAGAGGCATATATAACAGCATTTAGGCCATAAAAACAGGGGAAATGTTCTTGTCGTCCCTGTTCATCCCAATGAAAACAATCACACATGTCGAATATTGTAATTTACGATACACCATATTCATCAATACATGTATTGATTACAATGCATCATTTGAACGAACATGGAAATCAAACGAGACTCGGAATTGAGCATAAGTTTTGCACGTATGGATGCATTTGGGTTATCATTGTTATTTACTTGATTATCATTAGTTGGTTAGGTAAATTAGCCAGTATAAATTATTCGGCCTAAATAACAATAAACCTAATTGCTCACCAAGAGGGTGGCTCAAGTAGTAAGACACAACAATTAAGGTGATGTGTTCTCAACTTTATTTCTCACACCTTATCATTATGAAAGAAAATCATTTGATTATCCGAATTACACACTTTCATAAATTTGTCGAATATTCATATAAATTGAATTAGATTTCAAAGTACGAACCAAAGCCCCTCATCATCCCAATAACAGCAATTATCTGTAATGAAAAAAATGAAGCTAATAAACCCTCGTGCTCTTTTGTTAACACAAGCACACAACATAATGTGCACCCAGCGTGGTGACGTTAACCTGACCAAAAGATGTTGCGCCAGCTGCGCTTTCCCAACATTAGATGCTTGCCTGCAATTTTTTCTTCTTTCTTTTGTTCTCTGTTTCTGCATTACTCGGAAAACAGAGCATTGAAAAGCCGGCTTGTTTGACAGTGGCTTTGCCCGTAGCAAAATGAACCATCGTTAGCAAAGCATTAACGAGACTTGTACCAAACGGCAGCCTCTGTAGCGAACTAACCATTTGGCTTCAATAACTCGAGTTGTTAGGAAAAGGATAGTTAAGCCTTTTCAACCTCTTATACGCCCCCTCAAACGAAAGCCTACCTTTGTCGGGGTTTTTTATACGGTTTGCACAGGTTGAACGTATCATTGCTAGTGCTGCCAATTGCCAAACCCATTAGGCTTTCAGTTTGTACAGGTTGGACATACCATTCCTTTTACTGAACCATTATTTGCTTAAATTGGGGGTCTTCATGAGGATTCGAAACCATGACCTTTCGGTTCTAGGCTCTGATACCATGTTAGCGAACTAACCACTTGGCCCCAACAACTCGAATTATTAAGAAAGGGATAATTAAGCCTTTTTAACCTCTTATAGCCTCTTTGTTCGTCCACACAACGTCACAAACAAAGCGGCAGGGGAAGGCCGAGGTGAAACGACGCTGCAAAACCCTAACTGTACGCTAGAAGAAGGGACCAGCTGCTGCAGAACAGAACAAATTCTGTTTTCTATCTCATTCCCACTCACATGATTCAGCCACAGCGCACTCATTTGTTTTTTCTTTTCTCTTGTGTTATAGATAGTACAAGAAACTTGGTTTTTGTTGCACTCCCGTTCAGTCACGCATGGTTTGTAGGTCATGCAAGGTCCTCAACCCTCAATTTTCTATGTATTTAAATCAAGTGCTAATAATGGAAACTAAAAGAATGCAGGGTCCGACAATTTTGATTGATCTGTTCGAGATTCAACCCGTTTCGACCCGCATTATCCTACGATGAAAGCGAGTATCACTTTCGTTGAGTTCCTTATATCTCGCCTTGCTATAAATTTATCCTAACATTTCATTAACTAGACTAAATTATTCATATCAATATATCTTTCTATTACGTGTGTTAGAATGGATCGGCGATCCCACGCTGTGCGAGTATTGCCCAGCCTATCACACACTCGGTACAAGATGGATAATAATAATAATACATATTGAGCTATTCGTCTATACTTGCTCCATTGTCGACGATGTGAACACACAAATTTTTGTTTGGTCATCGAACATGTGACATGACTTACAAAGACAAGAATTCTCACATATTATACCAAATGCTAGAATTGCTAGAAAGAATTCCATAACTAGTGATCATGATACCCAGATTCATCCACCCCACTTGGTCCAGAGCTCAAACACATGTCAGCCTCAGAAAGCATGAGAGGAGGGAGGGAAAACCAAAAAGCAACAGAGACACCTTCTCCCACGCTCCAGTATAAATGAAGACCATTATCTTCCATGTTCGTGGTCCTTAGTCCTTCACCATACTTACTTTGCCTTAATTTCTCCTTCTCCAGTTTTCCAGTCACCTATTGGTTCATACCTTCAAATTCCCCTTCTCTCTCTCTCGCTCTCTCCCTTTCCGTCAGCCAAAAAAGCTGCATTGTTGTTCATTGCAATCATCCCACTCTGCCCTTTACAGATGGAGATGAAAGCTCGGGTTCTTTTCGCCATCTGGGTAGCAATGGCGATTTCTCTTCACAATGCGAGCATTTCCCAAGGCAGACATACTTTCCACAAGCCGAGGAAAGGGAAACATACAGGGACAGTGACGTCATCCCCTGTTTCTCCTCCTCCTGCTTCCCCTGTTCCTTCTCCAGAAAGTGGTGGTAGCAGCAGCCCTGCCCCGTCGGTTCGGTCCGACCCGTACCCGAGCCCCGATTCGGACTGCGTGTTCGACGTCCGGTCATACGGCGCCGTAGGAGACGGGGAGACGGACGATACGGCGGCGTTTAGGGCGGCGTGGAAGGAGGCTTGCGCCGTGGAGTCGGCCACCGTTCTGGCTCCGTCCGGTTACAGCTTCATGATCACTTCCTCCATCTTCTATGGGCCTTGCAAGCCCGGCCTGGTTCTTCAGGTGGACGGGTGCCTGATGCCGCCGGATGGGCCCGATTCGTGGCCCGACGGCGACAGTAAGCAGCAGTGGCTGGTGTTTTATCGGCTCACTGATATGAAAATCACGGGGGAAGGGACCATTGAAGGCAACGGCGATAAGTGGTGGGATCTCCCCTGCAAGCCTCACCGGGTAATTATAATATATTCTTAATTACGTAATTAATATTCTGAATTATGGAATTAATATTCAATTATCTTTTTTCTTCGTATACGTTAAAACTTAAAAGTAAGAATTTTTTTTGCTTATGGTATTTTCAGGGTACGGATGGGATTGGATCAGGATCATCAGGATCATGTGAGAGCCCTGCTGTAAGTTATTCCTTTCCCCCCACGATTCAATTGTAGTCAGTAGTTATGCTGCTGATTACTCTAATAGAATATAATAAGAGGTAATTAATTAACTGATTAGTGCTTGATAAAATGGTTCAGTTAATCAGGTTCTTCATGAGCTCAAACTTGGTGGTGAGTGGGCTGAGGATCCAGAACAGCCCACAGGTCCACATGAAGTTCGATGGCTGCCAGGGTGTGTTGATAGAGAAGCTGTCCATTTCTTCGCCCAAGCTCAGCCCAAACACAGACGGAATCCACATTGAGAACACGAAAGACGTTGGCATTTACAACTCCATGATCAGCAACGGTGAGAGTTTTTTTTTTAATTGATCTAATTAAGTTTAATTTAATTTTATAGATAATAAATATTAAGAAAACACAAAACTGTACCTACTTATAGAATGCGGCTGGATTGCGAATCCGCTTACATCAATCGCCCACTCGTAATTGTTCAAATAATTTGCGGATGGATCATTTTTAAACCGCTATTCAACTTACCCACATGTCCACACAAAACTGTAATAATGCTATGGCCTATGTATTTGTAGATACGGTCCACAGTTGTTTTGGTTACGGCCTGTTGGGTCATGTTTTGATAACAATTTTGGGTAAAAAAAAAACAGGGGATGATTGCATATCAATTGGGTCCGGGTGCTCGAATGTCGATATTGAGGGCCTAACTTGTGGGCCAAGTCACGGGATCAGGTACTTTTCCCCCTCACTCTCATCTTCTGTGTTTTCTTCCCATGTTTGGCCTAGTTTTCATCATCCTTTCTTTCCCCACTCGCTTACAAATGGTTAATCATTTCTGTACCGAATTATACCGTAGTGGGTGAAATTGGAAATTGGAATATAGTCGATAACATGTTGATGGAATACAATTATTAGATAATAATAATATACTCAATTAGTAATATATCAGTATTATATTGACCAGAACAACAAACCATGATAAATACAGCAGATAAGCAACTTAACTTCATATTACTTTGTATAAATCACAAATATATGATTCATTCTAGCATATGTATAGTGATTTATTGTATTTACCTCTTATTACCCATATATGGTAGTATTGGGAGCCTAGGAGTGCACAACTCCAAAGCATGTGTGTACAACATAACGGCCCGAAACCTGGTGATCCGCGAGTCAGACAACGGGGTCCGGATCAAGACGTGGCAGGGCGGTTCTGGGTCCGTCTCCAACATCCACTTCGAGAACATCCAGATGGAGAACGTCCGGAACTGCATGATGATCGATCAATACTACTGCAACGCCAAGTCATGCTCCAACCAGACCTCCGCCGTCTACATCAACGACATCTCCTTCCGCAACATCAAGGGCACCTACGACGTCCGCAACGCCCCCGTGCGCTTCGCCTGCAGCGACGCCGTAGCATGCACCAACATCACGCTGTCTGAGGTGGAGCTCCTCCCCCACGAGGGGGAGCTCCTTGACGACCCCTTCTGTTGGAACGCTTATGGTGTCGAGGAGACCGTCACCATCCCACCCGTCGACTGCCTGAACGACGGGGAGCCTCAAAATGTTGGGGAGCTCGATAACTATGTTTGCTCGTGACGCCTACCTGACTGAGAGCGAATATGGTTTTATTGAGCTATTTCACGATGAGTATTGATGACACGAGCCGGGTCAACACAGATCTGATCGAGTGGTGGTGTTTCGAGTTTCGAAATATTATATAATATATGAATAGGATAGGGGGGCATATAGTAGAAACTAGAAATGTAGAGGTTGGGGTTTAGGTGGTGTCGTATATGTAGAGGGGAGGACACTTCCAGGGCTATTATATGGCCATTATTGATGTGCTATTGTGGAGTTGGAGGGGACTTGTCACTACTCACTAGCTATAGTAGTTATTAGCTTCCATCATCATCCCTATTTGGGGCTATTTCTTATGATTCCCTTATTGTGCGATGAACATAAGGTTTGAGCACATGTACGTGTGCAGTTTTACTGTATTATTGTTCACTTTGGATAAAATATATGATTGCTAGTGGGCTCTATGGTCTCATTTTGAGTTATAAAATGTGGGCATGATTATGTTTGGGCATACTTATACTTGATATTGTGTTCGCATAGTGTTGTCAACATTGAATCTCAAATTTAGAACACGAGATACGTAATCATATTTACTTTGTCATTAAACCATTCCTTTCAAATTTCTCATCATTGGCTTGTTTTGAAATGTTGATGTTGTATCTGCGACCGTCGTAATATTTTATATTATTGGCAGTGGGCTCAATTGATGATCTGGTTTCATGTGGAGTTAGATAAAAGGTGATTATGGCTATATTGAGTGTATCTCTACTTGATGATGTTTTCTCAGCCTGTTATTGCCAAATTTCAAACTTCTATGAAATGATTTTAGCGAATTCAGCCTTTACGAGCTATTTAAGGGCTTGGGTAGGGCTGGCCATTCGGTTACCGGTTGCCAGTTAACCGAATAACCTAGAAAAGGGGCTGTGGGCGGTTGGCGGTAGCGAGCCTGGTCGTACCGGTTAACCGGCTAACCGACACAACTAGCCGGCCTTAAGCAAAACGACGCCGACCCTCAAATCCCTAAGGCCTCTACCATAAAATCCCTAAATCGAGCGGACCCTCAAATCCCTAATTGAGCATACCCTCAATCTCAAATCCCTCAATCTCTTTTGCGCATCGAGACCCTCAGCCATCGCCGCCGCCCGCCAGCCATCCCTCTCCTTTTCTACAACCATTTCAACCAACTTCCACTAGCAACTCTCTCTCTCTCTCTCTCTCTCTCTCTCTCTCTCTCTCTCTCTCTCTCTCTCTCTCTCTCTCTCTCTCTCTCTCTCTCCGATTCTCGGTTTTCAAGCTTTGTAATCAATTAATTTGGGCCAGGGGAAATGGAATTCGAGTCGTGGACACATCACGAACCGGCGTCGTTCCCGCCGAGGAGAGGGCAGATCAAGATCAACATCTTTAGGAGCTTCATCAAATCGGCGGCTTCCATTGCCGGAGGAAAGAAGCAGTGCCATCCCGCTGAATTGGCTGGGTGGAGGAGCGGCAGCGGCAACTCTTTCTCGTCGTCGTCTCCACCGCCGACTCCGCCTGCTACTCCGACAGGCTACTTCTCCGACGACGACGACAACCGTTAGATAGTATTGATACTGCTGATGATCATCCATCGGAATTACGAGCCGATCGAAATGTTTCTTCTTCTCTCTCTCTGCCACTCTTCTTGTGTTGTGCAGTTGTCGAACCATTCGACTACCGATCTGGCCCAAGTGTGGGCAAGTTCTGAGTTTTGTTGTGGGCCCTGGGCTTGGCCGGTTTGGTTACTGGTTCGGTTAGTCGGCTAAAACCGCATTGTCTTGTTTGTCGCGGTTACTTCGGTTAATCAAGTAACTAACCGGTAACCGACCGGTCGATTGCCGGCTAACCGAAGCTTTCCTTCGATCGGTTGGCGGTGGTAATAGCTGATACCTCGAAACCGATAACCGACATTTCGGTTATCGGTTATAACTGAACTAACCGAAAATCCAGCCCTAGGCTTGGGGGTGGTGGAGTTACATTGAAAGAAAGAAACCCGCCGCATGCCCGTGTACTGTACACGTAGACACCTTTTACTGTACAACGTGACTGAGATTTACTGTTTCAAACTGGCATGTCCTTCGGTGTGGGCTGGAGTTGGGTGAGGCCTCATTGGGATCTGGCGTGGGATTTGGCGGGCTCTGGGGTCTCGGTCGGTGTGGGACTGGTCGTTGGCTTCTGGTTGGCCTTAGTTGCGGTCGTTTGGTGGCCCCGGCGCGTGTTGGTCATCAGAGATCGATATTTGACTTTGGCCCGAGCGGGCACGCGGATCGAGGGTTTTTCGGTTACTCTGTGGGTTTTCTGCTGGGTAGGGATCGTTGAGTGGTGGGAGATCTGGCGGGTTTGGGAGAGACTGTGCTGGGAGATGGGATAGCTCAGAGATGGTGGGTCATAAGAGGGACTGAAAAGTTGATTGAAAGGAGTTGTGTTGCTCAGTATCTCTGCATTGGGGTCGTTTGGTGGCTCAGACGCGCGTTCGTCATCAGAGATCTATATGCTGCTTTGGCCCAGGCGGGTGTGTGGACCGAGGCTTATTCAGTTACTTTGGGTGTTCTACTGGGGAGGGATCATTGAGCGGTGGGAGATCTGGCGGGTTTGTGGATGTGTGGATGAGATTGACATGCCTGGACAGTGGGGAGGTGGGTCGTTCGAGAAACAGAAAAGGGTTTCCTGGATACAGAGAGATACCTTGACATGTTTTTTCTCTACTGTTTGAAAAGACCGGGTTTTGTTGTCTCTGGGAGGCCTTGGAAAGTCCTTGCGTTGTTCGACGCTGAGAGAGGCTATTACTGTTTTGTGCAGGCTAAGGCATTAATTAATTAAGAAGATCTGTTTCTTTTCTTTTTCTTCAGCTTGGTGCTTAAAGAAAACTTTGCTTCTCTTTGGCATGTTACTCTCTCGCCTTTTGTTATTCACCTCTCCGGCTTCTCTCTCTCTCTCTCTCTCTCTCTCCCTCGGTGTTCTCTCTGCGTTTGGAATTTTCATCTCTCTTCTTGGGAGAAGGAGGAGTTGAAAGCCACGAAGAAGAAGGTTTGAGAGATCTGGAGGAGATCCAGACCCACTGTGGGACAGTTCAGAGGTCTGGAGAAGATCCAGTTTCGCAGGTTTTGTATTCGTCCCAGGTGATTTCTCCGTCTCTCTATGTTGAGTTTACTTTTCTCTTTTTGCAAGTCTCTTAATCGTTTGGATCCTGTGCTTCTGTTTGTAATTGCAGGTAGTTGAAAGGCTGTTTTGTGTTCAGTTTGCTAACCATAGTATTTGCCAGTAACCTTTGTTGATCATCATCAAAGTTAAGATGGTCATTAATCAAGGGATTTGATCCGTTGTCAGGAATCTCCGATTTATCGATATATAATCACATCTTACTTTCATCTTTTTGTTTGAGGGATTGTTGGTGATTTCCGGAATCTTAAATCGAGGATTGTTTTATGAGTTGTGTGGATCTGATAGGTTTTTTGTCATTTCGATGAGGATGAAGGGGTTGATTGGATGAGGATTGAGGAGCCCGCCATCTGCTGTTTCCCTGCACCAGTGAGGATGAAGAATGCGTCGTCTGTTTGCGCCTACTTCTGACCAGTATAGGATACTGACTGTACAGATCGGCAAGTTTTCATGAAGTCTTATGCTAAAGGTCGCGTCCACTCCCTGTCTTTCCCTCTATTTTTTTTCTTCTTTTGCGTTTTAGGTTTGTTGTGAATTGTAATCATTGTTGTTACATTACCACCTTTGTGGGTGTCTACGGTTTTTTTGAGTTTGGACCGGATTTTCTGCGTGGTGCTTTGCGAAGTTGAGCACGTTGCCCGCGGAGGTCCGATCCTTTCCTCCTCTTTTTCTGGCTGTATTTTCTCGTATGCCTTCTCCTCTCTCTGGGCTTCTGATACGAGACAGGGATCTGACTCGACCCTCATTGAGAAAGAAATGGAATGTCAGTTCTTGGTGGTGGTCTCGAGACGAGAGAGGACTCAGAGGAGAAAAGGATTTGGCTCGACTCTCCTTGAGAAAGAAATGGAAGGTCAGTTGTTGTTGGTGGTCTCGAGACGAGAGAGAACTCAGAGTAGAGAAGTGGCTCCAGTTCCTATCGTGCTTTTCTCAATGTTATGCTTTCAAATTCTTTGAGTGGAAATGGTTCTTGCTAATTTTTGGGGTGCGTTTGGAGCCCATGAGTGATTACGTTCTTTAGTAGGATTAGAATCCACTCTTACTATTTGTTGGCATTCTTCTCTGTAATGTATTTGAATGGCGACCCATGAATTATTGCATGGTGGCAAAACAGGTGTTGCCTTTGCAATTGCTACTATTTTGAATAAATGTATGTATAGAGAATTCCACTTTGGCCCTTATGTGTTTCTAGATGGGGTGCTTTTACCGATAGGGTAGATGGTTACATTTGGAGGGCGGAGGAACAGTCAGATCTAGGAAGTATTAGTGTATCTAATGAACCTCTTTTGTATAAAGAAAGTAGCTAGGTTTTTGTGAGAAGGAACAAAAGATCTATGTATAGTTAGTGTACGTAGTGTAGTGGTGTTGTTTATGTATTTTTATGATGTCGTATATAACGTTGATTGCCTTGGTGCACATCTCTCTCTCATGTCACTTATCTTTTGTTTGATATTCAGCTTTTGCAAGTACAAGAGGTGCACTATTGAGTAGCTTGCGTGTTGAGTTTTTCCAGTGTTGTTCATGGATCAATGACCAAGGTTTCTATCCGATTATGGGTTACAACGGTTTTAGAATGTAGGCAAGAAAAGAGGAGCAACCAGTTGATGGTGGTTGTTTATTTTAACAAGAAATTGCAGGTGGAAGTCATTGCTTTAATTTGGAATTGGACATGTTCCAATCTGTTGCCTAATATATGTGTCTGTGGATAGTCATCTAAATATCAGAACAAACTGACCCTAACAGCACCAAATTTGAGGAACATATAGCCATAAACGAGGAACCGAGTACAGACCATGTTCTAAATATACAGCAAGAGCAAACTTTAGTTTAATTGTGTGGTATCATCTGGACCATTGACAATGTTAAAAATGAATAAACAATAACAAACTGCGGTTACATGATTAAAGTGTTATCGAATGAAACATTTGTGTTCTCTCAATTTGCAGATGTTACAGGTTGCGTTGTTCATCTGACGATTCCAGGATTTCCAATTAATGGTGTTCTTAGTTTTGAGCTCATCATAGAAGACATCAGGTTTCTTGCATATTCTTGTGCTGATTTTTGTTTGTTAGACTTCATGTGGGATTAACTGATCTTTTGCTATTATGTATAGAGGGGACAGGGCGACAGTGTACTACTCTGGAACTGAAGTTACAAAGTATTTGGAGTTGGCAGGGGAATCTGAAGCTCGACTTCCTCTCATTACCACAGTTACTGCTGTTACAAGGCTGCCAATCACAGATGCCACTGGAGATGCATATGTATTTCAATCTTCACCTGGAAGTCGTCTGATCATTGGTTCTTATAATCACCATTATGAGAAGATCATAAATATGTATTATTATATTCGAATTCAATGTTTATATATTGATAGACCTGCTCTATTGGATGCTAGAAAAACAATACGTACATTCTTTTTGTTGTTTAGGTTCATAGGTGATCGAATGCCAGTGACTTATATCAATAGCACTTCTCGCTGCTCTATTGGTTATCTTCGTGGTCTTCTTCCTCCCAAAAGAACCCTAAAGCAGCTAAAGGATGATATAATGTTCCATGCACAGACCTATCAGGTATATGTATGTTTTTTGTTGTTTTGATTGTATTGGATAACACATATCCCAAATATATAGTCATATCTTTTACCTATTATAACACAAATTCCTTCCTTCAGGCTCTCTTTCGTTGTATGCTGGAAATGACAAGATTTACATACGGTCCAGAAGTCTTTAAATCATATTCAGGTTTTCCAAGGTATGATTCAATTTTATGTTTTACTAATAATCTGTTGTCCATTGCATTTCAGGAAGATCAAAACGTTCCTTTAATTGTTTAATTCAGGGTACGATATGAATTACAAGCAACATGTGAGTGTGAGGGAGAATATGTTGATGTTGTGTTTGATCATGAAGCTGTGTTGGGCTTGGTTTGGGTGTCACCCGAGGAACTTTTTGGTCTAACCTATGAAGAAGGATATCAGTACATTCAAGACAGATGTTATGTGCCTTTTATGGCTGAAGCTTATGTTGCTCCTGGGACTTCAGAAAATCCTCCTGCAATCCGAATTGCTTCAATCTGGAACCCTAATGCTTTTGTGTGATTAGAAACTGTTCTACTTGGAACTTAGTTTGTCGGGACGGCTTATTTATAATTATGTATGTTATCTATTCAGGACATGTTGCTCTGTTTTCTGTAAAAATAACTTAATGTTTTCCCCTAACTACTCTGGTATTTTGGAAATTTACCAATGTACCCGCTTCGACAATTTGCTAGCCGCTGGTTATTCTGTTTAGTACATATGGAAATCCCTGATGTTTGTATCTCAATAATTTAGAGAGGTTAATCTTTTGATTTGATCATGAAAAACTAGCAGGAGACATTGTTTGCGTTTTGAATTCTGGGCATGTTCTTCATGTTCTTCATGTTCTTGCAGAATGACACAATAGAATATTTGATCATGATCCTTTGATCGAAATTAGCAGGAGACATTGTTTGCGTTTTGAATTCTTTGGCCTTAAACGCTTACTAAAACCGAGCCCACGTTTTCTTACGTTTTGATAATAATGGAATGGTATTGAGCCCAGCCCGAACATGCTTTAGGATTGCAGACAGAAGCCCATGGGAAACTGGCCCAAAATCACCGCTTCCTTTATAATCCCTAATAACTGTCTTCATCAACCAGATCCGCCGTCCACATTTCCATACACTTTGCTCCGCCGCGAAAGCCCCACCACCGAACTACACGACAGCCTTTAAAACAAAGGTAACTCCACGTCCTCCTCTTCCTCACCGTTTTCACACTTGGGAATTAACTTCTGATCATCATCCACATTGTTTTCGTAAAGACCCCAAAAGACATGGAGGGTTTGGCTAAAAAACAGCAGTCAACAAAGGACGCTCACATGGTCCCCACCGACAACAAAGGTGAATGCTTTCCATTTTTGTTAAAGAATACTACCAGGTATCTCGAATCCTCTGCTCCAAAGATAAAATATGTGTTTCATTTTCCTATACTGTCTTATTATAGTTCCGATCGAAACTTGCATGCCATTTCGAGGGTTGCGTCTGGGCACCAACGTTCGCATAGTAATTGCTAGGCCTGTGATGGAATGGATCGAGTATCGAGAGGCGCCTAAGCTTAAAAATCTTAGCATGCACATGATCTGGATAGATAAAAATGTTTTTTTCCATTTCAGTAACAGAATTAGATAATCTCTTCATCAACAATTTTAAACTACTATAATACATAATTTGGAACCGTTTAACTGCTTATCTTATAGGCACGACTAATCGAGTCAATGGTTGATGAAAAAGACATCGCCGAGATTTCTCGCAAGATAAAAGTCGGGAACCTTTATCAGTTTGATTCGGTTGAAGCAATACCAGCAAGAGAGAATCCAAGGATCGTTGCAGGAGAGTTAAGAGCGCACATAACCGCTGATCAAAAAATTACCAGGATTGAGGAGGACCCAGATGAGCCACGCTTGCCCGCTGGCTGGGACATTGGGATGGCTTTTTCGATGGTACCACTTCAGACAAACACCATCGACTATCATACAGGTACATTAACCATATCTATTTGATATAATAAAATGAACTTAAGCTTTTAAGTGACAAACTCTTATGTTGCTTATAGACATCACCGTATGCATTAGGCGTCTCAGTGTTCCCACAACTATTCGCAGTAGACTCAAAGAATTTCACATGGTCGTTCAGGATGTGAGGTACATTTTGTAGAATAGAATCTCGATCTGCGAATTGTATGAATAAACAACCTCACATATTATTGTCATTGACAGTGGCGCTAAGGCAACTGTTCGGTATCGTGGATATGGTATACCGAACTTCTTAGAGAACGCCCCGACAGCTGAGGCTCATCTGCCTCTGATTGTTACAATCAAGTCTGTCATTCGGGTGGCACCGCTAGCCGACCAGAAATACAAGTATCGGTTCGAATCCACTCCTGCCAGTGCACTCAAGATCAGATCTTATACAGTCCCATACCAGGAGATAATGCACATGTACATTTATTTTGACAGAATCCTTTCCATTTTTTGAATCATATTTGTTGCCAGTAGGCCAAAACCAATTACATTGACACTTTTGTCTCTTTTATGCTACAACCAGTTTCCTTTACAGCCGCAGGCAAGTTTATTTCATGGATGCCAATACCAGCAAGAAGACAGGCTGCCTTCGATCAGGAATCGAAAAGAAGACACTCTCTGACATGGAAACAATGCTTGCATCTGATCAGACTGTCCACAAGGTTAGTGAGGGACAGAACATAAACCAAACTCCTATACTGTGTACCTACATTTTTCGTAGACCTATATCTTATGAATATCTGATGTTCATGCTAGGTACTCTATCGTGTTAAGTTCTTCATCTCACAAAGGAAATTTCGAAAAGCCATATGTCAAGCGACTGAGGACTGGCCAGAGTAAGTTTTCTATTTCAAAACAACAATTACTTCTCATGTGAATGAATCTATCTACGAATAAGCCAACAAGTTTCTGAACTTATACTTATGACTAGGCTGCACTATGAGTTGGAAGTCAAATGCGAGCAAGGAGATGATAGTGTTGATGCCATACTGGACCACGAGGCTACACTATCAATAATAGGAATGTCACCCAGCAAATACAAAAAACTCGATGCAGAATCGGCCAAGGCATTACTGGTCAAAAGATGTAGCAGAATGTTTGCAGGAGAGCTCTACATCGGTTCCTCATATCTGAAGAACAGAACCAGAACAGCCGTATCCCAAATAAGAGTCGCATCACTTTGGCATACCTCAAGGATAGATAAGTGACCATCAGCACTACTGACAGAAAGGAAGGCCAACCGAAGTATCCCATCCACCCCCAGAATTCTCCATTTTAAACTGACGTTTCTATTCCCTATTTTCAGTGAAGACAAAACAATGGCAAATGTGTTTGTGTTTTTTAATTTCGTCAAGGGCATCAGATACTAAAGTTTTTATTCCCTATTTTCAATGAAGACAAAACTATGGCAAATGTATATATGTGGTGTGCACAAAGATTGTTAATATGTTTGTTAATTTCTGCGCTCTCTCGCGCAATGAATCTAAACTATTTGCGAATGGTATAGCAGAAAGAACATAATAAAATCCACAAAACAACTGGAGTCACACTTACCCCGCTGCGGAGCGCGGGCCAACTACTAGTTCTCACTTCTCATTAAATCAATCCTTTTGAATTTATCATCACCAATGGTCAATGGAGTTGTTTTAGTGTGTTGTTATTTATAATTGTGTTGGCTGATACTACGGTGCCGCTAGAAAAAGTGCGGCACCGGTGCCGCTCTTTCTCATTGGTCCACATATACGGTAACGTGGACTGGGTGGATTTACTAAACCCATGTCCAAACCCTATGGCCTGTTCGAAATGGCCCAAATCGGCAGTTGTCCACCCAGACGGAAAAACATAGCCGTCTGATGCGCATTGTCCGTTTGTTTTTTGACTTTGTCCCTTCTTTTCATTGTTCCTTCTACTTTATTTGGTTTTCGCCAGGGAAATATAAAAAAAGAACCCAAAAGCACTTCTGACGATTTCCTCCATCGTCGATCGAATCTACAGGGTCTCCCAAACGTCTCCACTGAAATCCTTCAACGTTTCCTCCTATATTTCTCCTGTAAAACAAAGGCGAACAAATCCCTCGTCTGCACCAGTCTCTGTTTCCGTCCAACTGTGTCCCCGCCACAACACTAGACGGTCCCGAGTTGAGGAAAAAGAGAGTCGTTCTACCTCTGCATCGTCCCCCTCGCTCTGGGACGTACTTGTTGGAATCGTCGGAATCAAGTTCCCGGAGTTGCGGGAGCGACTCTCCCCACCGAATGGCGTCGAAGTAAATCGAGTAGTGTGTATTGAGGAAGTAGGACAATGATTAGGATCTTTTTAGTTTCGTAAGTCATGGATGCTGCAATGGGAGGCTCGGTTTTCTGTTTTTCGTTTGTTTTTTCTGGGTTTATCGACGACCAGCAGGGCGTTACATGCTTTGTTCCTGTTCTGTTGCTGTTTTCTCCATCCCTCTTTCATCTTCTGTTTTATTGGAGAAGGCTGTAATTTGTAGTCAGTTGATGATATTTGTAATGTGGCGGGTGTTTTTCATCGTACGTTTAGCAGGTTTTTGGCGATTTGTTGAGTTAGAGGTTGTGAGTTTGTAGTAGTTCTTGTCGTGACCTTAGCTTGTGGGGATTGTTTCGTTGGTTGCTTCATGTGGTTGGACCCAGATTATATTTTTTTCTTATTTGTCTTTCCTTCGGATAGTTTGTTAATCTTTTGTTGTAGTGATGTAGGTGCTCCTCCATTGATCGGTTTCCTACAATTGCACAGATTCTCATGGAGTTGGACGATGCAGAGTCCCAACTGTTGTTACAATCTGCCGAAATCCGAATCACTGCCTGCTCAAGTCGAAGAAGGACATGATATTATCAACTAGACAAGAAACTAATGAGCTGCTAGAGTAGAAGCATAGAACAGTATCAGTCTGAATTTTGTTCACACTCAATAGATTAACTAATTAGTTGCTAGTAGAAGAAGCAGGGAAGACTACGAACGAGACAAGCAGTTTATACATAACATAGATTGACTGTATACACAAAACTTTTCTTTCCTTTATCTCTTTGCTCATTTCTCAAGAAGCGATAACTGATAAGAATTTCAAATGTTACCCTTCTAGCTAACATATATACTGCAACTGTTCAGAGCATCCTATCATACTCTCTAAGCAACACAAATGTTAGAGCTTTTCTATATAATTACAAGCGAACTGCCCTAGCTCCTGCAACCCTGCACAAACTAGCAGTAGAACATGGTCTTCTTTAGATTCCCTTAATGCTTGGAAGCGGCTGGACTTCATTCAACATTCCAATTACCATACATTCTCCTCATGAACTACGTACCAACTGTTCTGCCTCCCTCTATCTAGGTACGATCTTGAAAAGCATTCAGATGAGCATAGTATAGTAGGCTGGTGGTACTGCAAATGTAATCATAAAAGCTCTTAGTCACATCCAGCGTAATAACAAATTTACCTACTTCAAATGTTAATTCGATCACCAACCTCGCCACCTCGGTCAGTTTGAAGATAATTGACTTACATACAGAGCAGCTCAAATATGTGAAACAAGACCATGAGACAGCCATATTTATATGATAGATACATTTGCAAATTAAAAAGGACAACAGGCCTACATGAGGAACCAACGAACTACCCATTCTAGAATTATTTTCAGATTTATATCCCCTGCATATTCTACTGTAATCAAACCATCAAACAGATATTCAGAAAATAAAACAAAAGGCAAAGAATAAAACACTTGCACTAAACAATGACTTCCTAATAGTAAGCATGTACCTCTCGACGATCCTTAACAAGTTCATCTTGAAGATTCTGCAAACTTGTCTCATTTTAGATTTGATCTTGAGAAGCACCATCTCTTAACATTTCCCCCTCTTCCTATAATGGTAACGGAAATGAGAAGGCGGAATAAGGCTTCTCCGTCACTTTGGGCAGCCGGTGGTTTGGGCCAGTTCGCATGATCGTAGAGTTTGGGCTGATTTAATAAAACAGAGCAGTGCCACATCACTTATATATCCACCAATCAGAAACGGCTGCACCGGTGCCGCACTTTTAATTGCGGCACCATAGTATCAGCCAATTGTGTTGAGAAGCAGTGATGGGCCTAAGGCCCTAAAGAAATTACGAAGCCCAAAAACACGGAGTTAAGCGAACTATGAACCCAATGTCCATAAACACGATCACCTCGAATAATGGGCCTCAAGAAAACTATGAAGCCCATAAACACGTGGCCTCCAACAAAGAGCAGGCCAAAGCGCGCTGGGCACCTCTTGGTCTACTCCTTTCTGCCGCCGACGGTGACCTTGGCGATTTACGACACAAAAACACTTGCGGACACCAGACCAGTCACCGCCTCCGAGTCTGCAGTCGGCGATCGCCGTCACTCCTCGCCGCTGAGTACTGCGTTTCAGGTTCGATCTTCCTTAGCCTGAGAGCTATATCAATCGGTCTGCCTCCTCCTTCACTATTTTTTATGTCTAGCTATCCGATTGAAAAATAGGAAGAGAGGAGCCAGGAATCCTAACAAACAACTGTGTTGATTTCGGTTCTTAGCAGATTAAAAGTGAACAATGCCGTCTCTGCAAACTGCATTGCCGCCTGAACTTGCCAACAACGTTCTTAGAGTTGAGTATCATCATTTCAATTCATTTCCTTTTCAATTCATTTGGCCTTCAAAGTATCATATTTCTGGGTTATGGTTTCGTTCTGATTACTGGCTGGGAAAATCGGAGCTGCGTAATAGTGACGATGGAATTGGTTGTGTTGCAGCTTTACAAGGAATGTCTTCGAAGAGCCAAGTTCGTTGGTCATCAGGTAAAACGAAAAAAAGCCTCACCCAAATTTTTCCTTGTTTCCTGCTGCTATGGTCATTGCAATGAATTTACCTATGGTGGAAAATGGCGCGTGTTTGAATGGCAGCAACACAACACGGCGTTGTTGGTTGAAATGGTGAGGCAGCAGTTTAAAAAGCACAAGCACGAGACCGACCCTGACAAAATCCAGAAGTTGAAAGACGAGTGAGGCTACTTAAATTGCTAGACTCTACTGTTCCATATTTAATGTATGCCTCAGTGAATTCGTCGATTGATTCTTGTTGTGCTGTTTGTTTGGATGGCAGTGCGGCAAGAGGACTTATAAACCACATGCTCTACGAATCTGAGAAGATGTCTGGCCGTAAGTTCAGCAAGAGCGCTTAGTCTTTTCGCATCTTAGAAGGTTGTTGTTCCTTGGTTTTTGCTGAGCAAAGTTGCTGTCCTTTAGGTATAGAAGAACAGATTGAATAATAGGAAACGAGTTTTCTTTTCTGTATCCTCGTTGTTTCACGTAACCTTTGCTTGAACAGTAGTGTTTTGATGGCTTGATCATCTTCCACATGTTGTTTATGTGCTGTCTGTTTGTAGATGTAAAGCTTATTCTGGAAATGGCCAATGGAAGCCAGTTTGTTAAGATGGATCAAACCATTTTGGCGATCTCGCTATCTTCTATTTTGTCCCATCGCTTACTTGTTCCCTTTGCCTTAGAAGCAATCAAAGTAGCTGAATTTAGCCTTGCTTAGTTGGACAGAGGTGGGCATATTAAGGTATGTAGAGCTCGTCCTGTTCTGCGGAAGCTTAGTATAGTTTGCAGGCAACTGGGATCCTTAATATTTGTTCCCATTGTGAAATGTTGGCCATTGAGGGAGGACAAACACCAGAGCAGCTGTGGCAAGCTGCTTCTGAAATCCTTCCCGTTCAGTCGTCTTTTCTTTATATGCCACTAGTCTTTCTATCTTGGACTTTGTTTTTGCTCCATCTGCTGCCATTGGCTGCAATGCTCATAACAAGCCTGGAACCAGTAATTCATGCAAGGTATATTAGGATTCCATTAGTTCATCTATGAATACACCATTGAATGTATTTAAAATGTCATTTTGACGGATACAAAGTGCATCATCCCGTTCGAAATGCTTGTAATTTAGAAAAGATATGTGCAGAAGGTTATGTATCGCCTGAAACGCTTGTACTCCCGGAATACGTTATTCAGTAGCCCTGCGTCGTCTACACTCCACAACTAACAGAGACTGTATATAAGCTGGCACAAGCTCTTCCAGCACAACTGTGTCTCCGAGCAGTGGTTTAGACTGTAGCAAAGGCGTTCGGTTAACATATTTGATCGTTGGAGCTACAGTACACAGCACAGGTGTGAACTTAAAACCTTTAGTCTACCAAGTGAAATCAGTGATCATGGATTAAAGATTGTGTTCATTAGAGATGAGTTGTTTTAACAAATGAATGAGAATGAGGAGCATTTTACATTTTTCTTATGCCCCTTACAAAATTCTTCAGCAGCATCACTAATATCTATGTACTCCGCTTCTCCGTTTTTCTGTCAGTAGGAAGTAAACCCTACTACACCTTCTTTTCTACCCAGTTTTACCCAAGTGCGAAGGTTTTGAAGTAAATGGTCCTTTACTCGCTTGGCGAGGGCTCAGATCCCCTCTGAAACGAGTCACACTTCCTCCCCTATCTGCAACTTGAGGACCCTCGACAGTCTTCAACTCTTCCGATGCCAATATCGGGCCACTGCACGCCCGTTTTATCTCGCCTCTGCCTCGTGTAAATATCCCATCCAACATCTCTCCATCATCAGCGAAGGAAGCTCTCCTGCTCAACATCTCTATGTCCTGTTATGAAAAATCAATAGCAACACGTTAACGATCATCCACTTGAGACTGAAGCACGCACTCAAAAACAAAAGATTCCCGGTTATTTTTCGTTATTACAGTGGTCGAGTTGAATGGCATTGCTGGAATCTCTTCATATTCCGCTGCGTCCAGATCTTGAAGGTGTGCTCCTTTGAAGAACTGGGGCAGCATGTATTGCCTCACAGGGACCAGAAGCATGATCATCAGAGGGAAGAGAACTCCAGCTATTGGGATCCATGTGATACCAAAGCACACTAGCAAATAACCAGCTTGGAACAATGTGAACATTATTATGGTCTTGAACGGGACGGTTTCCAGGAATGTGGCATGATAATCTTCCAGCACTCTGAAACACAGGAGTTGGATGTATAAGGAAGAAGAAGAGTAAGCAAGTGAGGGAGAGAGGTAGAGGAGAGTTTATGAGATGGATTACTTGTATCTCCTGCTAGGAGCAGTGAAGATGAGCAAGATCCTTTCCCAGAACTGGTTCCCTGGCAAACTTTCGATGGCCATGAATGCGAAGTAGCCCCAAAGCACTGAAGTCGGGATCTTTTTAATCAAAGGCATGGCACCAATACATAATCCCACCATTACAGCCTGAAGCAAGTTGCTTAGACGTTGTTCTTTCACCTCGATGGGCAAGAGGTTGTCGATCTCCTTCTCAATGTCGAATACTGTAGTGTCAACTGGGGCATTGAAGCTTCCCAGTCTTGCAGCCATCTGGAGCGTCGAGTCTTTCAGTTCCTTCAAACCCTGTTTGGGGGCAGTAAAAAGAAAATCTCAGTTTACAGCAGATGAAGGAAGCCAATTGCTCCAACTCTCAGGTACAAATGAGGACACACATACAGGAGCAGCAGATCCCGGGGGGATCGGTGGGCTTTGAGCCTGTTGGTAAGCCTCTTTCATGCTTGCATAAACTTGCCCCAAGCTAGCATTCTCACTCATGCGCTTGCGTGCTGCGGCCAAGAGTTTTCTACGAAGCAACTGTACCAAAAGGGCGACACACTAATGTTAAACGATGTTCGAGCAACAGTTTCAGTAATTTACATAAAAGGTCACTCAACTTTGGAGTCTCTGGACTTTGATTAAGAGTCATCAGGGTGGATGAAAACTATTGAAGCGTTGTAAATTGCCATACCTGATGTTTTAAAGTAGCCAGACTCCTCGTATGCATTGGAGATTGAGGGATGACTCCATTAGCTGGAGGGATTCCGAGGAGACCACACAGGATGACCTGACATTGTTTCATTTTCAGTCAGAATAATTAATACAGCATCTAAAGTGACGCAGTGACCCATATTCTCCTTAAAACATACCATGAAACCAAGAAGAAGCAAGTCATAGTGGAAAGAGGGTGGTTTCCTCAAGTTGAACTCCTTCTGCTGAGCTAGCTGAGATGCCACACTATGATCAAAGTAATATAGCACCGCTATCATGGTTGCTGGGATGAAAGCTCCGACTATGTATAAAACCGGGACATCAAGCATTTCCTGTCAAATATTATCAAGTAAGCAATCGGAGAATCATCCATTTGAGAAGGAAGATCTGTGGCAGTAAAGTTTTGTTGGAGTAGACTATAGGTAGGTAATACCTTTATCACAGTCCAGTTCTTGTAGGCACCAGCTGACCACGGGTTTGGACTGAAGAGGCGTCTCGGGATGCCTGTCGGAGCAGTTCCAGTTGGTATGTAGGAAAGTCCAGTCCATACCATGACCATTAATGGTACACCATAATCAGCTAGGAAGCCCCTCACCCAGCCTGTGGTTCAAGACAACTTTAAATACAGGATCTGCAGAGAACGGAGTTGTTGATATGATGGGCAAGGATTCAAATGGATATATACCTGAACCATATCGCCAAGACCTTGCTTTCCTGCTTTTCAAGGCAGTCAGCAGAAGGCCAAATGAAAGGACGATGGCAAACATTCCATTTGCAAATCTCCATGATAATTGGAACTGAACTGCATTCGGGTCTTCTCTTTCCGGTATCCGAAACTCATCAATGAGTCCCTGCCAGATCCAGCCAGGTAGCAGGTTTAGAAACCAAGCTCTACATATAGCGGGCAGAGAGAGAGAGAGAGAGAGGAATGAAACGAGTTTTGATTTCTTACTTTGATCGCCTGCTGCATGAAAAGCATGGCTATGAGAAGGCCAAACAACTCTCCAGCAAGACGGGTAAACCTGTTGATTATGGAGCATGCTCCTAACACAGAGAGAAGGAAGAGCAAGAGAGCAGTCCAGACGCACACCCTGCCCCATCCACAAGTTATCAATTGCTTTCAGTAAACCTAAAAGAAAGGACCAACATGGTAAAAAAAGGAGCAAGTAACTACAAGTGAATACCAGCTGGTCCAAGCTAGATAGAGCTTTGATCCCAATTCAGGTCTGCTGTTGGCGAAATTGAACATGAAAGTGTACATGATCACGGTGGGCTCTGCGACTCCGAGGATCAACAATGGCTGACCTCCTATGATGGAGTGAATGATTCCACATACTGCAGTGGAAGCCAATGTCTGAACTGCGGTGAGAGCCCCATCTGTTCACAGAAAGAAACAAGACATGGCTTCAAAGTTGTCATCTTTTCCTCCATTTTCTAGCATATCAACATTAAAACAGGATGAGATTGAAGGGTACGTGGCCAAATCAAGTACCTGTCTCTCTTTCCAATTGTTCTCCAAAGGAAATCACTGGGATTGCAGAGGCGAAGAATATGTAGGTAGTTGGTGCCAAAATACTGGGAGCAAAGTCACAAAAATCCAACATAAATCCACCACTTCATAACACAGATATGAAATGCAACTGGGCAATAGGTGTTCATCCCAAAGTGAACATGGATCAATGGTACCTTAACCCAGAGCTGAAACCACCCGTCCAATCCTTCTTGTAGAAAGCCAATCTTCCCTGGAGGTCGTTCTTGATTCCTCGGAATGGTACAAAGCTTTCCTCCATCGCCGCCAATAAGTTACAATGAGCCGACCCAGAAACCAAAACTGGGTGGAAATGAAACGAGTCTTCACCAGCTCAGTTCAGGGCAGCAGTACGGATGAAGCAGACGACACTGCTAGCATCGGATGAATCAGGGAGAAACAGAGACGGAATCTGCATATCAATGATGAAGTAGAAGACAGAGCTACATCAATGTTTGAAAAGAAGCAATAAGTTTTACAGAGAGAATGAAGATCTAGAGAAAGCAGACACAAGAATCAGAAGAATGAATGCAGCAGCAGCATTCAGTATTCAGTATTGGAGCATTGCTTACCGCCCAAAAATTGGGATAAACAAACTTATTTTGTTCTCCTTCTGCTGCTGCTACTGATTTGTGTTTGTGGGTTGCTGATAGAAGTAATAAGATGCTAGAGTTTGACAAGCTGGGATGGGGATGGAAGCAACAATGCAGCTTCTTCCTTCCTCTTCTTTACTGGCTTAATGGCTATGGTGGTGTGGGTGCGTTAAATCTGGTCCATTCTCTCTTCCCTTGGATTTGCTGCTTATTATTAACAGTACTGTAGAGACGCGGTGCACCACACCAGACGACAAAACAGGACAGTTCGTGCATGAGACAAAAGTTGGGTTGGGGAAGTAGGAGTAGGAAGGGGGCACCGCAAGCGAAGAAGACATAGATGACTGTGAAAACCGCAATCCTTAATTGATTAATTACTTAATCAAATAACAAATCTAAATCTGTAAAGTGTGAAGAGAGGAGGGGTCAGGAATTCTGGTTTGATTGTGCTCCTTAATGATAATAATTTATTCATTGTTACATTACTTAATCTCCATCACCCCATTCCTTCACAAGTGCTTGTGTTGTAGGACGATTCTCAGGATCTCATTAGAAGTTATAAATTATGAACAATAAAATATAACAAAAGACGCGTGACATACGCCAGAATGCCCGGTGCCTTTTGTCCCTCATTAGTTAGTTCCAAGACCAAGAATAATAACCCTACAGCATTCCCCAGTAATAATATTGATATTATTATTATAGCATACATCAAGTCTCAAAATTAACTCTAATTATTTGTTTTAATAATGTCAGCTGATATTATAATTATAATAATTAATTCATCCATTTTGACTTATAAATCTCTTCTTATAATCATTGTTCTGATTCTCCTTATAAAACTAAACATACAAGTAAATCATAGCTTATTTTTTGATAACTTATAGTGACGAGCTGGAACGGCCGTACAAACTCCATTTGCTACCACACATTTTTTCTGTTAATACTTTATTGTTATGATCCAACCCACTGCCGTTCTCCAACTTCAGAAAGCAGGCTAATACTTAAAACGAGTTAATTACTTTACTTTACTAATCTCCCCACCGCTGCATGCCTGCTTTAAGCTTTCTTCCCACCAAAAGGAAAACAGAGAAGAAAAGAAAACACCGAAAGCTTTAATTGACAGATGGGGCAAAAGAGTACCTGGTTTGGTCAGGTCTCTGGTGGGCCCATTTGGGTGGACGAGTCCAATCCTCTTCTTTAATTGCTTCTTCCAACCTCCAGCCCAACCGCGGCAGTATTCAGATGCCAGCTGTATTACCTTGTGAGTGAGCCTTTGGCATGGCTGGAGGATTGTATATTTGTATGGAGCCTTTGAACCCCTAGCGACCAATGACTCAATGAGTAAGCCCAGCCCAACTAAACACAGGCCCATTTGTCTCAAACACTCACGCAGCATTTCACCCAGCAGCTGAGGAACTCCACAGTTTACCAAGCTCAGCTGCCTTCGGGAGAGTCAAAAGGATTCAAATGACTGCACAAAGACAAAGTCACGTATCATCTCCTCATACTTCTACGTTTAGGAACTCAACATACCTAGCTTATCATTAACAAAATCAATTTCAGTCATGGAGAAGTTCAGCTGTAATAAGTTTTGTCGCCCGTTCATCCACAACTTCATCAAATATATATCAGGTTCCTACCAAAGAGTAAAGAGTCGCATGAATTAAATTCAGACCAGGCTATACTTGAGCAATTTAGGTACCACTTTTGGCAATGTAGACACCAGAAAACCGCTAAAATGAGGGAAGATCCCAGCAGTTACCTCTTTAGGTAGCAGCATTGTCGTCGAAGATGCAGAAGGTCCCCCTCTTCCTCGTTACCGAGCAAGTTCTCTAACGAACCTGGTGAGTGAGTGGGATCTATAGCCATCTGAGCATTATAATCATTGCAGAGCATGTCAAACTTCACAAGGTACTCACCACCACCTGGATATTCATCAAGCAAAATAACAGACAATAGATGCAGGGGAATAGGTTGCATCAACTAACACATTGGAAAGATATATAGGAGACACAGTGCCGAGGTTGGTGCTTACAGAATGTTCCATGAGAATCTCCAACAGCAAATCAACATTGTCTTCGCCTAAAATTAGAAGAATTGGTCATCAGAGAGTTGTTAACTCGGAAATGTCAGCAAACATACCATTTTCCTGAAACACCTGATCAACAAGCAAAGGTGAGAATCCCACAACAGCGAGAAAGGATCTCGCATGGCTTTCCTGACGAGCTTGCGTTGTTGTCCTGCAGTATTCGAAGTACAACGAAGAAAAAGGAAACAAACTATGAACAAACAAGTTGTCCATCAAGTAAGCTACACAGAGCGCTGTAGTAGCCAACAGATTGAAACATGCACATTCAACAAATTGAATTATCTAGTGAGATTGGCAAGTGTTGTAAAAGAACGTAAAGACGCACCCCAACTTGAGAGTAGACGGCATCAGAAGGGAAGATGAAATCCAGAACCTCTGGCTTCAGTTCATCCAGTTCGTCATCTCTGGATAATAAGAACTCCCGACGTTAAGAGTAATTGCTTGGTTTGCCCTGCTCGGGAAAGCACAAGGTGAGCAAAAAAGACATACAAACAAACGAACAAAGAGGCGGAACTGCAATTCCTGTCCCCAGCCACCGGCGCAAAAGGGCCAAACCAAACCATTTGGAAGCCTTGCGTCCAAGCCTCCCTAAGTCCAGATTCTTCTGCATGTGCGAATAAGAACATCACCGCGTCGGAACGCGAACGCTAAACCAAACGAATCCAAGTTCAAGTAGCGTGGAGAAATCAAACCACGAAGAATAGCTGCGAATTTTACTCAATCCACTTCCGCTTTACAATCATAGTGAGATTTCCAGGTTATCGCGATTGAGGGAGCCAAAATCAAAAGCATTATCGAGGAATTACCTTAGTTCGGAAGGGAAGAATCAGCAGCGACAGAAAGATAGGTGCCGGAAGATATTGCAAGACGGAGTCGGCGACGGAGTATCAGGACGTGTTACCTCCTCACCCACCGGCAGGAGATATGCCGATTCTGGGTGAATTACGCCGGAGGCCTGAGGTGTAGAGGAGCCTGAAAAATGTTTCCATTTTCCCCTTTTCCTTCTCTTCCGAAAAGATTTAACTGAGAAACCGTGATTCTGTTCATCACATGGCAAGGTAGAACCTAAAGAAAACGATTCGGATTAACAATTTAACCAAGGAGGAACTAGAGACAATACATTACAATTCTTCTCTTTTTTTACTTTCCTTTTTTTTTTTTTTTACTTTTCCATATATTCATGATAAAAATTGAAAAAGATACCACATTACAAAGTAACTTTCATCGCTTCTGGGAAGGCAAAAACAACCATCGAGAAAATAATGAAAATCGATATTCTCCCACCAAAGACAATTAGAGAAAAATGAGAAACAGTAAAAAAAAAAAAACAAAAGCAACGGAACGCCTGATAACCACGGTCAAAGCATACGCCCCCAGCCTGAACCACTTCCCACTGCTACATCATCAGGCGCGCCCCCTCCAAACCGAGAATGGTGTAAAGTGTGCAACTCTGAAGTTATACAATGAATCCCGCTGTGACAAAAAAAGAACTTGCAAAACCCCTTTACCCCGCCAAAACACTGTTACTGCCAACCCCAAAATCAATCAAACCCCAGCAAGCTCTTTAGACTGCATTTTTCTTCGAAACACAACCTCCTTTCCCGCCCTGAAGAGCCCTCGAATCAGGTGGAATTGTGCCAAAAGTTAGAACCCCAGAAGACGCAGCAAATCCATTGACTTTAACTGGGACCGTTCCTACAGTAACAACAGTAGCAGCTTTGCCTCCAGCAGCTGATACAGTTGGAACGGGCTTTGCGATGGACTGAGGCTTCATCGGGTTTATACTGAGGGAGCCAATCTTCAGAGCAGTAGCTGCTACTGCACCATTGTCTACTTCAGCAACTGCAAGGTCAGACGGATGACTTCTGACGGTGGTCGATTCGGATATAGCTGCAATTTTTTCTGTACCAGATTGTGCCCGGGCCTCCTCTGAAGCTGGTTTATCATATTTACTCGGGAAGATCCCAGGTAGACTATTGAGTTTGAGAGTGGGGTCCAATGAAGCTGCTAGGAATGGAGTTCCAAACCTCTTAACTGTAAACCTGGTTTTCTCTTCTTGCATGATTCTCTGCCGGTGCTCGTAGTAGGTGAAGTCATCAAGTAACGAAGTATCCACAACTTGCCTTTTGAAAATCTTCAGCATCTCCAGGCCTTGCTTGATCATTACCTGCAAAAAAACCATAGAGCTTGTTCAGACAAGTTTCCATAATAAGAAACCCATCTTCCCAAAGCTGAAAAGACCAAATAGACTTGCTACAAAACTACTTATTTGAACAGAGATCTCACAATACTGAAGAAGCAGTAAAGCTGAAGGCTAACTATCAAGGAACTTAAATGTTGGTATACCTCTTGAGTGTCTCTACTATTAGTCACTGGCTTATTTTCATTGTTCTCCAAGATTATGTGCCTAAAGCTCCCATTTTGTACATCTTTAATCATGTGCCACTTCACAGGGAAACTACCAGACCATTTATCTTGCTGCCAAAAATCCATATCCTTTCTGAAGTTAACTGGACCAATCATCTCAGCAACACCACAAAACTGTCCACTTGCATTAACCTGTACCACCAAATGAACACATTAATAGAGCAACTTATGATGCATATTTCTAAATAGGTGACAACTCACTACCATGAACGAAGCAAAGCTTACCGAAAAGAAAAGGAAGATGGGACAACTACTAGCTTTCTCTGCAGCCATCTTCTGTGCATCTTCATAGGCACTCTGCAGCTTTTTGTTCCCATGAGGAGTTGATGACCAAACGTTGTATTTGATGCTCTTGTGAACATCATCCTCGCTATATGACTTTATCACAAAGAACTTTGCACAAGTGTAGTCAACTTGGAAATCATCCCTGTTGTATTGATCTGTAGAAATTATGATATTCCCCTCTGCATTAGAATCACCTACTTTGGCCGTGTACGCTTTGACAGCTAACTGAGTTTTTGACTTGGTTGTTCTAGGTCCACGATTCTGCTCACCCAGTGCATCATGGCCCCCATCTGCATCATTGAGGGTTCTGCCAACATGGACATTTGATCGATTCTTATCCATGTAGGTTCTTCCATGAGAATTTGCTCCGAACTCAGAGAGGCCATTGTTGACAGGGGGAGCATGTTTCGGCTGGTTCCGTTGAGGTATATATTTTACCTTAGTTGTGCTATCAATTGGCTGCATAGGTCCAGATGCATTCCTGCTCTGTTATCAGTACATCATCGATACAAAAGAATGTGTGAGAATAGTGTCATGGTGAAGAATCATGTACATTAGGTCAGACATGACTACAAGTAACAGGCATGTTCTCTGTAACAAATAAGAAGAAAACCACAAATTACCTGAAGCACACGTGTTGCCGCTGTCTGATAGCTACCAGAAGAAACATTATCATGCACCAAAGAATACTTGCTACTTCCATTGTTAGATCTAGGTCCCTCAGAAGCTGGTCTTGCCAATGAGTTAGTCTGATTGCCAAATGATTTAGAAGGATTCCTAGAGAAGGATGCAGAAGATGATCCATGCCTTCTTCCACCTTGTCCACTATTAGCATATACAACCCCAGCATCAGGAAGGGGATCCACCAAATTGCTCGAAGAAACATCGCCTTGAACAAGAACAGGGACGTAACCAGCTGAAGAAAGAGAGTCCTGGTATGGAGGCATGGTATAGCCTACATAGGAGCCATCCACTCCCATCATGGCACCAGGTATGTAAGGATTGTATGGGTTGTATGGTGACTGTGCATATCCATAGCTAGGTGTATAACATACATAAGGTAAATTTTCAGTTTGTGCACCCTGAAAAAGGTAATAAGCAATTCATGAGCAATGCACTGGAACTGAACAAAAGAATTATCAATCAACGGAACACTCACCGCATACTGAACTTCAGGACCATCAACGCCAAAAATCATGTGGGGGTCCTCCCATTCGCCAGGTGCTTCAAATCCTGAGTTACATTAAAAATGCATGACAAACAAGTGAGTAATTATAGGTTAAGCTAGCAGCACACTCCGAAATTAAAAACAGAGCGAAGAAATTACCTGTACAGTACCAACTGTAGTTGCTGGCGGTAGGATAGTACATTCCTTGATGAACATATTCAGGGGCTCCTCCGTTGTACATGGCTTCAAATTGTTCAAACACCGGAGACGTCAATACAGGGTCAAATCCAGATTGCTGAATCTAAAGGCAACAACAGGGAGTGTGTTAACGAAGCAAAGATCCACATAATTCAAAATAGCATAATTACCAGGTTAAGGTGAAATAATAGTGCACAACAAAGATAACAAGATGCAGAAAATGAACTGCAAGAAAATACCAAATATGTTTCCGTGTTTGCATTTCCAGAAACATTGTACATTTCCATTCCCAAGCTCCAAGCCCTGGATAAGCAAATGAACCCAAACTTAAGCATGGAATGGGAAAAACCACCAGAAAAATCAAAGCGACTCAATCAGATAGCCAAAACAGTCAACCAGAAGAACACAATCAGATATGCAAAACAATTTGCACGAACCAATTCGACTACACAACAGTGGCCCCAAAGGAGTGTCGCTCTCACGAGCCATAGAAAGGAAGAATAAGCAGAACAATAGAACCTTCCAACTCGAGCCAGTGCCTAGTACCGGAACGAAGCAAGACAAGCACTAGAACGGGAACACTCGTCCAATTCAACCGACAGCAGCCAAACCAACTACACAGCCCGAATATCATTAACCCCAAAAAATCAGTGGAAAACAGCTCTGGCGAATCCCCCAATCAGGAACACCTAAGTTCAAAACCCTAAATTAAATACGAAGGACAGAAGCAGCCATCACAACAGACTTATAACTCACGCTGCAATTCCCGGCACAACGACTTAGACAGAATTCGTCGAAGAGCTTCGCAGAAGGATAGGATTAATTACCAGAGAAATAGAAGATGGAGAGGAAATCAAGCCACGGTTGAAGCAGACCGCTGCTGCAGATAGAGATTGGGGCGGTTGGAGGGCGGATAAGTTGGTGCTGGGACCATTGTTTTCCCTTCGTTTTCTCCTGGTTTTCAAAGTTGACACGACTGAGAAACCCTAACCCTAGAAGAGAGAGTGTAGAGGGAGATAAGGAGGGATAGAGGACGGACGGAGACTTTTGGAGAAAAGGCGGTTTGGGGTGTGCGCTAGGAAAAGTAGAAAAGAAAACACAGAGAGAGAGAGACGCGGAAAGCGGGGATTCGGATTCGCACCACCAAATACGAAGCGTTTCCCTCCCGTCGTCGCGGTTCTTCTATTTTCGTTTCGGTGAATTTCCTGAATCGCCCTCGAAGGTCCGCGGGGATAAATGGAACGGTGAATCGGCTTGTCGTTTTGGCTGGCGACGGAAACGGACATTTTCGGGAAGAGCCCATATTAGCTGTCAGTATCTGGCCTTTTTCTAGAACGGGCCGAGTTAGCATTCAATGAGGATGAGCAAATGCAACGCTGGCCTGCCAATCACAATATCCTGTTACGATAGCCTCAATTTTTTCCCCCAAGATATCCGTATCAATACTGTTTTCAAAAAATAACCAGTTAAAGAGAGTCACATGATCGAAAGTAGCAAAAACATAAAATCAAATCCTACTAAAAAATGGGACAAAGAAATGGTTTTCTTTGCCATTAAATAGATAATCCTAATACATCTACGACCAACAAATCTAATCTCAAATTGCACAAAAGCACTACGTAAAGCTAAGATTTCAGCCAACAATGCCCTACCCCCGAGCATCAACTATATGTCCACCCCACACATTGTCCAAAATCACTTGTGCATCCACTGCAAAAATCATGAACACCATCACCCTCATAAAGCACCATCTAATCACATCTAACACGATTAACATCCACAATAAATAAATAAATTAGAGATCCCCGAATATAGAGTGGTTGAAGCCTTTCCACCACGCATATTGGATCCTGCAAAATCCATCCACCGACTCTATGGGACTTACTACACGTAGCACCATCTATGAGCCTCACCAACCCGCATAACAGGGGAGAACCACTAGCACTATGGTTGGCTGCACCCATGCCCCTAAAGACCACGATGAACAAAAGCAGTTGCTATCTCATGTGCAATATCCCAATCTGCAACCTAAAAGTGAAATTGAGCAACCAAAACGGAAATAGTGTATTGTGTGAAGTAAAAAATGACCCAATTCGAGGACGCTAAATTCTCCAGAACACTGCAACCACCCCCAATTGCTTCCCATGATACACATTCTATCTCAATCTCTCTCACACACACTCAATATCTTATCAAACCAAGCTAACTGTGCATTTTGAATGAAAAACATGGACGACAAGATAGAGGAGAGTGTTTTATTATATAGTTATATGTACTTGACAATTTTTTACTTATTAAACATTTACGATCATTTTGTTACTACATCAAATCTATATGGCCACTTAAATAAATTATCAAAAATTCAGTGAGTAATTTGTATTAGTATATCAAACAAAAAAGTAATATGAGTTGAGTCTTCAATTATCATAGCCAGTAACTTCCGGCTATCGTGCATATCACGTTACTTGTAATTAGTAGTTGCTGCTCCTATTTCTGAGTAGTAGTGCTCCTTATTTTTAGCTGAGATAGTTAACAACCCTACATATATATCAGTTCGCACTTTCAATGAGAATGAGAATCTCAACTCCTTCCCCTCTCAACATTTCCCTCTAATTCCATAGAACGGCCATGGAAGCAGAAGATGCACCAGCTTCCGAGCTGGCTCTCGCCGACACCAACATTCACTGGGACAGGTTCTTCCGCCGCTCTTTCCTCCGCGTCTTACTTTCCGTCCACATTTCGTAGTAAATAGTATATGATCCATAATTAAATCTATCGAGTAATGAAATCGTGACGAATTGTTCGTTGGCGTGTGTATTCAGGCTGGACAAGACGAGGTTCCACGTGATCGGAGCCGTGCTGCTCACCGCGCAGCAAGCATTGCTCCATCCGACGGCGGTGGTGAAGACGAGAATGCAAGTGGCCGAAGCCGGGAGAGGGTTTTCCGTGTTCAAGAGCATACTAAGGAGCGATGGAATTGCAGGGATTTACAGAGGTTTCGGGACTTCTGCAATTGGATCGCTGCCGGGCAGGGCTTTGGCACTGACGTCGCTAGAAGTCTCCAAGGACGTGACACTGAAGTACCTGGAGAAATTCGACATGCCGGAGGCAACCAGGCTTGGAATTGCAAATGGAGTTGCGGGGATGGTGTCGAATCTGGTTTCTTGTGGCTACTACGTGCCTCTGTATGTGGTACGTCAATCAACCAAATCGACTCATCCGTAATATCCGAAAATAAAATTGAATTTTATGGGTCATAGCGGATTTGAATTTTGAAAACCGTTGCATTGTGATTGGGTACGAGTTTTGATTAGTTACAACCTGAAAACCGTAAAAATATTCCTGTAATCGCAAATTTCTTACGTTAATTGTTACACATATAATTTGTTTACATAGTTATAATTGATAAATTCTAAAGTGTTCGCTAAAGTGAAATTTTATTTTAACACTTGCATTTGTCTTGTATAAATACACATTTAAATGATATTTTATTTTATTATTTCATATAACAATCATATAGATCGTATGCTTCGTATTAGATTATTAAAATTATGAATTTTATTCTCGTTTACTGGATTTTGAATTTCCATCCAACCCGCGACCCAAATCGTGACCCAAAGAAACACCTAGGATCTTGATTTACCATAATTCAACCCGTGCGTGACTCATTGATTGGGTGGTTAAAATGCTCGAAACTGACCCATTTACACATCCCCCTGCCTTCCAGGTGCGACAGAGACTAATGGTGCAAGGGCTTCCAGGTACAACAGTGTGTTACGGGCCATTCGACGCCATCTACAAGGTGATCAAATCCGAAGGGTTTCGAGGTTTGTATAGAGGTTTCGGACTAACAGCATTGACACAATCCCCATCTACTGCTCTCTGCTGGGGTGTTTATGGCGCTTCACAACACCTTATCTGGAGGTGTTTCCCCCATTAATCTTTTCCTTCCATTTGATCATATCTACTGTTCGAGGAAACTGTGCTGAACTGTTGTTTCGTTTGTTAGGGGCTTGGGCTATGGAGATGAATTAACATCGAAGGTGGAGAAACCGTCTCATGTTGAGATGATTGCAGTTCAGTCGGCAGCAGGGATGGTAGCAGGTGCTTGTTCGTCGGTGATCACTACCCCAGTGGACCTGTCAAGACGAGACTCCAGGTAATTATCAGACACATGGTGGGTTTTTTTTTATCGTTTGGTTTCTTGTAAATGTGCAAACTGTTAGTGTTGTAGTATCTACACATAATATAATACGTCGAAGGGAAAAACGGGAGCCCCATTTCAAATTTCCTGAAACGAGAGTGAAAGTAGGAAGGACATTTTGGTCTTCACAATTACTTTTTTTTTATTCATTAAAAAGACACGTACTGGGATTCAAACCATGACCATTTTAAAGAAAAACAAGGATAATAACCAATCACACTATGCACATTTGTTGTATCTTTTTAAATTAGAAACATATAATAGCAGGGAGGAAAAAACCCTTTCCCCATTTCAAATTCCCTGCTCCATGAGCGTTTGTAGGAAGGGTAGAATAGGGAGTGTCAATTTTTTTTCTCTTTCCTCTGTGGAACGGGCCAACTTACCGTACACATGTGAATTTAAATGGGCCCATGAGTGTCAATTTTTTTTTCTTTAAGCCCTTTTATTTCTCCGTGGTGACAAAATATATATGAAAAGGTAAAAATAATACTCCTTTTTATTGTTAAAAATAAAACATTTAACAATAAACTAATGCATGGTATCTAATGGGCTAACCGCCAACCATAAAATAAAAGAGTTGAATGTGCCTGACCTACATGAGATTTGGCCATCAAGTAAAATAAATGAACATCATTGGTTTGTCATTCTAAAATAAACTAATTTCTCTGACATAATATATATTATGCTATTATTTTATATCTTAGTGGCTAAAATATAATGTATTTTAAAGTTATTCAATGGTTCAACCTCGACCAACACAATTAGTCCAATTTTTATCATTTCAAATATATATTTTATAATTATTTGATATCATAATGATCAAATTATAGTGTATTTTATAGGGAATCGTTTGGTATTTGTTAGTAAAAAATTAAACATAAAGATCTATTTGGTTATTTTAAACATTATAACGATTCTAAACATTTTCAGTTCCTTTTGAATTTTTATGGTTTTATTCCCGAATGAGTGATGTGCAAATGGCGAATTGTAGTCGTCTCTTTTCTTTCACTATTTTTTATTTTCAAATAGAAAGTTTAAAAGTAAAGAATAATTAGAATTTGGCATGGGTCGTCAAACAGGCTGAATTTCAAGTTTTGGCCCGTTTGTTTTATGCATTGCAAATTTATTAGCATTTTGATGGAAATGGCTTGGAAAAAAGACATATAAGTTGTACCTTTGCAGAAATGTCCTCAAATGTTTTAATGGTTTGTGAATCAAGTTCCGTGACTTTTGTGATGGTGTATGTGCTTGACAATTGCTCGATGTTGTAATTGCTTAATTTGAGAGTAAATCTTTTGATTTTCCCTATGAGTTGTGATACCAGTTCTGGTGGTTGCAGCATGTTGTCGTTGTTAGCCTGTAAAAGTTGTTCCGCCGTGGTGCTAAATACCTTTCTTTCTTTTTTAACAAATTGTGTAGTAGTGCTATGAAACAGACCACCCATGAACGCTACGCTTATTATAGTCTGTTCTTACTTCCGGTGGTGAGAAATTGTGAATTGAGAATCATATTCGCCTACCGCACTGTGTCTGGCTGGTGGCTGCTTACTGTGCTCTCTAGAGTTATGAAACAGACTACCCATGAACGTTTTCCTTAAGAGTCCATAACTTTTGCGAAAAACCAAATTTAGGCAATCAAAGGTGGTGGATGTGTGATGATTTTTTATGGCTTAATTGTTTGTGAATTGGATATCTGATCTTTGTATGATTGGAGGGGATGTTTGCTTAATAGAATAATCCATTTTAATTCATGTTTATTTTTAACATGAACTTTAGTAACTCAAAACCTTCGAGACACATATCACCTACTGCATTGTATCATTTTGCCTGGGTGTTTGCTGTGTTGTCAAACTTCTTTGTTGCTGCTGCTTTTACACTAACAGGGGAGTTAAGAACCCATGAATGTTTCCGTTTGACACAAACAGGAGGACTTGCTTCTAAATCGTGCACTAAAGATGATTGGAGGAAACATCTCTATTGCAGTTGATATACTGGAGACCAGAACAAAAGCAATGTATAACATCAAAACCAACCATCTGAACTATTAGCATTGTTGCTTTACTATTTTTTCGTGGTTGAGTCTCCTTCAAAAAATTTAGTTTGATTTTAGAAAATTTTGCTTCTGCAGTCCTGTCTTGCCACCAACGCGTTCAGTAGATGGAGATGGCAGAGGCGAAGGCTATTTTTGTGTTGTTGTTGCTGGTTTAGGGATCGGTTTGTGAAGAAGAGGGAGAAGAGAGGGGGAAAGGGAAATGCAGGAGAGGGGGGTAACTCTTTTCTCTGACAAAAATGGAGTGAAGAAAGGAATTATGATCAGTAAGGATATGGTTATCTTCCATAACGGTCTCTATTCTGGTTTGAATTGAGCTTGGGAGGCAGTGATAAGGACGAGCTGCAACCAATTCATAGTGAGAAGAGAGCTATGAACTGTGATCATGTCTTATTTCAAGTTAGAAGGTAGTTTCAGTATAAGGATTATTTAATTTGACAAGTTGTTTCGTCCATGATTCTTGGTAGTTTCAGTGCCATTCTAGCCATTGTTTAGTCTGTAATTTTTGAGAATTGATGTGCGAGTAATGACTTTCACTTAGCTTCAACTATTATGTGTGTATTTATTGACATGTGATAGAAATCTCTTTTCCTTTTCTTTGAATTCAGTTTCATACTCTAATTGTATCATTTGTACATAGGCAAATCATGCTCGAGATGACAACTCGCTGATAAGGCTGGTGCAAGGAACGGAGCCATCATTAGAATTCATACCGACAACGGGGAGGGATGCCCAGGACTAATTCAATGATGATTGATGATGGTATAATAAAAACTGCAGTCTGCATCAACACCAATTTCTAGGCCTAAGTAAAGTTATTCAACCCAGAACTCTGCTTAGCGCTAAAAATTTCCCTCACCCAACCTTGATCCTGTTTGACCCACTTCTGAAGAGTCAAGATATATGAATATGACTAATCCTCTCCGTTCGTATTTTCTTATTGACTCTTTCTGACCCTTTAGGTTGGGGCGGGTCGGGAAGAATTGGATTAGTGGGTCGGTCCTAATCAAGTGGAATCCCAATCCCTTCACTCTCACTTGCTTTCTCTCCTATTCCACAAGTGGGTAACAAACAGTAATCCGGCCAACGGGCCGGGTAATAGGCTAGTATGATTAATGACTGAACCTATCCCAATAATTCGAGTTATTGGGATCAACTGGTTCTTGACATGGTATCAGAGCTTTCTGTGACCGAGAGGTCTAGAGTTCGATTCCCGGTGACCCCCATTTGTTAAGCACATGATATTCTTGTCTTCATACCTGTGTAAACTTCAAGCTCTTGTGAGTGGCTTTCGTTTAAGGGGGCGTGTTAGTGTTGTGGTATATGATCCACGATTGAACCTATCCCAACAACTCGAGTTATTGGGATCAACTGGTTCTTGACACAAACTTAGTGCGATTAACTATGGTTTGGGGGTGATTGGTGAAGGTGATGGACAACTATGGTGGTGGGAGGCCTTCGGTGATGAAGACGGTGAAGAACCTTGTTGAGGAGGATGGATGGTGGGGTTTCTATAGAGGGTTTGGACCGCGGTTCATGAACATGTCGTTGTGTGGCACAACCATGATTGTTACGTACGAGCTCATAAGTATGTACACCACTACGTACACTACGTGGTGCATATGTCTTTCAAACAAAATTTTGGTGTATATATTTTTCACATGTTGCTCTCCTTCTTTGGACAAATTTGAGTGTGTTAACTTTGTTTGATTTTGTGGTTTGGAGCAGAGAGACTTTCGGTAAAACAGCAGAATTAAGATGGCGACGCGATCAGATTTCAATTGCATGCCTAACTCGACCATATTTCTTGGATGGTTCGTTGTTTTCTTTGAGTCACTAGAAGAAAACTTGGCTTTGGAGACAAATAATTAGAAACAAATAGTGCATTAGTCTCTATATCTCATTTATGGCGCAAATGTATTATTTGTCTCTCTATCTCATATGATTTGTCTCTATTTCATAATAGGAATTTTTTATTTACATAAAATAATAGTTTTAGAAGCAAATATAAGTGTATCCTAAACTTAAGTTATATAGAAACAAATCTAACAACTTCTAGAGACAAATACAAATGTTACATATAGTGTAGTTATACAGAGACAAATGAAATGCTTTTAGAGAGAAATATAAATGCTTTATAATTATGAAAAGATAAAATGTGAATACTATTCCAATCCCCTTTCAGAGATAAATATAAATCTCTCTCGTAGATAAAGTTTGGCACAAGAATATATGTTAATTTATTTGAAAAACGAAGTAAAAGGAAAGGAGGATAACTAAGGATTATCTTTAATGACAATAATAAAAAAGGAAAAAAAAGTGGCGTGGGTTAGATTTTTAAGGGTCATGAAGAACTTTTCTTATTATCAACAACAACACCACGTAAAACAAAAACTTTTCCTCCCTCTATTAGTGGCATTAATTAATTTAAGGCAAATCTCAATCGTTCAGTACTCTAATCCCTACCGTCCATTCATCTACAAATAAATGAAAACCCTAGAGACTATCTCTTATTTCTCTGTCGGTCGACTTGCGACTTTTAATCTTCCTTCTCGTTTCTTGTAGTCCTCTTCTAAATTATTCTTTCTCTTCCTTCTATTCTACTACGCACACTGCATAGTTGGAGCTTTCTTTCTGATTTTTTATTTATTTATTGTTTTACCATTGCTATTGTCAAATCAGATGCATATTTTGCTGATGATATCTTTAGTTCTATCGTCGATGCAACGCCACCTCCTGTTTTCTTTCTTCGACATGAGTAGCAACCTCTTTTCCATAATTACAATCGTGCATCGGCTTCTTTTCCACACAAAGCGCCGCCGCTTGTCTTCTTCTTGCCTGAAGAACTGCACTGTTGCCGCTTCTGTGTTCTCATCCTCTTAGAGTACTTATAAACTTATAATTAGATCTGTTTGTTGCTGTATATACGAAGGGGTAGTGAAGACATATATATGATCCACTCCCTATAAAAGGTATGTCTATCTTTTGTTCCTTACTTCTCTAGAGTAGTGATTTTTCTTTTTTCTTTTTTTGGTGAAAGAGTAGTGAATTTCATTTTTCTGTGTGTAGGTTAATATATTATTTACTGTATATTATTTTTTTAATTCCTATCTCAGTTTTGTTCTTGATGAGGGCTTGTGGAGGTGCTTAGGTCAAGGGAAGATGATTGAAAGAGTTGATGTTGATGTCAACTGTGAAGCAGTGAATAAATGGATGAATATAGAGATCGATCTTGATACACTGTACAACTCAACGGCAATGCATATTTTGTCCAAAATAGTCAACGAAATATTCTAGTTATTACCAACTGTTTTGTTTGCGGAGTATGTATGTATTACAAAGTGTATTTTACTTTGTGCTTATAATGTATTCTGCGAAAGGAAACATATGAATAATATTTATATTTATTTGTACAATTTATAGTTATTTTTCGATCAATCTTATTTATATAATATACTAATAAATTCAATCAACAATTAAAATCTTGGTAGTGGTCCATTGAGATCTCAAGTACAAATAACGTGTGCAAATATAAACTAGCCCATAAAATTAAGGGTTAATACCTTATTATGGCCTGAACTATGACCATGTAATCAACTTTGGTCAATGGTTTGAGAAATTAACATCCTGGCCCGAACTATGCAGTATATAGACAGAATTGGCCTGGAGCATGGTTTGACCGTTTGTTTGGACGGTCAACACCATTGACCGTTAGTCAACTGTCCAGGTCACTGCCATGTCACAAAAAAAATAATAATTTCAATTTTCTTTTTATTTCCTTTACAAAATTAAATAATAAAGAAAAAAAATAATAACTTTTGGCCACCCATCCCCATCTTATCCCCTCATCTTCTTTCCTTTTCGATCAAACCCAAACAAACCCTATCTTCCATTATTCTTCTTCCTCCTTCTTCACCGACGACCGGCCTCCATATCCGAAACAGCTCCGAGACAGTCGCAATTAATTGGATTAATTAAAAGCGGAGCAACCCCCAAGCTCTGATCACCTTCTCCGGTTTAGTTTCAGATGTACGGAACCCGACGGAGATAAAAAAAAAAAACAAAATCTGAAACAGAAGATTTATGGATACTATTTACATGTGCAATATTATGGAAATTTATTTATACAAATGGAGTGATGGATCTTCTTCTTCTTGAATCTTCCTCCTCTGGCTTCGAAATCCTCTGCTTGGCTGCCTTGAAAATTGCCTAGAAAGGGAAGGATCAAGGATCTGAGGACGGTAGTTTGGAATACCAGAATCGACCGGCCGATTCTCACTCCCGAACAAAATTGACGAAAAAGAAAACAGATGAGAGAGATGAGTGTGGTGTTGATTTGGACATGTAGACCCCAGGGCGCCATCCGTCAATAATTGGATCTCTCTGTATCTCAAATACAGATCTCCAATCTTCATCGATTAATTCTGGTCGATGGAATCTCCTCAACCGCGGCGGTCACTCAACAGATTTCTTCAATTTTTCTTCTCCCGAATCTGGATTGTTTTCAAGAATCGTTGTAATCGGATATTAAGGCGGCAGGTCGTCGGGAAAGAAGGCAACTGTTTCAGATATGGAGGCGGCGGGTACTCGGAGAAGAAGGAGGAAGAGGAACAATGGAAGATAGGGTTTGTTTGGGTTTGATCGAAATGGAAAGAAGGTGAGGGGATAAGGTGGGGATGGGTGGCCAAAAGTTATTGTTTTTTTTTTCTTTATTATTCAATTTTGTAAAGGAAATAAAAAGAAAAATGAAATTATAATTTTTTTTGTGACCTGGACAATTGACTAACGGTCAACAGTGTTGACCGTCCAAACAAACGGTCAAACCACGCTCCAGGCTAATTCTGTCTATATGCTGCATAGTTCGGGCCAGGATGTTAATTTCTCAAACCATTGGCCAAAGTTGATTACATGGTCATAGTTCAGGCCATAATAAGGTATTAACCCTAAAATTAATTGCCTCCAAATATACTTATTAGAGACAGATATATATGTCTCCATAAAATCGTTTAGAAGCAAATGTATTTGCCTCAAAAACTTAAATTACAAGCAAATGTACATCCCTCTAAAAATAAATAAGATTATGAAAGTATACTTTAAAAATAGAATTAGCATCAAATATATTTGCCTCCAATTTATTAATTGCTTCTACGTCTGCCTCCAAAAGGAATTAGAGAAAGAGGCGTCCGATGCAAATAAAGTATTTGTTTCGATAGATGTACAGAAGCAAATAACTGTCATTTTGAAGCAAATAACCTTTGTCTCTAAAACTAGGTTTTCTTGTAGTGAGTCTCTACCGAAATAATTTTTTAAGAATGATAAAATAAAAGGGGTTATGTATACTAGCTTTGTATCTGACTCGTTCAACGATTAGTAGTCTTGTTAATTTATATTTCATAGCTGTGTTTTTTATATTAGTATTTGATCATTCATATGCAACACACCATGAATTGAGTGTTACATAAAACTTCATATCACTTGAACGATATAATTGTGACTTTGAAAAATCATTACATCTGATCCAAATTTACGAAATGATAGTAACTTTAAGTTTTTGACAAATGAATGCATGAAGTTCGCAAACTTTTAAAACATTGTGACATTTGGTATGTACCAAAGTCCTAAATTTTCTTATTCTCCTATTACTAATATTGGAGCCTTAAAGTATATTAATTGAAAATACTTAACTGATTAATCGATTTGTAATCTCATACAGGTGACTAAAATAACACGTGAAGTAGACACTACAATTAGATCCAAAATAACACAGCAACACATGCATAGGCGGAGGCAGGGGCATTAGCCCTTGTCACGGGACAGGGGGCAAATTTTGGAGTGGAAAAAAATACCCATATATATTTATATTGATGATGGAACAAACAATTAAATGTGGTATTATAGTATTTTATCAGTACAATACAACTTATTAGTGGTTCATAAATGGATACTATTAGTGGTTCATAAATTGGTTGTTCATAAATTAATAAAATTAATTTATTATACTATAAACAGACTTTTAATTGCAATAAAGACCTAATAAAATCTTTTTTCTTCTTATGTCTATTCGATTTCCCCCAACAATCCTGAAATTTTTCAGCGACAACGACAATTCCACTAGTTTTGATTCTACCAATTTGCAACTACAAGTGCAGAAAGAACATTTTCAGCTTTGAGTTATATTAAGAACAAGTTTTGAAGTCGAATTGGCGACCAGTTTGCTAATGATTATTGAGTGCGATACATTAAAAGAGACTTACTTAACATTGTAGACAACAAATGTTTTATGTTTTTTTCACAATATGAAATTCCGTCGTGGTTGCTTATGAAAACAATGGTTTTATTAGTCAATTATTTTTTTATGTGAATGAATTATTTGGATATAATTAGTTTTAATTTTATTTATTAAATAATTATTCATTATATATTTATATTATAAAAAGAGGACAGGGGTAGTTTCAAATCCTGCCTCTGTCACTGAACACATGGTAGGAGTCGGAGCCGTAAAGACGTGCTCTCACTAGCAAAGAGTGGCCTAGTGAAGCCAAATACTCGGTTACAAAGTTTCCCTTTCGAAAAAATATGGGGAATATGAACCTCACACGGTTGAGATAGGCTTATGAATCTCGAACACCAAAACAAAATGAGTCTGGGTGACTCGCTCCTACCGTCACTCTAGAAAATGGCCAAGTGTAACCACCTCCTAAAGCGTAGTATAGCGGGTTTGGGTTTTAATGTCAACCCGGGTCCTAAGTGTGATGACTACTCCGTGAGTTCTTATTATTTAGCAGTGAAAGTGTAGTGAAGGTCCAAACAAGCAAACAAGCAAAGCAGTTAAAGGTTGTTTTCAAGTTGAGAGATGTCACCCAGATATGGTTCCCCCTAGACTGCAGTTAAGCCGAATTGTAATTTACCAAGTTCAATTTCAATGATAGTTATACTGCGGGAGGTTCTTAAACAGACTGCAGTCTCGACTAAAGGTCTCCAGACCCTCTCAATCTGAGTCCCCAGCGGGCGACTAACCTCCACCGGAGTAAACAGATTGAGGCCCTAACGAACCAAACCTCCACTACCGAAGTAAATTCGGTGCATAATAGTGAATTGACTCCTCGACTAAAGTCGTCAATTCCCTACCTTCAATCAAGGGTGCTCTATCAACCTAGGCAGATATTCTCTTTCTAGGTTAAAGCAGAAACAACAGAAATTTGATCAGGATTCGTGCCATTCAATAATTCAAACCTCAATTGAATATAATCATAACACTGAATCTGTACTTGGGTTCATACAATCAAACCTAACATACAAATCTAGGGTTCTTCATACCCAGGTGAATAAGAAAGTTACTCCATAAAGAGAGATGGGAAATCTAGCTCAGATGCGGAAACAATACTGTGAAGGATGAGATTCTGCTTCTGGCACTCAATCAGCTCTTCTCCAAGCTCAAGTCGGGCTCCAATGGTGATGGAGATCGATCAAAGGCACTTGCAGAATCAGGTTCGTCACTTTCTCTCTCCAAGTATACACTTTTTCTCTCTCAAACTCGGGTCCCCTCTCCTTTGGCTGGAAATTGGGTTAAAATCCAGAAATTCCCGACCACACGGCAGGCCACACGACCGTGTGGCTTTCCCAGCTGCCCGTGTGAGTGTGCAAAACGCCGCGTTTCACTTAAGTGGCTTCAGGTACGCTACACGGCCAAAACCACACGGCCGTGTGGTGTGAGCTCCCTGGACTTTCCGCACGGCCACAAGGGGTCCCCTACACGGCCAGTGTGGCTTGCCCATGCAAAGTGGTGCCACACGGCCAAGTCACACGACCATGTGGGGTTTTAGGCATGCCCGTGTGGCTTCCTCAGCTTCTCGCCAAACGTCCAATCTTCGTCCAATCGACCCCGAACTCTTTCCCAAGCCTTAATTCACGTACTAGGACCTGAAATATTACAAACAAGAACAACCTAGCGTGAAATCGGCCTAGAACACGAAAAATAAGACTCAAACGGTATAAGAATGGTGGACAAAAACATGTGTATATATCAAGTCATCACTGGGTTCGCTAGGGAAGTTGAACGAGAATGATGAGCAATACTAGCCAACTTTAAATAGCTTATGATAAATTGGCCATCGTCACCCCTCATGATGGTGCATGTTGTCGTACTATTAGGAGAGTGGACGATTAAGTCATAAGTGTTAAAGCATGTCCATCCATGTTGTGTTGTTGTCCAATGGATAAGTTGACGTTATGGAGTCCTCCCTACTCCAAATGGCCTGGTCCCCTCTTATAAGGCAAGTATATTATGTTCCCTGAGTTGTCTTGCACAGAACTGAAGTTGCACAGTTGTCTCAAGCTTGTCATGAAACTGATGATTATTCCGTTTTTTCCACAGTAGCCAACACGTTCATGCTAAGAGTGGAATATTAATAATACAGCTCCTGCCCGTGGCACAATGTAGGATCCATTTTGTTATGTTATAGAAGAAAAGCTCGTATGACTCATTATCCAGGCTCCCCGCCCAAAAATGCTCTCGCGAACTAGCATTCGCAGAGTATGTGAATAACGATTTTCGGGCCACCCCCACAAATGGGACATCCAACATGTTGCATGTGTTAGCGGTTTCTTCTTCCTCTCGAAGTTTGTAAGAAGGCTTTGGCTGTTGGCAAGCCAACTCGAGACCGAAGCTTGACATATAGAATACAATACACTCTTTTTCCTTTTTGGATTATCGCGGTTAATTTTTTTTTATCTTATTCAAGAAATTTATAAATAAGCTCTTCATAATATATTTATTAAGATCAATCTTGATATATTTTGGACATGTGATTCCAGGTTTTTGTATGATTTTACAAACTCCTTTTTGTATGAAAAACACAAATATTGCACAACACTACAAGCATATTCTCGACATGCATTAAGAGTATCTACAATATGTGGTCAATAAGAATATTCACAATTCGAGTTAAGAGTATTCAACGTGAATGCTTCAAATGTTGTGTAAGTTGTAACTTGTATGGATATGTAAAATATGTGTTAACAGTTCAGGTACACACAAAAAAATACAATGGAAAAACATAAAAAAATATATAAAACATTGATATCATTAGATGTAAAAAATAAATTAAGAAGAATTCATTTACAAATTACAAAAAGGAAAAACGTTTTATACCTCAAAAAATACAAACAAATTATGAAAACAAGAGTCGACAAGATAACCGTGCTGCTTTAACCAACGGGCTTGGCTTGCACAGCCGTGTTTGGGCCAATGAATCTGGAGAACTGAGTGGACGAAAGTGTGTGGGCTACAATAATTGGCACCACCTCCTCAACTGGAGTCACCGACTGATTAAGCACCGGAACTTTCTTGATTAAGTCAGTTTGTTCCTCTCCAAAAATTACACCGTCGACGAGTCTTGTTCCCGCCAGCCGCTGCAGAGAAACAGCCGGCGGAGATCCACTGGGGACGGCGCCGGAAGGAGAAGAAAGACTGTAGTAGAACAGTGATGGAGGCAGAAGTGGCAGCAGCTTCTGAGCTGGCTCTCGCGGACACCAACATTAATTGGGACAGGTTCGCTCGCTGCTCCTCTCCCTAATTCCGTTGCTTCCCTCCACATCTCGTGCTCTCAACTTGTATTCGCGGCAATGAAAATGGAATTCATGCGTAACTCGGGTTTCGAGCATCCGAATCGTGATCGATTTCTCGATGGTGTGTCTATTCAGGCTGGACAAGACGAGGTTTCACGCGTTTGGAGCCGTACTGTTTACCGCGCAGCAAGGGTTGCTCCACCCAACGGCGGTGGTGAAGACCAGAATGCAAGTGGCCGACGGAGGGATTCCTCAAATGCGGGGGTTTTCCGTGTTCAAAAGCATACTGAGGAGCGATGGAATTGCAGGGGCTTACAGAGGGTTTGGGACATCTGCGGTTGGATCGCTGCCTGGCAGGGTTTTGGCACTGACATCCCTAGAAGTCTCCAAGGACATGACCCTGAAGTACATGGAGAAATTCGATATGCCGGAGGCCACTAGGCTCGGCATTGCAAATGGAGTGGCAGGCATGTTGTCGAATCTAGTTTCTTGTGGCTACTATGTGCCTTTGGATGTGGTAGGTTAAAGAACATTTTAGTCCTTCCTTACTGAATTTGTTCCTTTGTCTGCTTTGCCATCTTTGCTTCCATTCGAGTTGTGATAGCAGTAGGCTTATTTGCGGGGCAAAGTGGATACTGCTAATCACGCATTAGCCCTGCAGACTGATATGTGGAGCTTCTGGTATATACTGTTGTGCTGATCTTGCTTGTAATGCTTGGAATGGTATGGTGTGTGTACTTTTAGGTGTGCCAAAGGCTAATGGTGCAAGGGCTTCCGGGGACAACAGTCTGCCACGGGCCACTCGATGCCATGCGCAAGGTCATCAAATCGGAAGGGCTTCGAGGTTTATATAGAGGTTTCGGACTAACTGCATTGACTCAATCCCCAGCTTCTGCTCTATGGTGGGGTGCTTATGGTGCTGCCCAACACCTTATCTGGAGGTGTGTCTCTAATCTATCCTTCCCGTTTGATAATCTGTATTGTTGGAATTGAAGATTTCCAGTTGATGTTGTTTCATATGTTTAGTGGCTTAGGATATGGAGATGAATTAGCGGAGAAGATGGAGAAACCATCTCATGTTGAGATGATTACAGTTCAGGCTGCAGCTGGGATGGTAGCAGGTGCTTGTTCGTCAGTGATCACTACACCTGTGGACACTGTCAAGACGAGACTCCAGGTAATCAATCACGTGGTCACTTGGCTGTTTAGTTTCTTATAAATGTGCAACCTAGAAGGTCTAATTATGGCTTGGGGATTCTTGAAGGTGATGGACAACTATGGTGGCGGGAGGCCTTCGGTGATGAAGACAGTGAAGAACCTTGTTAAGGAAGATGGATGGTGGGGTTTCTATAGAGGGTTTGGACCGCGATTCCTGAACATGTCGTTGTATGGCACTACCATGATTGTTACGTACGAGCTCATAAGTATGTTTTCCACACACAATCTCGTTGGTTCATGTATCTGCAGACTGCTTTTGTTCTTCCAAAGACTGTTCAATAACTTTAGTGTATTGATTGTGCTTGGTTTTGTGGTTTGGAGCAGAGAGACTTTCGGTAAAGCAAAGGAATTAAACTGGAGACAGGATCAGATTTCATTTGCCTGCCAAACTCGGCCATTTCCTCTTGTATTGTAATTTCACACTCTATTACTTGCTCCTGTATTATTCTTTGACTGTGATAACGATGCTGATTAGAGGGCTTGATTCATATTCACAAATGCTTGTGTCTCTGTGGAACGAATTTTCCAGAATAATAAAAAAAGGATTTATGCATACAGCATATATGCTTTTTTGTTACTTGTTTTAGTCGACGGCAGGTTCCTTGTTTTAGTCGACGACAGGCGAAGCTGCCGTCGCACCCTGGTCGCCTCAAAAAATTAATTAATTACTTATTAAATGAAGGGAAAATAGAAAAATGTAAAAGGAATAAATAAAAAAAAGGAAAAGAAAGAATGCTCGGTGGATGAAAAATTAGATTCAGATTCAGAAGGAGGGCTATAAACATAAATAAATCTGGGGATCGAAAGCACTCCGTCCCCCGATTTGTTCCCCTCTCCTTCCTGACCACTGCTATAACTGCGCTTTTTTCTCTGCGAGGGAAGGGAAAAGGGAGGTTGGGAATCAACTTCGTTTCTCCACCGTCCATCTACAGAATCCGAAGACGTCAATTTCAAGCCCTGTTCAACCAATCGTCAATCCAGATCTCGCTTCTTTCTTACATCCTGGTAAGCAAAAATCTTTCCTTTCTTCTATTCATTCCGGATCTTTGCTTGATCTTGTTTCCTAGATCTCGCAAAGTTCGCTTCTTTGTCTGGTTTTGATGTTTAAAGCTTGGATCTTTTGCCAATTTTCCATCGCGAGTATCGAACCGTGATCTGAACCCTTTCGTTCTTGGGTTCTGATTTTGGATGTGGAGCAGGTTGGTAGAGTGGTATAGAAAAATGGGTCTTTCATTCGCGAAGCTGTTCAGCAGTCTCTTCTCCAAGAAGGAGATGCGAATCTTGATGGTGGGTCTCGATGCCGCTGGTAAAACCACCATTCTTTACAAGCTCAAGCTGGGCGAGATCGTTACCACTATCCCCACAATTGGTATTCTCTCCTCTCCTCTTTTCTGGTTGCTAGCCTGGTTTTTCTGTTAGATGGGACAAGATCGTCGAATAGATGACCAGATCTGTGTGCAATTTATACTTGTTACCTGTTGTATCTTGAGATCATTCAATGATTTTACCACTCCGTGGTTCAGGATTCAATGTTGAAACCGTGGAATACAAGAACATCAGCTTCACAGTCTGGGATGTCGGGGGTCAGGACAAGGTATTACTCGTCTTTCTAAGATCTCTCGCTACTGGATATAGGCTGTTCTAACTTTGCGATTTGCCTAATGATGAGTGCATCTTGCTAAAATAATTTTGTGCATACAGATCAGTATTAGATGTGTGCTTGTCCTGTGATGGTTTTGGCTGGCAGATCCTGCCCTATGATGAATTGCTTAGTTTATGGCGCATGATAACCTGTATCTAAGGAGTACATTATCCCTTTGCTGATTTTGTGAATCAAAATGACAGTGTATTACTATTTATTCACGTGACGTTTAGCCACATATTGAGAGTGGGGTAGTGATTATGCATGCTAGATGAAAGGGGTGTGCTTTTGCCTTGTAAGCAACTGAGCATGCCTGTTGCCGAGTTCTTCTTCGGTTTTCATGCAAGTTTAATAGGATACGACTTGTCTGAGTGCTTAATATCTTCATTTGGTCTTTGTATTCTTAAGATCCGACCCTTGTGGAGGCACTACTTCCAAAACACACAAGGGCTGATATTTGTGGTGGACAGCAACGATCGTGACCGTGTTGTTGAGGCTAGAGATGAGCTGCACAGGATGCTGAATGAGGTAATAAGAGCATTTCAAGAGGTCCATTATTCAGTGATGAAGTTGGTTATGTGGAAATAGTGTTCAAACTTTATCCTTGATTTCATGTTTGCTAGGACGAACTAAGGGATGCTGTGCTGTTGGTGTTTGCAAACAAGCAAGATCTTCCTAATGCAATGAATGCTGCTGAGATAACCGACAAGCTTGGCCTTCACTCTCTGAGACAACGCCACTGGTAAGATTCTATCATTACTCTATCATATGAATGTCTAATTTGGGGGAGAAATTATTAGGGTATCTGGTTTTAGAGGATGCCAATGCTTGCTATTCTGCAGTCGTTAAATTCAGGTCCGAGTTTTCTTAGTTAGTGGTAGCCTTTCAGTTTTTGGAGAGAAAAAGTTCATTGGCTGTACAGAATTGGCTACACAAAGTAATTACTTCAGTTCTCGAGGGTCTGTCTTTGTGGTAGAGCACTAGAATCTCCACGATGTGATTCCTTGTGCTGCTACTGAAGTGCTTTTACTCAATTTTAGTGTTTGACCCACTTGTTTATAAGTTGAGGCTGATACAGAAACACTGGAAGTAACCTTTTATTGTCTGTTGCAGGTACATCCAGAGCACTTGTGCCACATCTGGGGAGGGACTCTATGAAGGACTGGATTGGCTCTCCAACAACATTGCTAGCAAGGTATGCTTCACATTCTCAATGTCTATTGGTTACCTTGCCTCTTCTCCTTCATCCTCCAGGCTAAACTAATACGTGGTCTATGTGATTTTGTTTTCCAGGCTTGAGTGTCTTTTTGTCAGGATCCGACGAAAGAGATTTAGCAGTGGGTTTCGTTGTTGAAAGTTTTCTTTATTGTGCATGTACTCTACTCTTAGAATTCCAGAAAGTTTGTATGTACACTACTGTCATTTTTTCATGTTATATCTGTTTCCTTTCCCCCGTTTTTTTTTTTTGCTTTGAAGGAGTGTTGTGAAATAAACCATGGTGCAATTTAGTTGAATTCTTGATTTGGTTACCACTTTTATCATTAGTTTTTTCATGTTGGTGCATCATTGTTCCGCCTCCTGGTTGGATTTGGTCTGGGAGTTGCATGCATGTTTTGTGGTCTCAGTGCTTGCCCCTGTTTCGCTAGACACCATGGTTTGTTTATAACATACTGCCAGTCGAATGGCTGAGGTGGACAGAGCAGAAGCAGATGGTGTTGGCTTTGGCTGAGTGGATCCAGTACTTGCTTATTGGGGCACTATTTGCTGAATGTCTGTTTTCGGTTTGATCAACTTTGATTTGTGAGAGGAGAGTGTTTGTAATGGTGATGTACTGCGATTGAATTGAACAGAAAACCAGAAGAAACGCAGAAATGGTCAGGGGTTACTTCCTGCAATAATAAACCAGCGTTACAGCTAAACAAACAGACATCAAGTGGAACATACACCATGGATTAACTGAACAACCACCAAATTCCTTCCAAAAATAAAAGAAAACTCATGAATTAGTTCACAATTGAGAACCCGACAACAATTGACAATTACAAGGAGCCGATGAAGGAAGAAACCCCGGGTCCTCCAGCAGGCCTCAAAAGCATAAAACCACCACCAATGCTCAGTGTGAACCCAATGAACAATGTCAACATCGAACAGCCGCGCCTGACTCCTCCGGCAGTGAAGCTACCAGCACCTGCCACCAGAAAGAAGGAAAAAAGTGACCGGATCATCATTTTATTAGGTCGACGTCGTAGCATCTAATTCGTATTAATAATCAACCAATCGTGGGAGATACTCATAAATATCGTGGATGTGTATCAAAATTAAGGAAACGACCCTTATTAGCTAGGTAATCGGCAGCAAAAATTAGCCTCTCTATACTCAAAACAACCGACCAACTAGTGATAGTGGCAGAGCATGGAAATCTCACCGCATTGTCTTGTTCCGTTGCTAGAGCCAGAGCAGAGGCAGAGCATCCCTTCCGTCTCCGTATCAAACCCACAAGTTCCCCCCGACGCCGAACACCGATCACACCCTCTGTCCGGCAATCCATACGACAACTTAATCCCGTAAACCCAATCCAACGGCGACACTCCCCTCATCCCATCGGCATCCACCACAGTCGTGTAATGCGAACAATCCAGTATATTCATGCTCATGTACCTCACCGTGTCATACCCAGTAAAACAGCACGGCGGGGTCGAATTGGTCAGCAGGCGAAACACCCGGAACGCGTTGCACGACGCGTAGAGCTCGTCGCACGAGTGCGACGACACGTTGAAGCAGAGGGACCTGTAGTGGTTGAGCACCGGGGAGTCGACGGAGCAGTTGAGGAGGGCGAACACGGTGTCGGAGGAAGGCGGGATGACGGCGGTCTGGATGTCGGTCATGAGGAAGTCGTGGTGCGGCTGGAGGATGGAGCAGGTGGACATTGATGGGTCGTAGATGGTTAGGGTGGATTTGAGGTAGTCGATGTGCTGGACCTTGTAGGAGCCCGAGGGTGTGAGGAAGAAGAGGTCAGGGGATGTGCAGTTGAGGGTGTGGCGGAGCTGGATTGCGCCGCAGCCGTCGTCGATGCCGAATGGGTAGTTGATTGGGATCGTGCCGCAGAATGAGCGGCATGGGGTTGTTGTGGTTGTTGTGAGTAGAGATGTGGCGAGGGATGGGAAGAGGAGGACGTAGAGGAACATTTGGTTTAGTATGACTGAAGAGTCCATCTATTTCCCCCCTGTTTTACTCTGTTTTGGCTTTCTGTTGCTCTGCTTATGTGGAGAGTGAAGAGCAAAGGGTTAGGAAGTAGAAGTGAACCAAGTTGGATGATAATGGATGGTGGGAAAGGTGAGACTGGGGAGTAAGTTTGGGGTGGGTTGGCTCCCGAGATTTACTCGGGTAAAGGGACCTTTTTTGACTTGTAAAGTGGCCAGAGCCAGAGGGCCCGCCATTGTTGCAGATTTTGAAATTTGGAGGTGGAAAGCTTTATAATTTCTATGGCCTTTTTCAGGGAATCGGGGACACGAGAGTCCCACTCTCAAGTATGGCTACGCCGCTACTGTGATCCATGCCCGAGCCAGGCTCGTTTGAACAGAGCAGTCGATTCAACATAATTTGCTCTCAGGCTTGTGAGTTGGGTTCGAACTTGATTCCTGTACCATAACAATGACATGTATATTGATTCGAGCATGAGCTCACTCCAATTCTCAGAACTAAAGTTTCGAACATTTATTGTTGTTTGATAGCAAATACAAGTTCACAACTCAAAATGCAAGTATGCAACTCAAAATGCACTTAACTCGGAATTGAACTCAACAAACATTGAACTAGGGCTAGAGGTTCGATTATCGGTTGCCGGTCGGTGGTCGGAGCTCCTAATAGGAAATTCGGTTAACCGACAATAATCGAAATAACCGACCGACCACCCCCTCACCAAAACGAGGTGAAAATGCCCGGTTATGAAGTTTATAACTTTATGTTGTTGAATTTGAGACATTAATTTGGTGATTTAGATGTAGAAATGTAAGTTAGAACCTTTCATTTTAGACAATTTTAATAATTTTACCCGGTTAAAACCGAACCACCATCATTTTTTCGGTTATCTCGGTAAACAGACCAACTCACCGATAACCAACCGATCGATTATTGGTTAATCGAGGATTGACGTCGGTCGGTGTTCGGTAGGAGGAGATGGTGTTTCGGTTAACCGATAACCGACCAATCGGTTATCGGTTACAACCGAACCGAATCCACCCCTACATTGAACTCTCCCAACATCTAATAGTCAACATCCACACACGCCACATAACTCTCCCAACATCTATTAGTGAAAGACCCATAATACGGATTAGTATTATTAATTATTATAACGGGTAGCTAAGTACATATTACACAGCGATCTGGCAATAGTACTAATTAGTCGACGTGGGTGAAACGGAGGTAATCCTTTCCAGACGGCAGGTCGGGCGCCTCGTAACCCTGAGGGAACATCTTCTTGGCCTCTTCATTCGACACGCTGGGCGAAATCACCACGGGATCCCCTGGCTTCCAGTTCGCCGGAGTCGCCACCTTGTGCTTTGCAGCTCTCTGCAGCGACTCCACCACCCTCATCACCTCGTCCATGTTCCGCCCCGTGCTCGCGGGATACAGGAAGCTCAGCTTTATCTTCAGATCGGGCCCGACGATATGGAGGGCGCGGGAAGGGACCGTGTTCCCCGAGTGATCTTTCTCGTCGGGTTCCACCATGTTCAGCTGCTTTATCACCTCTCTGTTCGGGTCCGAGATGATCGGGTATGTCACCTTGCTCCCTGGCTGCATCCAACCAACCATAAATCGTATTACTAAGAAAGAAAGCCATACACATATTGCAATTAGTTCGAAATTCGATCGATCGATAATGGGGCTATCGATTGCTCACGGTGAAGGCTTCAACGTCCTTGATCCACTCGACGTGGGACACCACGTCGTCACATGATAACCCCAAGAGCTTCACCCCTCGCTTCTCGAACTCCGGCGCATACGCCGCCATCTTCCCCAGCTCCGTTGTGCACACCGGTGTGAAATCACCTACCCAAGTATGCAAAATCAAACACCAAATCCACCTCCGTTGTGTATGTATGTTATCTTAGTTTACCTGGGTGAGAGAAGAGGATGGTCCAGGAACTGGAGAGGAAGTCGTGGAGTTTGATGACGCCATGAGTGCTTTCCACCTGAAGGTTTGGGATTGTATCTCCGATTGTGAGGCCCGGCATGATTCGTCGATGTAACTGGTTCTAGCTCTGCCTCGTTCGATAGCTTTGTTCAAGTACAGAGTAACGATACACAGAAGTTTTGTCAAAGTATGATGGATTGTTGGGAACTTGGCAAGGCAAAGGCAAAGGCAATGAATTCAGTGACCATATAAAAGGGGGGAAAAAGGAACGGAGACGGACTAGTAGGATCCTTGCATGGAGAGAACGTGGCCTGCTTCTTTGTCTACGTGCCAACTCCTGAAATGCCCCATCCTTCGCCAGGTGTCACGTTTGACCACGCTCATTGACTACCTGCACCGTGGCCCACACGCTATGTGGGCCTTTGAGTTATCTGGCCCAACGGAGCCCAATGTGCGCGGAGATGAATTTGAAAATTGAAATACCATTGGGGGTATTTCGTTGTTTTTGAAAAGTTAAAGCATCATTGTGCAAAAACACTGAAACGAGAAGTTCGAAAAATTGAAAATAAAATGGGCGGGCGCCTAATCCGAAAAATATTCAACTTTCTGTGCCTTCCTGCGTTCTCCAGCTTCCACCGCCACCACTGGTGAGCAGTTTACCTGTCCATCGCGTTCCACCATCCACTTCAGAAATTCTTCGATGTTGCAGTCTCTGGTTCCTGTTCCTCCAACCAGAATCCATCACATCGCCATAGCAGAGCAGCAATGAGCTCAAGCGAAGTCCAATCAGCAATTGCATTTTCCTTCTGCAGATTTTCTTCTCAGTAGAGTCTTGAAGAGAGCATCAAGCATTTTTTCACAAGGACTGTTCCACGTACAGCTCTCCGATGACCTCAGAAGCTGCTCCTCGTCACTCCACGAGCAACCCTGGAGATGAAGCCAAGGAGAACGAATTCGAGAGCTCGTTCGTTTCTGCTCAATTTCCGCCTCCAAGGACTCCGCTCCACACAATCGCAGATCCAGCTCAGTACCACCACGAACCGGCACGAATTGGATCGCCTCGATCCGTTAGGTTTCTCGATAAGAACTTCGATAGGTCGGTCTCGGCGAATGCCACTCCCAGAGGCTTCAATCGTCCTGCTAAAGCGCACTCCGAGCCGAGCTCTGCACACAGCACTCCCGCGAGGACCGGACCTCGAGTTTCTATAGGATCGTACACAGTAGCAGCACCTAGAAACGGTCAGGTTGCAAGGGGGAAGGAGCTTGCCTCTTGCAGTTCTTCTAGGGTTTCGAGAGGCATTTCCGTGCCCAATTGTGATGTCTCTGAAGATATTCCGCACTTTGAGCTCCGTGGAGATCCCTCCTTTTGGGCAGAGCACAATGTGCAGGTGAATTTTCCCCCTGTTAGGTTGTCTATTTCACTGCATTATGGAGCGTGGAATTATTGTTGTTGTCTTAGTTTCTGATGCACAGGTTGTTGGTGATTTAGGTTTTGATTCGAATTCGACCATTGAATTCGGCAGAGAAGGGTTCGCAAGGATACAACCGGTGTCTCAGGCAAGAGAGCGCCAACTCACTTGTGTGGCTCGGAAATCCTGAAACCAGATTCACATTTGATCACATAGCGTGCGAGACCATATCTCAGGTTCCTCATTCCCCTCTCAAAAGGAATATCTTAGCTAATATAACAGCATAGAGCACTTCAATTTTGTTTCGTCTTATTGAATTCTTCGTGTTCAATTTTAGTTCTTTGATATTATCAGCCTTGGTCTAAGTAGAACCTAACTAGGGCTCAACCGCTATAGTGTCCTTTTCTAATTAGTTGCCAAAGCCTGGTTACAGATTCTAATCGAGTACTTTGAGTTCTCATTCATGTAATGTTGTGGGTTGTATCAGGAGGAACTATTCAGGGTTGCTGGATTACCCATGGTGGACAACTGCATGTCTGGATACAATAGTTGCATATTTGCTTATGGCCAGGTAAGGAAGGGCGTATCTGTTGTCCAGTCAGGCAAGTTACGATTTTAGCATTCTTATATCTTTCGATGCTTTCATACAGACAGGCAGTGGAAAGACTCATACCATGATGGGTGAGATAAATCATGGAGAGGGCCAGCTTGGTGAACATTGTGGGATGACCAGTCGTATCTTTGAGTATTTATTTTCACGGATTAGAATGGTGAGGGACCGTCTCTTTTAGAGCACAATATTTCAAGGATTTTAAATCCTCTTCGCATAGATTTGATATTCTTTTTGGAGTGGAGGAATAAGCTTATCTTAGTGTTCTTCTGTATTTTCAGGAAGAAGAGAGTAAGAGAGACGAAAAACTGAAGTTCCATTGTAAATGCTCATTTCTGGAGATATACAACGAGCAGATAACTGATCTGCTTGAACCTTCTTCAACCAATCTGCAAGTATGCACTCACTGTTCCCACACTGAGCTTCTAAATATTGATGTACTTAGTTTCCACCATTCCTGCTGAGCCAAGCATGTTTATATCGTAGCTAAGAGAAGACTTGAGTAAAGGTGTATATGTCGAGAATTTGTCTGAGCACAATGTTCGGACTGTTAATGATGTAGTCAATCTTCTGTTACAGGTAATTAGAACTCATTTCAGTAGTTAATAAACTGAATTTTGAATGAGTAGACCATTTGATTAATTTCCAAAACTTCAGGGTATTGCAAACCGGAAGATTGCAGCAACCCACATGAACAGTGAAAGCAGTCGTTCTCATAGTGTGTTCACCTGCATAATTGAAAGCTCTAGGGAGAAGGACTCCTTGACCCACTTCAGGTTTGCAAGGTTGAATCTAGTAGACTTGGCTGGTTCTGAAAGGTACATGCCTCGCTTCACAGGAATATTTATCTCTCTCTTTTTTTTTTAATGCCCTCATCTCTGGGCTAAAATACTTGTTTTTTCAGGCAGAAGAGCTCGGGTGCAGACGGAGATCGTCTGAGAGAAGCAGCAAATATAAACAAATCTCTTTCAACTCTAGGGTAATAATTAACTACCATTTTCTTACAGTCAAGTTTTTCCCTAAAGGATTGCTTAAGCTTTTTTCTTTGTTTTGTACACTTAACCGAATTGTTAGAGCTCAATCAATATATTCATTGAACTTTAACTTTAACCGAATTGTTAGAATTGCTTAAGCTTTTTTCTTTGTTTTGTACCCGAACTTTAACTTATCTGTACTGGAACCATCATTACATCTTAATGACCATTAAGTTAAGTTTTGCATCGCTATAGGGTTATTAAATTTCCAGTTCAGCCTTTGATTTTACAACAGATATCATTTGGTCTAAGTGTGCTCTGGTTTCAATAGATAAGCAAATGCTTCTAATCTGTTTCCTCAACTACCGTACCAAGGATTAATCTACATCATTTTGTTCATATGAATCCTATATTCTTAAGTTTTGTCTCCACTTGTAATGCAATATAATAATTGTCTCTTTGTACTTATTTACGGGTAATGATTCATGCCTTTTGCCTTTAGCTTGGTGATCATGTCTCTGGTTGATTTAGCACACGGCAAGAATAGGCATGTCCCATACAGAGATTCTCGGCTAACATTTTTACTTCAGGTTAAAGAGTTAACATTGGACTTCGTGAGTTACTCTATAATGTCTTGGTACTTCTTGAAAGGTCTTATGCATTTAGTTTATTTGCTGCAGGACTCTTTAGGTGGAAACTCAAAAACGATGATTGTTGCAAATGTCAGCCCTTCTATATGGTCTGTTTCATTTTAAATGAAACTATGAATAGTTTTAGAATTTTGTTTCCATCTACATAAATTTGCTTTGCTTGGTCTTGCAGTTCAGCACATGAAACAATCAGCACTCTCAAGTTTGCTCAGCGTGCTAAACTCATCCAAAACAATGTACCTTTTTTTTAATACTTATTTTAACATGATATAGCATTGAGTCTCTGCTTTGGTATAACCTCCCATTTGGATTCATCTTGAAGGCTAAGGTGAATGAAGATGCTAAAGGTGATGTTGGTGCTCTCCAGCGCCAAATCCAACAGCTAAAAGTATGCTTGAGTCAGTTCTCTGAAAATTTTGATTGGTATCCTATTGGATAGGTGTACTAATACATGCTCTATGCAGGAACAACTATTAATTTTAATGAAAGAGCAGAGACCTCCAAGGCCTATTGCAAACTATGAAGAGTCCCAGTTGTCTGACTGCTGCCGAATGGATGATTCTCTTGATGAAAAAGAATTGATAAATGACAGCAATATGCTGAATTCTGAAAGCAAGAAGGTAGCTCTTGCAATTACTAATTGAGATTTGTCTTTGTCGAGACATTATACAATAGTAACAGGTTAAGAGTTCATGCAAAATCGATTGTCCAAATGTCAGCTACGGTGCATGAAAACTATCATGGTTGGCGCACTTAGGAGAGAAAGGACAGCAGAAACTGCTCTCAAACAATTACAAGCTATGATCGAGCAAGCGAACCAGTTAGTAAGTCTCACCTTTCTATAAACAACAATCCTTAGCCACCTAAGAATAGGTTTGATGTTCATAAAATACTCAAACAAATGAAATACAATGAATTTTTCTTTTATAACTTCCAGGCTCATGAGAAGGAAGAGGATGTGCAATGTACTAGAATGATGGTAAAAATGCGAGATGAGAAAATTAGGCGTCTTGAGTTGCTGGTGGATGATTCAGTGCCTGCGGAGCATTATCTTAAGGAGGAAAATAAAGTATTAATGGAAGAGATTCAGGTACTTCATGCAAGAATTGACAAAAATCCTGAAGTGACCCGCCTTACTTTGGAAAATGCGAGACTTCAGGAGCAACTTCAATTGTAAGGGCTATTTACTAGTGCTTTTTATTGATTTCATCTTATATTCGTTCATTGATACCTGTGACAAAAGTAAGGATGAACTGGATAAGGAAAGCTCTAATAAGATTGCTTTCTTTTTAAAAACCCAAAAATTGATTTCTTTCGTCTGCCACGTTTGGAATGTGTGAATATGGTGTCAGGTCTCAGAAGTTCTACGAGGAAGGAGAACGAGAGGCATTATTGACAGAGATATCATTATTACGTGATCAGGTTGGTGGATATATTTTTCTTCTTGTTCTCTACCAGAGTTAAATGTGTAAACAAATGGTTATCTTAAGATTTCTCTTTGTTGTGCAGATTGTGGAATTGTTTGAAACAAAACCTAGATTGTTGTCCAGCAAAGAGAAGCAGGTAGAAATTTTTGGGACAATCATCTCTTGCAGTTTATTCAGGAGTATAGCTTTAACTAGTTCGCGTTTTCTGTACACTTCAGAGTATGAAGGAGAATGGCAATCTACAAGAGCTGGAATATTGCAAGAACATGAATTTGAGATTGATGAGGTAACAGTCCTTTACATTTTCTTCTGAAACTGCAACTCTTGTTGTTCCCATAAAGTTGAGTTTGAAGATTGGCCTTTTATACTCTTAGCACTATAACTTTCATAACATCTAAGCAATTAAGTGTAAGTTTAAATCAGAGTTATTAGACAGTGGTTGAAATAACCAAATTGGTGCTGAGTCTCCAGTCTATTAAGGCTATTGTTAAATAATGTCCACTTCATTTGAAAATCTGAATGGTCTAGAAAATGATATTTGCTTACTGTGTTCAGTAGTTCCCTTGCTTTATGGAAAATCAAATGTAACTTTGCACTCACAGTCACTTATAAACTTCGTTTATGAGTTATATGCTTATGGCTGCAGAGAAGTAGACGAGTTACAAGCAGAAATGAACGAACTCCTGTGTTATAGCCAAGCTGCTTCTGACACCGTAAGAGTTCCATCTTTTGATATTGGTGTGGTGTTTGAGTTGTGCTGTTATTTTTATCCAATAATTAATGTTCTTATCTCTTACAGACTAGTTCCCTGTTAAAAGAGCCAGAGGAACTCAGGCATGCAGATAAGTATTCACTGGTAAGTAATGATGTAACTCCATTTTAGAAAATGTTGATTATGCACAAGATATAGTGTGTTCACTGCTTTTTTTGTTACTGAAAGTTGTGTGATGTAACCTGCTTTGCAGGTTGAAACCATATCTTTTGGAAGTGAGTCTGGAGATGAGGCTGCATCTGTAAGTCCAGAAAATCTAGACCACCAAAAGAAAAACTATGGAAACAACAGTAAAAGCTCGGTTATCCAGCATATGGAATCTAGTAATAGTGAGATAGAGAAGAAAGGTCCATCTATTGAGGGAGGTGAAGATAAAAAATACACGGCTCTGCAAGCCAATTTAGAAAAACTAAGAGAAGACCTTAAAGAAGCTGTGTCACTTAACTTCCGATATCAGGTGGATCAGGCTTCACATTTATCCCAACAGCGACATGTGGAACTTGTAAGTGAGCAAGTTGAGGTTGAGACTGCTGCAACAATCCTTAACCTACAATCAGAAGTCAATGCCCTTCAGTCTCAACTTTCAGAGAGATTGAGTCTCCTGGCCCAGGAAAATTTCAGACTGGGAAATGCTCTAGCTGCTAAAGAGGATGAAATAAGGGCGGTTAATGAGGAATGGGAGCACTCAACTCTTGAACTTACAAATTTCCTTGCCAAAGGCTCTAAATCCCTCCGAGATGCCTCTGGTCAGGTTGAAATGATAGCTCGTTCATTTCCGCAAGTGAATCATTGGATCTGTGACCATGTTGAGAGGGCTGCAAGGGTCTGCATTGAAAAGGAAGAAACTATTTTACAATTAGAGAGGAGCTTGGGAGATACACGGAAGATGGTATCTGAATTGGAGCTGAAACTGAATTCCTTAAAGGAAGCAACACTGGCTTTCGAATGCTTTCCGAATATGTTGTGGGGAAGGAGTGAAGATGCGAGTGATTTAAGGTCAGCATTGAATGGAAGATTTCATAAAGTAGAAATGCAGGAGGACAGGCTCACATGCGAGGAGGATGATATTTATGATGGAAAGGAAATTGGTCCTTGGAAGAGTTCAAGTGCAGGTTTTGATGGAATTGCTGCACTTGAGGAAAATACCAAACTAAATAAGAAGTATATGGATTTGCAGGCTTCTTCTGTCAGACGTCAAGCATTTGAGCCATCCAAGTTGGGGAAGCAGTTGCATATTCTGAATCCAATAAGAGACGAACTCAGAATGCTAAATGACAGGTTACAGATGGTTTCAGATTTCATTAATAGCAAAGTATTTCCATATGATGGACTTTCAGAAAATGCATGTCCAGTTGAGTTAGATGGCTGGAGTCCCAACGTTTATATGTCCGCTAGTTCTCGGGTATCAGATTGCTCATCCGGAAGCATTTCTTCAAGGAACCAGTTTGAGGGATGGTCGTCTGTGAAGTCTGAATTTTCAGAGAACATAAATAACCAGATGGCGGAACTAAAGTCTTGGAAAGGAATTGTGGTTGGAACTGATCCAGAAAATTCAATTGCATGCTGTTTAAGAAATGTTTTGGATGGGGCATTCGACACTTTAGGCAAAATATATGCTCAGTTGGCTACATTTCTGGACGAGAATGAAACTACAAACAAGTCACTAGCAGAAGGTATATGTTTCACTTGCTATTTGGTTGTACCTAATTATGCTATGCAATGATTGCAATCTACAGAACACTTAACTTAGCTACTGTGTGCAGAGAACAACAAAGCAGTTCCTTGTTTTATGCTGACAATGGAACCTGATGATGGATGCTGCCAAAATATCAGAAAGGTATAGAATTTTGTTTACATTCATCTGTGGTACCCAAATTGGATATTCCCAAAGCCTTTTCTTTATGAAAAACTTTGCTATGTTGCAAAAACAGGTTGGGAATGACAACAAAGCGGATCACTTTAGCTCCTTCGTAACAAAATGTGAAGAAGCCCGTGCAACTATGAAGGATGCTGATGATATGTTGAATATCTTATTGAAGGCCAATGAAGATGAGAAACAAATGAATGATGCACTGAAGCAAGCTAGTGGAGACTTGATACTAGACAGATCACAGGTAATGGAAGAAAATGAGCAGCTTAAGATTTCAGTGGCTGTGAAAGAAAAAGATAATGAATCACTGCTGGATGAAGCGTCTCGAGGCTTGACTGAAGTAGAGAACTCCATAGCTTCACTTGAAGGTTGTTTTCAGGAATTGCGAACACATCTTCAGGAAGAGTGTGAAGCCCTACACCGGCATTCCTTATCCATGGGTCAAGATATACTTTTTTCCATTAGACGCCTTAGATCTTCAATGAAAAGTACTTGCTCTGAGATAACAGGAAAAGAGTTTTCATTGTGCAACTTTGACCAGCGCATACTACAGGATGCTGTGGATAGAATTCAACTTTTAGAGCAAAACTTAGCCGGTACTTCACCAGGTTCTTGTGCAAGCAGTGAAGGTCACACACTAATTACTGGTAAAAATGGCACTGAGGAAGGAGATAGTTGCACACCAGTCACAAATTTGTCGCTCAGAAAGGAACTAGAGAGAAAAGAGATTCTATTGAGGGGATTGCTTTTCGACTTCAGATTACTGCAGGAAACTGCTGCCAAGCGAAAGGACATAAAAGATGAAACTGAAAAGATAATTTTGACTCTGAATGAGGTCCATCAGCAGCTAGAGATGAAGACAAGTGAGGTGGAAAGCTTGCTGGCCCAGAACCAGAAGGTTGAAGGGCATCTGGTGGATGCTGAGGAAGCACTGGAGATAGCAAATTCTGACCTCGATCAGGCCAAGGAAGCAATTGACAGTCTATCTGAACAAAATGCTGAGTTGAGGATGCTTGTCAAAGATCTATATCTCAGCAAATCTGAAATTGAACAAAGACTGGATGAGGAGAAAGAGGTTGTCAAAGGTTTGGAAGAGGAAATAATGAACCTGACTAATTCATGCGTGAGCAGATCTATTGAAGACCTAGAAGAAGACTTGAGCAAAGCGACATTAGAAAGAGATAATCTTCGTGAAGAAATTAGCTCATTGAGAGAAAAGCTTGCTATGGCATACTCATTAGCTGATGAAAATGAAGCTATAGCTGTTGAAGCCCGACAGGTATGACTAATGGCACTTTCTTTCCAACGGATCACATATTTTGTTATGGACGCTCTGGTGATCATACATGTGTGACATGTACTATGATTCTAGGACCTCGAAGAGTGCAAAATTTATTCTCAAGAAAAGGAAGAGGAAGTCAAGATTTTAGAGCACTCTATAGGGGAGCTTGAATGTACCATAAATGTCCTGGAGAAAAAGGTTAGTTTTAATTTCTGTCTCAGGGCAAACTTTGAAGTAAGTTTCAAAGTGCTACTTAAAAATCATATTTTGAACTGGTTTCAAAGTGTTTAATCAATGTGCTTAAGGCTGGATGAGCTAAATTCATGGTTTCCTCTTTGTAGGTGCATGAAATGGATAAGGAGGTAGAAAGACATCGATTGATCAGAGAATCATCAGAGTTAGAACTTCAAACTTTGAGACAGAGATTATCAGCAGTAGAAAACTTCGCTGATATTGTTGATTCCGAGAATAAGGGGTCTGCTCTAAATGGAGAGGCTACAACTAGGTTCTCGCTTCATCCCCTCAAGAACATTCTTTCACTTTTTTCTGTTTGTTCTCGGGTACCTTCTAGTTGGTCTTACTTCATATTGACTCCCAACATTCGTCTGACGCAGGCAACTGAAATCTAGATTAGTAGAATTGCACGAGGCACATAACCGTATTTCTCTTCTTGAGAGGCAGAATGCTGAAATGACTAGAGAGGTGGAGCTATATTCTTTTTGCTTGTTCTGGTTTGCATTAACATTTTTTCCACTTGCTTTAATATACCTTAACACATCGTTTGTTCTTCTGCCTATGATCATTGCAGATTACGCAGCTGAAAGAGTACATCTCTGAGGTTGTGTTACATTCTGAAGCCCAAGCTTCACACTACCAAGAAAAGGTAATATATTATGACATGAAGCTCAATGTTTAACCGTGTATTCTGTAACAAGGTGTAGCTTTCTTCACTGAAATTAGTTTGTGCACGAAAAGAAACATCGATTAATTTCTATTGCAACAGTACAAGAATCTGGAAGCAATGGTTCGAGAATTCGAACCAAATTTACCAAGCACCGAATCAGGTTTAGCTTCTTCATCAGACAAAGTTGAGAAATGTGGGACAAGAGCAAGAGGGTCGAGCTCTCCTTTCAGATGCATTTCAGGTTTGGTTCAGCAGATGAATGTAGAGAAAGACCAGGAATTGTGTGCAGCAAGGATACGGATAGAAGAGCTAGAGGCACTGTTGGCCAGTCAGCAAAAAGAGGTAGGACTCAACATTCTATTCTCATCAATGAAAAATTAAGGACTCGATTCCATTAAACTAATAATACACACGATGCGAATCTGTAATGTCAGGTATGCATGTTGAAGACTAGACTGGCTGCTGCAGAAAGCATGACGCATGACGTAATACGAGATCTGCTGGGAGTAAAATTGGATATGACCAATTACGCAGTAGGCTCTTCAATCGACTCCCACCCTGAACCCTATTGATCTACACTGATTGCATATATATAGTTATGTGGCTTTGCCTTTCTCTTGCCTGTAGAATATGATCGACCAGAACCAGGTTCAGATATTAGTAGAGGAAGCCCATCAGCAGAAAGAAGAATTCCTCTCCATGGTTAGCACAATACATGAATGTGTTTTGCTTGTTTTGGCTGTGAATGAAGTTCAACTAATCTAATACTTTCACATTGTGTCTCCTCTCCTACCTTGGCCTTACCAGGAGCAAGAAATCCTGCAGTTACGACACCAGATCAACAATCTCATGGAGGAAAGAGACAGGTGCGATTCACCTATCCCTATCCATCTCAATTTCTGTACCTAATGATATCTCTCTTTTGTGCAATGAATTTATCGTAACGGATATGATTTACTACTCCATCAGTTGCATGTCCGAGATGAATAAGAAGGCAGCTGAATTGTTCGCTGCCCAGATGACGGCAGAACAACTTGAGCAGAGGGATCAGCTACTGTCTGCACAATACGAAATGCTAAAGGTGAGCAACGCTCTATTGCATCATGCTCCTATAAAATACCAGCTCTCTGGCCGACGGCATTTTACACATTATTACTATCAATGGCAGACGGACAAGAGCAATCTACTAAGGAGGGTTTCAGAACTGGACGACTTGGTGAAGACCCTTCTCAGCACTCAACCTTCTCAGCAAACGACATCAAGATCGACAACCAGGGTACATAGTTGCATATCTCCTCTTGAATTATTACTACACTCACCTAGCATCCATGAATTCCTCCTCCATTTCTCTTTCTCTCTGGCTATCTCTCTACTCATCGCATTTCTGCCTGTCTCGGACTTTCTCTAGCTTGGTGCCGACAAGAGGTTGATACCCAGCTCGGACGACAACCTCATGTCTCGATTGAACGAGCAGCGCGCTCAGTATCGGAGGATGAGTATGGGTAATACAACTAACAACCCGCACGTCAAAAGCTACGGCCGTGCCTTGGAGCTCAAGCATAAGAACCAGCAGCAGGTAATAAATAATAATCCCATCTTGTACTTTGCTTGCATAGATGCCTAGCAGTTTTTGTTTTGTCGGCAAATGTCGTCAACGTCAATCATCTTACAAGCATATTAATTTCTCAATATTTCCGGCAGTGAGTTTACAGAAGCCGGAAGGCAAAGCAAAGTTCCACGGCCGCCAGAGGTCGCCACGTGGCTCACCCTACTTAGAAGAAAGGGCGATTTCCCGCCAGTGAAAGAGCAAACCCCTGTGTTGTTGTATTTTTCTTTTATTATTATTTGTTTCCGGTGAAGTAAAGAAAAGGGTATAAAAGGAGAAAGGAACGGGTTGTTCCTTGCTTGTCATGGAAGGAACATAAAAGAAGAGGGTTGGTTCTTCATCCTTGATTGCAATATGCCTGAAGAAGATGGCCATCCATGGGCTGGGCTCTCTTTGGGCTCCGCTGGGTTGGGCTGAGTGGGCTGGGAATGGGATACTGCATTGTGTTGATTGTATAGAGTGGCTTGATTGCTTTCCTTTTCGTGACTTGATTGCTTGATTGTTTCCTAGCATTTGCTTTCATCAGCGTCTTTGAGCTGTTTTTTTTCCCCAACTAGATCGCATTATATCAGATAAGGTTACAAGGAGCAGATTGCACTATGAAAACAAAACCAAGAATGGAAATCCAAACATCAAGTGACACAATTCATACAGTAAGGTAAACCAATAACGAAAGGGAGACAGATTGATCGAACGCGAAAAGGAAAGCCATTACAGGAGCAAAGGTTTCAACTTCCTCTACAAAAACAAAACCTTGGTGATTGAACATGCAACCCCATAAGCTGCCATTTGGGATTGTTCAGAGATCCATCACAGTGAATTTGGAAGGGATTACTCGCTGGTGGGCAAGGTTGAAACAAGGATGTTTTGACTATTGGTTTGTTGTCATGCCTCGAGTTGGAGGCATGACAGATCAGGACGCTTAATTTATGTTTTTAAGTCAAGCAAAATTTGTGAAATTCAATTTTTGACATAAAATAGATGTATTGTTATAGAATGCAGATTAGTGACAATATATCAAATGAATTTTCGAACCTTGTCCAAATTCATTTCCCACCCACTCAAATTTTAGGAACTATCAAAAGATAGACTCATATCCACCCAAACTTGTATTGTATGGATTTGTTAGGTGGTTAGCAGTTGTCTCCAAACTTAACAACGTACAACTAACCTTAAGCAATGATAGGAAGCCTAACCTTTAAAAGACAACTCTAAGCAAAAACTATTCACCAGCTACTACTGTTAGGTGGCTAGCGGTTGTCTCCAAACTTACTCACGGTATCACTGTATCAGGCACCCTTCTCTGTTACTTCTAGCTGTAGCTGACATCCCTCACCCGTTTCAATCATCAAATGAATCAGCTCTCGGTAGATCGAGCATTCACTGTCTACTACAATAACGCTTCAAATGGCGGCAATAGAGGGGATGGCAACAGTAGTTCGGTCTATTACCTGGAGAGTCTCCAGTTTTGTAACTAGCCTCAGGTACTGGTCACGAGCCTCAGGGCGACGAACCATCGACGTCACTCTAGCCACTGCCTTTCCAAGTACTGCAGATTTCTGTTGACGACCTGTGATCAAGAACTCGTACTCATTCATCTCTTTGACATGAAATCCTCGCAGTCCAACGTCATTCAGCCTCCGAATCTGATGCCCTCTCATATGAGCCTATCATATACACATGACACCATAATTACCAAGTCGGAACCAACCAGTCATCAAATAAACGACAGAGAATGCTTAGAGAGCACGATCCAGACAAGCAATAATAATTCAGGCAAGCAGGTAGGCAGCAGAAGAGCCCAGGAATAGCAACTCACCTTCCTTGTGCATCTCTGAAATTAGGATTGCCACTAGCCTCAACAACAATGTCTACTGCTCAGAACTAGCCAAGTGGAGAACCCCTTGGCCTTCATCATCTAAAAATATATGCACCTTTACTTCCTTTCACGAGCATTACACAGCAGCCACTCACAGAGTTTGTCTGTCATCAAACTTTGAATCAACATATATCTAGTATCTAGGCATTCGACTTTGGTGATCTTCCATTTCTCAATACCCCGAATCCTGCTATTTTCGGCTATTACTTCTATCAGAAGCTATGTCGCTCCTCAGCTTTCAAGCATTGCATCTCTGCACAGAGCAATTCAGCCACTTCCTTTCTAGATTGAGAGATAACAACATAGCAACTAGACCGCTAAATGACATAAAATGGCACATTCCCTAGTACAAGGGGCATGACATCTAATGGCATTACAATTCAAAACTGCAGCAGAGATTTCAAATAAAAACTTCTATCAAAATTGCATTACAATTCACCAAACATACAGTCCCAAATGGTCCCATTATCGGGATTGGGCTTCTCTAAAAAGATACCAGCAACTAGAACCTTGAAACGTAAGTCACAAAGTATGAGCTACTCAGCATAACGAGGCAAAATAGCTAAATAGCTGCACCTGTGAAAGAGAAGCCTCATGAAAAGATCCAATTCCACATGATTTCAATAGTCCGACGGAATAAGAGAATCATCGAAGTCCTGCTTAAATTTATTATTCATCAACCTTCCGCAGATATAAAGTTTTGTAAGGTTCCAGCTTGGTCTGTTCCACCGACTACCATCTGAAACTCTGAATGATGATGAATTTCGTTCTGCATACTAGATATATAGGGTCAACTATCCGATTGTACCTCTCTGGCCATGAGAATGGCATGGCCAGCCATATCAGATTTCAGAAGACCTGTTCTCTAGTCTTGCAAATAGCTTCAACCTTGTTTCTGCAAGTTTTCAGCCAAAGAGATGATCCAGTGCCTTGTTGAAATTTAAATCCATTAGATCGTGTCCAGGAGGTTTGCCTGGTTGGATATAAAAGCCTGAAAAGCAGCAAAAACTTGGATAGTTCAAATTAACAAGTAACAGAGTGACAATCACACGCAGACATTAGCGTCAAATACATATGCAAGTTAAATGTATTTTAACTATGATCAAAGAGACAACCAACCTTTCGTATCAGATGCTTACAAAGAAGCATCATCTGAAGCTTGTCTTTTCCAATCATCTTTGTTTTGAGGCACTGCATAGGTCTTCTCAATGGCAGAAGCTGGTTAGGCTGGCTTTGCGAATGAGGCAACAGAACTGGGATCAAGATTTTCAACCTGATCTACTGGAGTAGATGATGGCGCTGAACTTGATTTCTGCCCAAGTACCATCACTACGTACCTAGTAATGAGACACACCAATGATATTTGGTGAATTAACAAAACCCAGCCGTAGAGGTCAGACACCATATCTAGATAACAGATTCCAAACAAAAGAGTATTTTTTTTTGTAATGAATCGTGTTGTTGTATTTCATAAACAAGCAGTACAGAGATTCAAATGGCGATAAGCTTTACATTAATGTCAATTCTGTGACTATACCCTTATACTCCAGCACCTATAGACCAGTAAAAACTATCAAACACCACTAATAGAGCCTCTAGTTGATAAACAACAAAGAAAACCAGAAGCTAAGAAGCCCAGAATCTTTGTAACCCATGATCTGCTAGGACTGCCACAGGACCAGCATTAATAAGATTCACCATTTGCAACTCGGAACACTTGGAACCTGCAAACACTCTGCTACATCTTTCCCAATAAATATGGCTTATCAACTTCCAGCACTGTCGACATCAGACAATCTGCTCATGAAGCTCCTCATCCCAGCCGGTCTATGGAGCATGATCCGTAAAGCAACCAAAGAGTTGCAGAAACACAACTAAGGATGCATTTTTCCCCTGAAGCTTCTGCCAGTTCCAGCCATTCCTCTCCTTCAGTTTGTACGCTAGAATCCAAGCAACCCAATGGAGAGTTTCTAATAAGCTAAAGATTCAACCAACCTCGCTGAAGCCATACCAGCACCAGCACCAGGTCCCTGTCGACGGCCATCCTTGCCACCCCTTCCTTCAGAGGCCTACTCAGCGGGTGTGATTCATCGCCCGCCCGAAGTCCGCCAGCTTCCGAGACCGATTCGCGCAATATGACGCAGCCATGGAGAGATTCGGCTTCACCGCCACCCGCACCTCACCAAGGTCCGGCGCAAGGCTCCCCGCCTTCTGGTTCCAGTGCCGATTGGGGCTGGCCCTCACCAAAGGACTCAAGCAGAAAGCAAACCCTGCTGCAGCCCCGGTCGCATTACTATTGCCACCATTGTTACCGCCCTTCGCCTTCCCGCGTCTCACCGACGTCGGCGTTCTCTTCAATTCCCACACATCGCCGCCTGGAGGAGTCGGATCGCATTCCTGGGGCAACTCGCGATCTGCGGGAGACATTCCCCGGTGTCTCCTCCGAGGAGGCGGGAGAGGAAGGGATTCCACAGCAGATTGCTTCTTCCGTCGACCGGATAGGATCGAAGAAAACCAGGAAGACGAAGAAGAAGAAGAGCCAGAAGGTTGAGCTGAATCCGCTGCAGCAGCGGTGTCGAGATCTGGATTCCGCAGTTTGTCGGATCTGGAACGGAAGAGATTCGCGAAGAGAGACAGCTTGGCGTACTTCCTCTGGCAGGAAGACGTGGACGCTGAGGAGTATGTGGGGCCGAGCTGTGGAGTGGTGTGGAAGCGGAGGTGTTGGTGGTGGTGTGACCAGGAGTCTAGGTCGTCGCCGCCGCCACGGTGGTCGTGGGATTTGCGACGGGCGACGTAGGGAGAGACGGAGCGGGGGAAAACGAGCGGGTGTTGGGAGGAATCGGATTTGCGAGGGAGTTGATCAGAAGTAGAAGAGGCTGCAACTGGAGGCCGGGAATGGGAGCGGGGGAGGTGGCAAGGGGATGAAGTAGATTGGTGGTGGTGGTGGAGCTTTGACTGAGCTGCAATCAGAGCCAGAAGCCGTTGCCGGAGACAGGAAGCGCAGACACCCACGCTGCCGCTGAGGTCGCAGGGGTGCTGCTTACAGTTCATCCCGCTCCGCCGTTGACGATGCCCGATTGCTGTAACAGTAGATACCAGATCAGAAGAGCCTGGCCTGACGTTTACTTCCCCCAGATGACGGGGGATACCGACGGTGGCCGATTCTCCGGCGAAGGAAACTGTATACAGAGAGATCCGATTCCGATTCCGGGGGAGGAGAATTCGGGGACCGAAAATTGGGGAAGAAAGGTAGATTTTGTCTGGGCTAATAGGAAATTAGAAAATTGGGGATTTTCGAGAGAAATCAGCTTAGCTAGGGATTTTATTGGAGACCGCCAAAAATAATCAGCGAATTCTCATATCTACAAGCGCGAATTCAAATTCCAAGACCTCGTCCGCTTGCTGGTTGACTCTGCTCCTCCTTCCTCCTCATCGAAGTCACCGCCGGAGATCGAGTAGTTTCGACAATTTCCAGTCCTCAAGCTTGAGATCGACGGACGACGGCCGACGAAGAAACTGACGCCGGAAGAACTTCTGTTCACAGCGGATGCTGCATGTCGGAAGAAATTGATTCTTCTGTGGCCGGAGGATGAATCCAGCTGCCGTTGACGCGACGTTGGAAGCAACGGAGGAAGCTTTGCTTTTGGTAGCAGAGGGAGTAGGTAGGACTTTCAATGGCGAATTGTTTGGGAGAGAGAGAAGGGAGAAGGAGGAGCTATGGAGGAAGAAGATGAATGAGAGGGAGACGACCAAAGCGATTGATAATCAACAACAACCACCACCGCCATCATTTACTCCCCACCTTGAAACTATTATTATTAGGGGCTGGAGAGGAAGGCCGAGGCTCAGCTCAGCTGGAGTTTTTTTTCCCCCTTTTTTTTAATTTATTTATTTTTGTTTCTTTGAATAATGGGAGCTGTTGTGGTGCGCATTGAAATCACAGATTGATACCAAAGTGGAATTCAACGGTCATTCTTCAATGCTTTTGGAAAAAAGAAAAACTGCTAATATTCGCTTTAATTTCAACTGAAAATGAGGATGCAACGGGTCGGATTAGGAATGAATAGTGATTATGCATTGTCTTATGACTTATGCTAATTAGTTTGAGTTTTGTTTATACATGCTGTATTCATGTAAGATTTGGATAATAAATGAGAATTGTGCTCATATTCAGATTTGGTTTTACTGATTTAGATATTCATGGATATTCATAGATAATGTTTTGCCTTTATCTTCTCAAGTATTATGTATGTTACTATTCAGAAGTATATTATTACCATAACAAAAGTGATTGATAATAATCACCAATACTAAGAGAAATATTAAAAAAAAGGAATACTAGTTCATTGGATGCTACAGATATACTATGAATATCAACCATGTTAAAATAAAAATTAATGATTTATACTAAATATTAATATCGCATATGAATTTGTAATTGGATGAGTTCGAGTTGGATAGCGGAAAAATAATACCACTCATTACTCTTGATATTTATGTAAGATGTTACCCATACTATCAGGTATTGTATTTTAATTCTTGTTTTGCCTACCCAATCAGATCGATTTTGGAAGGGTATCCATAATTATAGATTTTTTTTATCATTCCTAACATGAAATAATAAAAAAATACCGATGGAGACTACATCGACGGAGGTACATGTAATTTAAAGTGGGTGTTATAACGAAATGGACAATCAATAATGCATTAAAATAAAGAATACATTTAGGAGATTACTAGATTTCAAATCATAACACGTAATTAGTTTCGCCCCAATTATAAAACATGTAATCAATTGATAAACAAACATTGTAAAATCGTAAGATTGTAAGTTATTAATCCCGGGCTCAATACTCAAAGTTTAATTTCAGAAAAATTTATTGAATTTTCCCCCCTAATCTCCCCACGCTTCAAGAACAGTGTATTGGCCATTGAGAAGCAGACAACGCCACGATAAGCAACTAAAAATAATTGGGGGGAAAGAAAGGCGTTTGTCAGTGTGCTTCGTTTTTTCATTTAGGTACACACCAAAATCAATGCTTGCTGTTGCTAATGGCCTTAATTGATTACAACTGTTCTCTCCTTTCTTATGCTTCTTTTTTTGTGCTGTTTTGACTTTGCATTTCTGTTTGGTTTCGGTGGAGGGTGTAATAAGTAAAGGTTGGGATTTTGTCTGTATACGTGTGATGATGATGGCTAATTGATTAGCTTACAGGAAATTTTGGGATTTATTTGAGACACAGAGAGAGATTAAGATAAGGAGTTGTCATTAACTGATTAATTAATAGTGTTTTGAATCAAAGCGTGTAAAAAGGGGAAGAAAGGAAGAAGAATCCAACCTTCCAAAGGCTGCAAGAGGAGGAGAGAAAAAAGAAGGGAAAAAAAAAAGAGGACGGTAGGAGCAACGACTAGTGACAGACAGACTTGTCTTGACATTTTTTTTTTTTTTTTTGTGTTTGGGGAAAACAATATAAGAAAGGATATTGTGATTTGTGAATACCTACTACGGTTTGTCCTCTTGGGTGGGTAAGTTAAATCAATTCATCGATTGTCTTCCACTGCCGCCATAGCTACATACAACTACCTGACTTGAAATATAAGATATCAAATCTAGTGTTTTGAACGATAGAAGAAGATGAAATGGGGTTGTAGGGGAAGATTTGGACTCTCTCATTCGATTTTTTTCGAGAGGCGTGAAAATTGTGACGAAGGGAGGGGGTGATCCCCGTTATCTACGCTTTGACGTCTAAGTTAGCGTAATATATAAAATAGTGAGCGGAAATGTAGAGAGAATAGAGTTTAGAAAGAGGCCTTGTGTGGTTAAGGGGTCGTTTGGAGAACAAGATTTGGATCGTGGATTTATTGAATCCATAGATTTAGAAAAATGTTATGTTTTTTTGTTACTTTTTGTATCGTGGATTGTAACTTCAGAGATTTTAAATCTATAAAATCTAGAGATATCAAATCTCTCATAGTTAGAGAGATTCTATATCTTGATTTTGGTGATTTTCTCCCTCCTATTATATCTCTTGTTTTTTTTTTCATTAATCTCACTAAATACCCTTACAAATAAATTCTCAATATTTTTCGAGCCAGTCTAATTATTTTGGTTAAGGATAAACATGTTATGTGATAAAAAATAGAATTTCTTTTTTCATTGGATGTTAACAATCATAGTTACCAAACAATGAACATTTTCAAATCTTTTTTCAACAATCCTGAGAGTTAAAATCTTTGGATTGTCTAGAATCTAGAGATTTAGGGCACGTTTGGAGAATTGGAGTCTAAATCTCTATATTCTAGACAATCCAAAGATTTTAACTCTCTGGATTGTTGAAAAAAGATTTAAAAATGTTCATTGTTTGGTAATTACGATTGTTAACATCCAATGAAAAAAGAATTTTTTTTTATCAAATAATATGTTTATCCTTAACCAAAATAATTAGATTGGCTCGAAAATATTGAGAATTTATTGGTAAGGGTATTTAGTGGGATAAATGAAAAAAAAAACAAGAGATATAGTAGGAGGAAGAAAATCTCCAAAATCAATATATAGAATCTCTCTAATTATGAGAGATTTGATATCTCTAGATTTTAGAGATTTAAAATCTCTAAAGCTACAATCCACGACACAAAATGTAGCAAAAAAACATAGCATTTTGCTAAATCTATGGATTCGATAAATCCATGATCTAAATCTTGTTCTCCAAACGATCCCTAGACTCCAATTCTCCAAACGAGCCCTAAATGGAGGAGGGGAAGTTAGCCTTTTGCTTAGAAGGCTGGAGTCTCTTTATTTTTAATTTTTATACAAGAGTTTGTGCTTTCGGTGGGCTTGGGCATAAGCAGCAGAGCCAGCCTTATTGGCCATTGTCTTGGGTTAGGGGTAAATTTTGGGAGAAACAAAAATACTTCATATATATTTATACAAAAGATAAAACACAATATCTAGTACAACGTATTATGTCATTATATCACTTACTGATTACTTGATCATAAATTAACATTCAATTAATTTATTTATTATACTACAAATTAAATCTCAATTGGAAAAAAATCTCTTTTCTTCATATGCATATGCGATTATTTGCCCAACAATCTTGAAGCAGTCTAGGGGCAGCGGCGATTCCACTAGTTTTGACGGCAAGTGTAGATAAAATATTTTAATCTTTGAGTTATATCAAGAACGAACTTCGAAGTTGAATTCACGACCAGTTTGCTAATGGTTGTTTAGTGATATCCATTGAAAAGGACTTACTTATTAGTGTAAAATATGAATGTATTTTTTTGTTTCTTTCATAATATGAAAACTTGTCATGGTTGTTTATGAAAATACCGAGTAGTAGTCGTTATTTTTTATACTAGAAAATAAATGATTTAGATATTGTCAATTAATTATATGTGTTAAATATTTATATATTTATAATACGAAAAGAGGACATATGATACATGCCATAGGTAGTTTCAAATCCTACCTCCGCGACTGGGCTTGGGCTCATGTGATACATTGCAATGAGCTTGGTGTTAGTAAACAGTATATAAATCATAATCTAACATCTTCAAACAACTCGAGTTATTGGAATCAATTGACATGATATCATATTTTCCTGTGATTTAGAGGTCTTTTTTCGATTCCCGGTAACTCCATCTGTTCTATTAAACACATCAATTTATAATTGAACTCCTCCCAACAAATCAAATTATTGAGATCAACTGGTTATCGGCCAATAACTTAGTCGTTTATCTTATTAGACAAATTGATATCATATCTCAACACCTCCAATTGTTTCTGTCGAAGAAGATGAAAAGGGATTAAAGGGGAGACTTAGATATCGAAGACCACTACTCTTTGTTTGTTGCCTGTTGGTACTGATTGCCGACAGAAAGATCCTAGATTTGTAGGGGAGGGGTTTGCAATTGCTAGTGTTGCCAATCGGGTTAGATCAGGTCCTTAAGGGCCTAAGTTCAGGTCCTTAAGGTCTCTTTTTTAAGGAGGAACTTAAAGCCTTCTGATGGGCTAACTCAAGATTAGGTAGTTAGTAGGGAGTGATTAGTTTAAAAGTTGTTAGGGGTATTAAGGAGAATATAATTAAATTAAAACATGCGTTTTTTTTTTCAAAAACCCTAACCCATTGCTTTTCGTCTGTTTAGCATATTCCTCCCGCAAGAAGAGCGACCGTCCGTCTCCCCGACTTCTCCGGCTGTCGTCCCAACTTCTCAGTCCGTTGTCCGGTCGTCCCTTCTCCGTCCCGAGTTCTCCGTCGTCCGGTCGTCCCTTCTCCATCCCGAGTCCATCAGTCGTTGTTTCCGTCTCCCTCCCGCTGAGATTTCCGACAAAGGACAACAGCCAGTCGTCGTGCCGACGATTCCGTCCCTTCTCCGTTGTTTCCGTCCCTTCTCTGCCGCAAAGCCTTCGCAAAGCACAGCAACCCTTCTCGGTCAGGCGACGATTCCGTCCCTTCTTCCGTGCCGACGATTCCGTCCCTTCTCGGTCAGCCGTTGTTTCCGTCCCTTCTCCGTCGCAAAGCACAGCAGCCTCTCGTCGGCGGCAGCAGCCTTCGCAAAGCACAGCAGCCGACCGACGATTCGAGTTCTCCATCACGTTGCTCCCGTCAGCCGACGATTCGAGTTCACCATCGCTGAGACCTTCCGTGATCTCGTTTCAACTCTCAGTCTCTCATCGGCGGCGTTTTAAGGTATTTTTTCGTCTCCAATTTTTTTGTCGGTATTTTGTGGGGTTTTGGCGTTGCATGGGATTAGGGTTTTGGCACTGCATGAGATTAGGGTTTTGGCGCTGCATGAGATTAGGGTTTTGTCAACATTGTTAATCAATATGTTCTCGCTCTCAACCTTTTGCTCTCTATTATTAATGAATCTGTCGTGTTATGTAAATTATTAATTACATTGGATTTTTTTTTTAATGTTCATTTCTAACGTGATAATTTTGTGAACACTGTAATCAATTCTTGTCGTGTTATGTTTTTTTAGTATTGGTCGTTATCAACACTACTAAGTTATGTTCGTTATTAACATTTTCTTTTTGTATTGATCGTTATTAAAAAATGAGTTATTAATCATTTCGTGGACGTTCTTTATAATTTTTTACAGTGGTCCACAATATAATATGGCACGTACGAAGAATACTTTGCGTAAGTCTGCACCGTTGAGTAAGCCTATGAAGAAAAAGGCAGATGCACCCATAGCTGATGACAATAGCTTACCAATCAGGTGCAGTGTGTCTCAGGTCCGCAAAATCGTTAAGAATATTAGCCCAAGTCGTGCGGCTATACTTCGAAGTTATGGGTTCGGCTTCGTTCTTAACTTGCAGATGCGTAGTATTGACCCGGATTATTTGCGCTTGGTAAATGTTAATTTTGATGGTGAGTGAACGCACAACTAGCATTTTTAATTGGATTTATTTCCTGTTGTGTTTTCAACTTTATCCTAAGTCATTATCCATAAAATTTGTTTCAGTATTAATTGTGAGCACCTGTCCTTGTAACATTTTGTAGGTCAGTCTATGTCGTTCCAGATGCCTGGCGGGGTACGTTTGTATCTTACTGAGGATGACGTCGAACGCGTGTATGGCTTGCCCAAGGGTACCAATATTGTTGATCTTGACATCTTCGACCAGCGCAATACAAAGGAATGGGCGTTGGCTCTTGGCATATCCACAGCCGGCCCAAATATGATCGACCTAATGCAGTTGAAGAATGACATGAGGAACACAATCGATGATGAATCTTGGGTGCAGATGTGCATTCTATTGAGCATTGGATATGTTTTGGACCCAAATGGCAGTATGACTGTGATGCATAAGTACCTTGGATTCATGAGGGGGAGAGATGCTGAAGAGATTAGAAACTTCAATTGGTGTGGTCACATGCTGAGCCGAGTGAGACGGGCTATTCTTGGGAATTCAGATAGAAAATATGTGGAGGGCGATGTGCACTTTCTCATATGTGCATTCCTGGACCGGACCGGTGTGCCAAACACACCCGGAACAGTTTCTACCATTATACCAAGTTGTACGTTATGGAATGAGAAACGAGTGTCCGGTCGCAAGGAAGCAGTCCTTAGTACTTCCAATGATCTGAGGGTTGTCCCTATATTGGATTTTCCAGGGTCTAAGACCAATAAGAACAAACTGGTGGAGGAGAGGTTTGTTCGAAAAACTAGGGCTAAGCATGTTGATTCTATGGGCATTGCTAGAGAGGTTTGTTCGAAAGGGGTGCAACCAGAGAATTCTGATGGGGGAGAATCTGAACAGAACATGAAGCCCAAGTCGCTGTTCGAACTTATGTCCTTGAGGACCGACCACATGGACACGAATAAGGTTAGCCCCTTAATTTTTATAATTATCAATGTTATTGTGTACATTATCAATAATTTCAGCCTTATTATCAACTACATTTTCGGTTGATTATGTCTTCGAAATGCAGCTTTTGTATATGCGGAAGGAGGCTTTAAGCTTCCTTGCAACGCTTCGCGGTCAGGTGACCTTCTTCAAAAGACTGGTTGGTGTTTGCGAGTCAGAGTTAATCAGTCGTGACGTCACCTCATTTGATGATGAAGATGAAGCTGTCAACGGCTCGGCCTCTCGGGAGCAGACTGTTCCTGAGTTTTCGGTGGAGGGATCTGCTTCGAAAATTGCATCCCCACTTGCCAAAGGTCTTGCAGAGATTTGCACATCGGTTGATAACCCCGGTTAGTTTCCTACCAATTTCATGACAATTATTAACTAGGATTCCCAATTCATTACTTTTATAGAACTTATTATCACTATTTTCACACGATAATTAAATTTGCCATCCTTGTCATAAATTACATATTGAATATGTCATAAAACTGTTGATAATAGGTTGAAAAATATTAATGAATTGGTATTAGCAGTTAATAATCGTGTATGATGATATTGATAATAGGTTTAAAAATAGTAATGACTTGATTACATGCAAAGTTTATTAACTGATGAAGATATTCCTCTCGGATTAACAACTTATTATCACTATTTTCACAAGTTAACACGATAATCAAAAAATATGTAATTTTGAATATGTCATAAAACTGTTGATAATAGGTTGAAAAATATTAATGAATTGGTATTAGCAGTTAATAATCGTGTATGAAGATATTGCTAATAGGTTTAAAAATAATAATGACCTGATTACACGCAAATTTTATTAACTGATGAAGATATTCCTCTCGGATTAATTATTAACAACCATCAATATCATTACTAATCTTTCCTTCTTGGATTATTAACCTAAATCGACAATGTAATTTTCATGCAAAGTTTACTATTAACCTAAACACTTGAATTATTAACAACTCCCACATGAATTGTTAATCATCCCTCTCCGAGTAATGACTTTTACTTATTAACACATTGAATTATTAACCATGTCTTTTTACGTGCAAAGTGGATTATTAATTTAAACACTTCAATTATTAACAACAACCACAAGTATTATTAATAAATTGGTATTATCAGTTAATAATCGTGCATGAATATATTGATAATAGGTTTAAAAATAGTAATGACCTGATTACATGCAAATTTTATTACTAATTTAAACACCTCAAATATTAACAGTTAACGAAGGCATTATTAATTATCCCACACCAAGTTATTAACTTAAATTGTTAACAACTCTGGCCTGTTTTATTAAACAACGAGGCAGCCAAATATACGTGAGCAAAACAAAGTCCCAAAAACTTACCAAAAATAACGGAATATCTTCATCAGTTAATAAAATTTGCATGTAATCAGGTCATTACTATTTTTAAACCTATTATCAATATATTCATACACGATTATTAACTGCTAATACCAATTTATTAATAATACTTGTGGTTGTTGTTAATAATTGAAGTGTTTAAATTAATAATCCACTTTGCACGTAAAAAGACATGGTTAATAATTCAATGTGTTAATAAGTAAAAGTCATTACTCGGAGAGGGATGATTAATAATTCATGTGGGAGTTGTTAATAATTACAGTGTTTAAGTTAATAGTAAACTTTGCATGAAAAATTACATTGTCAATTTAGGTTAATAATCCAAGAAGGGAAGATTAGTAATGATATTGATGGTTGTTAATAATTAATCCGAGAGGAATATCTTCATCAGTTAATAAGCTTTGCATATAATCAGGTCATTACTATTTTTAAACCTATTAGCAATATCTTCATACACGATTATTAACGGCTAATACCAATTCATTAATATTTTTCAACCTATTATCAACAGTTTTATGACATTCTTATTAATTATCTCGACATTATTTGTTAATAAAACAATATGTAATTTTGAATATGCTATATAGAAAATGTTAACAACGACTATAAATTGATTAATAATATAAAACAAGGATGGAAAATTTAATTATCGTGTGAAAATAGTGATAATAAGTTCTATAAAAGTAATGAATTGGGAATCCTAGTTAATAATTGTCATGAAATTGGTAGGAAACTAACCGGGGTTATCAACCGATGTGCAAATCTCTGCAAGACCTTTGGCAGGTGGGGATGCAATTTTCGAAGCAAATCCCTCCACCGAAAACTCAAGAACAGTCTCCTCCCGAGAGGCCGAGCCGTTGACAGCTTCATCTTCATAATCAAATGAGGTGACGTCACGACTGATTAACTCTGACTCGCAAACACCAACCAGTCTTTTGAAGAAGGTCACCTGACCGCGAAGCGTTGCAAGGATGCTTAAAGCCTCCTTCCGCATATACAAAGCTGCATTTCGAAGACATAATCAACCGAAAATGTAGTTGATAATAATGCTGAAAATATTGATAATGTACACAATAACATTGATAATTATAAAAATTAAGGGGCTAACCTCATTCGTGTCCATGTGGTCGGTCCTCAAGGACATAAGTTCGAACAACAACTTGGGCTTCATGTTCTGTTCAGATTCTCCCCCATCAGAATTCTCTGGTTGCACCCCTTTCGAACAAACCTCTCTAGCAATGCCCATAGAATCAACATGCTTAGCCCCAGTTTTTCGAACAAACCTCTCCTCCACCAGTTTGTTCTTATTGGTCTTAGACCCTGGAAAATCCAATATAGGGACAACCCTCAGATCATTGGAAGTACTAAGGACCGCTTCCTTGCGACCTGACACTCGTTTCTCATTCCATAACGTACAACTTGGTATAATGGTAGAAACTGTTCCAGGTGTGTTTGGCACACCGGTCCGGTCCAGGAATGCACATATGAGAAAGTGCACATCGCCCTCCACATATTTTCTATCTGAATTCCCAAGAATAGCCCGTCTCACCCGGCTCAGCATGTGACCACACCAATTGAAGTTTCTAATCTCTTCAGAAGCTCTCCCCCTCATGAATCCAAGGTACTTATGCATCACAGTCATGCTGCCATTTGGGTCAAAAACATATCCAATGCTCAATAGAATGCACATCTGCACCCAAGATTCATCATCGATTGTGTTCCTCATGTCATTCTTCAACTGCATTAGGTCGATCATATTTGGGTCGACTGTGGATATGCCAAGAGCCAACGCCCATTCCTTTGTATTCCGCTGGTCGAAGATGTCAAAATCAACAATATTGGTACCCTTGGGCAAGCCATACACGCGTTCGACGTCATCCTCAGTAAGATACAAACATACCCCGCCAGGCATCTGGAACGACATAAACTGACCTACAAAATGTAACAAGGACAGGTGCTCACAATTAATACTGAAACAAATTTTTATGGATAATGACTTAGGATAAAGTTGAAAACACAACAGGAAATAAATCCAATTAAAAATGCTAGTTGTGCGTTCACTCACCATCAAAATTAACATTTACCAAGCGCAAATAATCCTGGTCAATACTACGCATCTGCAAGTTAAGAACGAAGCCGAACCCATAACTTCGAAGTATAGCCGCACGACTTGGGCTAATATTCTTAACGATTTTGCGGACCTGAGACACACTGCACCTGATTGTTAAGCGATTGTCATTAGCTATGGGTGCATATGCCTTTTTCTTCATAGGCTTACTCAACGGTGCAGACTTACCCGAAGTATTCTTCGTACGTGCCATATTATATTGTGGACCACTGTAAAAAATTATAAAGAACGTCCACGAAATGATTAATAACTCATTTTTTAATAACGATCAATACAAAAAGAAAATGTTAATAACGAACATAACTTAGTAGTGTTGATAACGACCAATACTAAAAAAACATAACACGACAAGAATTGATTACGGTGTTCACAAAATTATCACGTTAGCAATGAACATTACAAAAAAAATTACCAATGCAATTAAATAATTTACATAACACGACAGATTCATTAATAATAGAGAGCAAAAGGTTGAGAGCGAGAACAAATTGATTAACAATGTTGACAAAAACAGTTTGTAACGCCCATCGAATGATTAATAATAGTTAGCAAAAAGGTCCAGAACGAGCAGAAACTGATTAACAATGGACAGGAAAAAAATTAAAAATAAATACTACTGTGCACCGACTAATCCCATGCATCGACGAAAAGCAATAGGTTAGGGTTTTTGAAAAAAAAATACGCATATTTTAATTTAATTATATTCTCCTTAATACCCCTAACAACTTTTAAACTAATAACTCCCTATTAACTACATAATCTTGAGTAGGGATGGCAATCAAACCCATGGCCGCGGGTACCCGACCGCCCCCGACCCAGTCAACGCGGGGAATCCCCGCTTTGACCGGGTATGGGGCGGGTATGGGTAAAACCCGCAAAAAGTTTGATGGGTATGGGGCGGGTATGGTTTTAGCCTCCCCCGCCCCATACCCATACCCATACCCGCCCCACCAAGAGAATTTCTTCACATATCAAAAAATATGTGGATTAAATTGTAATCTATCAATGATGATGAAGATAACTCGAGAAAATAAATAGTAGAAATGCAATTGAGTAACCATCTTAAACAAAACCTAATTCATTTCCCTCAATTCTCCTTCCACTCTTTCACTTTCCCCCTTGTCAACAAGATTATGTTAGTTAATTATTACTTAGTAAATGTATCAAGAGTTAGAGCATAATAATTTAAAAATATTATAGTCTATATTATGTATTAATGGATGTTTTAGGATCATATTCTTTGAATCGTATTTAGAAAATGACCGTGTTTTGTTGACTTCATGATATATAGGTTTATTTATGGTTATAATTAAAACTTTTCTTGTAAGTTTTAGGTATAATAATGTTGGATGTACGGGGATGGGTATTACCCATGGGTACCCGAAACCCACGGGTATGGGGATGGGTTTCCAAAACATTCCCCGCATGGGTATGGGGTGGGTATGGGTTTGGGTGTTTGAAGATGGGGATGGGGATGGTTTAGGCAAACCCGCCCCAAACCCGCCCCATTGCCATCCCTAATCTTGAGTTAGCCAATCTTTAAGTTCCTTCTTAAAAAAGAGCCCTTAAGGACCTACTTAGGCATGTTGCCAATACTAAAATAGCGAAAATGAGTTGAGGGTTTGTAACAAAAGCTAATTGAAGCCGGGCAAATTAATGCCAGTAAGCTGTTCTCTCTCTCACCGGCTAGTCGCCGGCGATCCACTGACGTAACAGGAAACAAGCCGGATTGCCGACAATTGAGCAAAACGGGCTTGCCTAACGATCTGCGTCGTGAAATAAAGAGATTGTAGTCAAGTTTTTAGCGATGTATGTACCCCGATCCATTGACAAAGTGGGAGATGTTTAACCTTACACCAGTTTTATGGCAGGCCGGAAGACGCATCCAAACAGACACGAACACAATCGATTTGAACTGGAAAGAACCAAGATGAACAGCAAAGGGGAGACAGAAAACGAATCTGGAACTTCAATATTATCGATCTCGGATGAAGAAACCTCCATGGTCCTGCTCAATAAGCAAAACCTTACTCAATTTGAATTGCAGGCTCCCTCAATCGTTCACAGAGTAACTCTCCGCTGCTGGGTTTTGATCTGACGAGGAAGAAAGACGAATAGAGAAGTTCGGGGACCGCGGAATCTTCCATGGAGTCGGGATCGGAGAAGGCTTTTAGATCTGGGATGTCAAAATTCAGTTGACCTTTCCCTTCAATTTTAATTGCAACCGGGTGATACTCTGCTACTACTCTGCAACAGCAGCAAGCTTAGCCGCGACGGAAGGAGAATAGCCAGAGCCAGAGCCAGAGCCAGATCCGAATTTGTTGGGAGCTCCGCCGCCTCCAGAAGGCGCCAATTGATGGCTATTTGACTCAGCCATGACAAGCGACTTGTAGATCTGGAGGATCATCTTCTCATCGTACTCCTTAACCGCCCTCCTCCCAAACGACGAGACCCCGTCGCCGCCGTAACCCGCGGCGCCGACCATCCCGCCGCCGGCGGAGTTGGCGAATCCGAGCATCATCCTGACGTAGGCGTCGCGGAGCCAGATGAAGAACTTCTTCGGTGAAGAGAGTTTGTGGAGGAACTTGAGCTTGGGCTTGATCTTGATCCGCCACGTCATCCTCCGCCTCCTCCTCCCACCGCCGAGCTCGACCTGCTCGATCCTGGTCGAAGTGGCGGAAGAAGAACCGCCGTGGATGCGGCGGTAGCCCTGCCGCCTCCAGTAGCGTTTCATTTTGGTGTATACGGTGGGAGAGATGCCTTCCATTTTGGGAGAAGTATAGTGTTGAGGATTTGATTGGTTGAGGGCTTGAGGCTATTAAAGAAGAAATGGGGATCTGGATTCTGGAGGATTTCCCGGCGAGGATCGGGAATGGGAAGGAAGAGAGAAGCACCTGTTAGTCCAGTGTCCACTCCTGCAATGTTGGCGACATGAAACGTGTCCGTCAGCGCCGCTACTGGGATGGGATCAATAGACATATAGAGCCCATAATTTTCAGATTTGGGCCCAAAACCTCCAATCCAGCCTTGTTCAGCCCGGCCCAAATGTTCGAATCATTCCAATTCCAATACGCTATTTCCAGTGATTTCAAACACATAAAAGGTAATCAGGGGTAACAGAACAAACCGATTACAAAAGTTTTGTTTTGCATGATTTGGTAACACAGGTTTGGATGTGTAACAAATGGTTATTTTAGTCCGATCTTTATGTAAATTTCCTCCAAATTCATCCATTAAGCATTCACGTTATATAAAAATAATAGAAAATTGAGAGGAACTCAAAAGATTAGACATAGAAATGATTTTTTTTTTGTCACTTTCTGTCTAAGCCGTCCAATTGACAATTTTAGAAATTGCACAAAATTTTAAATCGGAATCATTTTAGTGTTCATATTTAATTGCATTTCATTTTTTTTATAAGGGTGATTTAAATTATTTTTTTTATTACGTACTACTTAATAGATTCGAATCCGAAGACTTCCAGATTCAACTATCGTGGTATTACTATTACCACTTATTCAAAATTGTACATATACAATGAATAGTCATATTAATACAATTTATTTTGCAAATGCAAAAACCATACCATATCATTTCGCAGTTTGAAATGGAAGACAATGTCACGGTAGATACAAACAAACCATGTTAGACAACTTTGTATCTCTAGGTTCCTGATGCCCTCTTCTATTACGGTTACCCTTTGTCCTTCTCCTTCTCTTTCTAATAATAAGAAGACATTTCTTCTTACTAGTATTTGTTGTTTGTTTCAGTAAAAAAGTTTGTTTATCTGAATTCTCTACTACCAGAGAGACGAAGACAACGGAAGGTAGCATGCCATGCTCTCTTTGACAGGGAAAGGTGCTTCCATCAAGTAATGATCACTTCCGTCAAGCAAATCATGCATTCCTCTTCAGCCGAAAGGCAAGGAAGTGACAAGACATTGCTATGTTTATGCACTTTCATACTCCTGTACTCCATCTGTCTGTTGGTCTCATTATGTTTCTGAAAGAGACCAACCCTTTTGAGTTCTGATAGCCGTGACAGTAATGGATTCTTCATTACTGGTAGTAGTTTCCTTTCTTTTGCAGAATGAGACTTCGAATCTGAATTCTGAAGAGAACATTCAGTTTTCTCCTTTTTAATGAATGAAAAACACAGTTGCTAAGTCATTATTTTGAAGTAGATACTTAAGGAAGAGCCTGAAACTAGAAGGGTGAAGGGATATGCCTGGTAATCGATCTACCAAGGCGAGATTACTAAAGTACTGAACAATGGAAACTTGTTGGTGGGTTCTGTGGTGGCGGCTCTTAGTTGTGCTGGCGGTGGCAGATGTTGGTTTGGCCATTGATGAGTACAGCAGAGCTGATTTTCCAGATGGGTTCATATTTGGAGCAGGAACATCTGCTTATCAAGTGGAAGGAGCTGCAAACCAAGATGGGAGGAGCCCCAGCGTATGGGACACTTTTGCTCATGGTGGATATGCAGGCGGACCTACAGGTGACATTGCAGTTGATCAGTACCATAAATACAAGGTCATTCCTCTCCCTCAGGTTTTCACATTGTAACCTGCAATTCTGCAGTCCAATCATAGTTTTCTCAGGAAGCCCACCTACCTTGTTTCAGGAAGATGTACAGCTAATGGCTGAAATGGGTTTGGATGCATACAGATTCTCCATCTCCTGGTCCAGGCTCATCCCTGGTATTCTGTTCACCTTTTGCTAATCTGTTCATGGTTCTACTTGGTTGTTTCTCTGAACCGAGTGACTTGATTCATTCTGTTACCACGTTTTCCCGTGGCAGATGGAAGAGGAAATGTGAATCCTAAAGGACTTGAATACTACAACAACCTCATCAATGAGCTCATTAGCCATGGTAGGAGACTCTCCTTCCAGCCTCACATACGCTTGTTGAACTTCCATGCTCTTTGATTTTCTAGTTGCCTTTATGGTGTTTTCAGGAATCAAACCACTGGTTTCTTTGTACAACTTCGATCACCCTCAGGTTCTTGAAGATGAGTATGGTGGATGGGTTAGTCGAAAGATGGTGTATGTATGCTCCCTTTGACTGAATCCCTTCCCTGCTTTTTCTTGGCTTGAAATGAAGTGATTTGCGAGAATGGAAATTTTTGCAGGGAAGATTTCAAAGCTTATGCAGAGGTGTGCTTCAAGGTGTTTGGGGACAGGGTTTCTCATTGGACAACCGTAAATGAACCAAACATACTGGCACATGGCAGCTACGATCAAGGAATAAGTCCACCGGGCCACTGCTCCCCTCCATTTGGTGCTGCAACATGTGTTCATGGCAATTCCACTACAGAACCTTACCTGGTTCTCCACAATATCCTCCTGGCACACGCCTCGACTGTAAAGTTGTACAGAAGAAACTATCAGGTTGGTTGGTTAACCTTCTATCCATCTCCTCGTGCATTACTTAGTGACGATCATGAAGAACAACTGTATATTGTCCAGTCTGCTGATACCAGATATCTGATGTAGTTGAAGTCTAACAATAAGATCACAAATGGACCGAAATTTTTTAGTACCTGAGAACATCATCCATTACTCAGTTTGAATTTGCAGGGGAAGCAGCATGGGCTGATTGGGATTACACTCTATGCTTTTGGTTTTGTTCCTGACACTAACCTGACAGCAGATGTAGAGGCAGTCCAGAGAGCCAAAGCATTCTACTTGGGTTGGTGAGTCATAACGAACTGAAGTCGGTCTGTTCTGCGCAACCTGAGCACGAATTCAGGAAAACTGAATTCCAAACTGTGTACTTGTTCTTGTACAGGGCTGCAGATCCTTTGGTACTTGGAGACTACCCGGAGATCATGAAGAGGAATGTTGGTTCCAGACTTCCAAGATTCACGACCGAAGAATCAGAGCTCGTGAAGGGAGCTTTCGACTTCCTTGGACTCATACATTACATGCAGGTGAGTGTCAAAGACAACCTCAGCAGCCTCAGTTTGGAGCTCAGAGACTTCAATGCGGATATGGGTGCACAAATAATGATGGGTAATGGCATAATCTTTACTCTCTCACTTCACCCATTAAAATCCTGGATTATTTCTTCCTGCTGTTATAAGACTGAAAGGGTTTTGCTTGCTTCTGTTGGCTTCATTCCATCTCGAAAGACCATGACAGTTACTTCACTGGGGTAAGAACTAAGAACTTGCAACTCTTTTGTTACGACGATGCCTGCCCACCTGTAGCTTCTTTGATTCGTCGAATAGTAAGCAATGATGCACTGCTTGGATATGATTTGCTTGTGTGTTCAGTTCCCTGTTAGACCGCGGGCTCTGCAGGAGATCTTGGAGGATTTTAAACAGCTTTATGGAAACCCGCCGATCTACGTACTTGAAAATGGTTAAGTTAGTAGAATTGGTTACTGTCCTTCCTTGCCTGCTTTCTCTGGTAGGCTGGATGTACTGAGATAAAGTTTTGCAGGTCAAGTGAACGTTCGCAACACGAGCTTGATCGACGTTGCCAGGGTGGAGTATCTGCAAGCCTACATTGGTGCTGTACTAACAGCAATCAGGTAAATATTATATACCACCGGTCCATTCCTTTCTTGCTCAAGCCCTTTCACCATTTCCTGCGCCTTTCTAATTCGGTCATCATACTACAGGAACGGATGTAACGTGAAAGGTTTCTCCGTATGGTCACTGCTAGACGTGTTCGAGTTATTGGGTGGTTTCCAGACAGGGTTCGGATTGTATTACGTGGATTTGGACGACCCTGACTTGCCTCGATACCCGAAGCTCTCTGCTCACTGGTACTCCCATTTCCTGAAAGGCGGCATCATTGATTCTTCTGCAAATGTTGAGCTTGCCTCGAATCTGAGCAGCGTCACAGATCTTCGCAGTCAGCGTTCATCTTACTAGGCGACGATTAATTCTGCTGCTTCACTGTTTGCTACATTTACTTGTATCATCCAAAATTTCCAAAAAAGCTAGTCAAATAATAAAAAGGCCAGCGGTAAAAGAACTAAGAAGCAGTTTTATTCATCTGTTCTGTCAAACACGTACAACTAAAACTTAACTAATAAACTAACCTTTCCAGAAAATCAACACTAGTCTACAGTCTACTGACCAAGCTTCTGATGTTAGATGATTGGTGCTTGGCTGTTGTTTCCGTTTGATTCTAATTTTAACCGTCAGTCATATCACCTGATCCTAAACTTACTCCCAGTATCAAACTATTTAATCACCCTTCTGCATTACGCTAGCTGTTGCTGCCATCTCTCACCTGTTTCAAGCGTAAAATGAATCAGCAACTCTCGGCAGATTGAGCATTCACTGTCAACTACTATAACACTTTGAATGATACATTGTCTACAACAGTTGCTACTGGTGTGTACCTTGAGCGTCTCGAATTTCGTAACTAGCCTCAGGTACTGGTCGCGAGCCTCAGGGTGACGAACCATGGACGTAACTCTAGCTAGCGCTTTTTCAACTCCTGCAGATTTCTGTTGACGACTGGTGATCAAGAATTCGTACTCATCAGTCTCGCTTTCTGGCACCCCCTCCGTCTCTTTGGCATTAAATCCTCGCAGCCCAACTCCTTTCCTCCTCCAACGTAGTATTGCCTTCTCAACGATGCTCACAGACCAGACAACCTTGTTGTAGTTCCTCCGTACCTGATGCCCTCTCATATGAGCCTGTAACATATACATATGGCACAGAAATTCGCAAGTCAGAACGACCAGTCAACCCAATGAACAACAAAGAAGGGGCAAAGAACAAGGAAATGGAGTTGTACCTGAATTTTGACAACCCGATCGCGAATCATTAGAAAATCTTTCCTCCCTTTCCACCCGCGGTATTTCTTTTGGATCTTTACAGCGGCAGAGTGCAAGGAATCTTCAAAGTGAATGTGATTCCTTTTCTGATGATTTTTCAATACACCAAGAACAGCCAATTCACGTGAAACCTCATGAAGCTCATCATCATCATTATTATCACAACTTCTATTCTGTGATGATCTAAATCCAAGCAACGACTTCTTCTCCCTGTACATTGCTTGAATAAGAGCTGCTGCGTGGGCTGATTTCCTCACAGCAGCCAGAGATTGTTTCAGGGAGAGCTGCTCACCTGCTGCCAAGTTCATTGGAACAGAAACTTGGGCTGCCATCCTTGCATTTTCGGCAGCTATTGTGGCGTCCTCACTATCCACCAGGTCTCGCTTCTTACTTAGCGAACAGAGTTGCCTAGATAAAGATGCTTCTGCCAAGTATCCTGCAATTCCTTTGTGCCCTTGTCCTGATGCAACTTCTGCAGCACTTAGTCCTCCCGGAAAAGATGGAGTTGGATCATCAACAGCTGTTGGATCAACCCCCAGCCTAACCAGAGCCACGACTGTTTCTTCCCTGCACAAAGGAGCCAGAAAAAAAAAAACCAAATATATTTCAGTATCATAAAGATAATGATTTCTCTGTTACAAACAATATTTTTGCAACAACACTCTCAATCTTATGAATAAAGAAATGGCGCTGCTTCGTAAATTATTTAAGGAACTTAAGTAATTTATATCCATCACAAAAACAACAGGTGGACATGATCACAAATATACAGTTTTTAGTGACTTGGATGCGACAATAGTGGCTCTGAGAAAAATAGAACAAATTGGCAACTCAGAGAGCACAATCCATACTAGTGATATAATAAGTTAAGCAGTCAGGCAGTAGAAGTGCCCAAAAGATGGCAACTCACCGGCCAAAGTATGAAGCCCAATGTAGAGCGGTCCTTCCTTGTGCATCCCTGAAATTAGGATTTCCACTAGCCTCAACAACAAGGCCTACTGCCCAGTAATAACCGAGACCAGAAACCAAGTGGAGAACCCCTTGGCCTTCATCATCTAAAATATCTGGACCTTTACCTCCTTCATGAGCCTTACACAGCAGCCACTCCCAGAGTTTGTCTGTCATCAAACTTTGAATCAATCTATCTCTAGTATCTACTGGTTCACCTTCGGTTATCATCCATTTCTCAATGCCCCAATGCTGCTCTTTTCGGCTATTACTTCCATCAGAAGTTATGTTTCTCCTCAGCTTGCAAGCGTTGCATCTCTCGACAGAGCAATTCAACCACTTCCTCTCTATGCCGAGTGATAACAACTTAGCAAGACGGACTTGAAAACATACTTCTAACTGTTGCACACTTCTTTCAGAGATTGAAGAAATTTTTATTGGATTTTCACGATACTGAAATTCCCTTACCTCACTGCACGCTAACCTGTCACGACAAGTGACATAAAATGGCACATTTCCTTTAGCATGTACGGGGGCATGACATCTAATGACAGTACCATTCAAAACTTCAGCAGAGACTTCAATTTCACCAAACATACAGCCCCATCTGGTCTCATTATCGGGTTTGGGCTTCTCCAAAAAGGTACCAACAATTAGAATCTGGAAAAACAAGCCACAAACATGAGCTACACAGCAAAACGAGGAAACTCATAGAAACACTTTTGTAACAACTAACAAGGATCTTAGAGTAAGTGAATGTTTAAAATGATAACAAACCTTTGTTTCAACACCAGTGTAACCCCATTCTGGTGTGAAGTCCTGAATGGTAAATAGCTGCACCTGGGAAAGAGAAGGCCCCAAGGAATCAACATCCAATTGCATATGGCGAGACAAGCTAGACACTTCTCTCTCCTCGTTTTCTGCAGCAAGCGTATCCCAGTAATTTCCAGAGTCAGACAGAATCAGAGAATCATCACAGTCCTGCCCCATTTCTTTATTCATCCACCTCCCAAAGCTATCAAGCTTTTTCAGGTTCCCCAAGTCGTTATTATCTGCATCATCTTTCCATTTTCCGGCTTGGCTTGTACTACCGATAACCGTTTGAAGCTCAGAATGATGATGGATTTCACTCTGCAACATTAATGTATATAGTCACAAATTATATCCAATATTCTTCACCCTACAATAGAATTTGACAACCAACATAACCGGGCAATTCAATTTAAACATTTTCCGTCTCCAACATTACACAGAAACAACGAACGACAACAAGAAAGAATAATCTATCATTCTGTACTAATTATCTAATTAAATTTGGCCTGCGGAAAGAAAGCCAGTAAGATTAATTTTATAAAGGGGAATGACGAGAAGTTGAAGCACATAAGCTACAATGTCAGTAGAACATACAGCAGATTGTGGAGCTTCTTTAGTAGCAACTGCAGGTCTACTATCTGATAGTGCAGCTGATGCCATAAGAATGGCATAGTCAGTCATATCATAATTCAGAAAACTTGTTCTCTGGTCTTGCAAACTAGCTTCACCTTTGTTAGAGCTGCAAGTTTCCAGCCAAAGAGAAGGTCCAGTGCCTTGTTCAAATTTAAGTCCAATAGATTGTGATCCATGAAGATTACCTGGTGGGAAACAAAAACCTGAAAAACAGGAAAAACTTAAATAGTGCAAAATGGATGATATGCTAAAATAAATAGGGACAGAATCAACATCCCATGCGAAATTTTGCGTCCAGTACTGATGTAAACATGCATAAAATTATCTCTACTGGCCGAGGAACCATATAAACCTATTTCGATCGAAGAGACATCCAACCTTTGGTATCAGATGCGAACAAAGAGGCATCATGTGATAATGTTTGTGTTTTCCAATCAGCTTTGTTTTGATGCACTGTATAGTCCTTCTCAATGGCAGAAGCAGGTGAGGCTGGCTGTGCGAATGAGGCAACAGAACTGGGTTCAAGATTTTCAACGTGATCTACCGGAACAGGTGATGCGCGGAACTTGTATCTCTACAGAGATCATGTGAGCAATAGAAAGATAAGAAAAAAGTACCCAAATTAAGATGATATAAGGGAAGTGGCCATTTCATGAAATTTAAAACCGTCAAAAACCATAATACAAATGAACTCATTCAATTGCTACAGTGGCATAACATTATAGCAACCAACCAGAAAAATGAATAACCAATTAACCATTTCTTTATCCCCCATGGAAGTTCCCACAGCTTGTTAACCAGCTTTTTTACAAACATATTCTGAAAACCTTGGTGAAAATGCAGGAACAAAAAAGTGGATACTGTCCCTCGTTGAACCCACCTCTCTCACTTCTCTGTAATGAACAAGAACAATGTGGTCTAATTTCCTGAAAACCAAGGAAAATGAGAATAGCTCAGAGACATAACCAATAACTAGAACAGAAGGCACTGAAATAATAGTGTGCTTTCTAAAAATCATCCATCATATGAGCCTAGTTTCAACTGAAGAAGCATGCGAGAATACACATACTCATCAAGCATCCAATAGCATCGTCGCTGAAAATTCTCATTGTCCTCCCCATGGGCATAGTAACAATGGAGAACATCTACACTTCCAACCTGAACAAATCAGTTAAAGTCAAAGAGATCAGGAAACCGAAATGAACAGCCATTAGGATTGGCAAAGTATCATAAGAAAGCTCATCAGCACACAATTGTTGCTTCTTCAAAACCTGTGGAAGTTCCAGTGGCTTTTCGTGGAATAGAAGTAATCTAATGGAGAAACTTTGAAGCAGCAATACAGAAACAACCAAAGCACTCAAGCACACGACCCGCAGAAGAAGTGTTTTGGTGGTCGAAAACCCGAACTTACGAATAATAAATTGAACAGCACACCTTCAACTTTTCGTGCGCTTCTCGGACTGTCTTCCCATCTTTCTTCTTCTTCCAGTTGTGGTTATCTCTGCGGAAATACCGAAGCGCTTTCCGATCAAAAAGGAAGAGGGAACCAGCTGCGAAAGAAGAACACAAATTGTGAGCATTAAAACAAGTACCGCACGAAAGAATTTCTTCAAAGTCGAGAAACAAAGAGAATTGAGTAGAAGACAGTAATGGCGGACCTGGAGGCAAGTGAGGCGGCTCTGCACTCAACTTGAATATGTTGTAGTTGCTCAATATCTGCATGATCTCGGAAGGTCGTAGCCACCGGTGTTTGGATTCTCGCAGAATATTTTCCAGCTCTGCCAAACAAAATTTTCAAAACAGCATCGACAAGCCGCGAGAAAATTTTAGCTAAGCAGTTTCAATTCAACGAACTAACACATTACGCGCCACCATAGCCGAACCAATTAAGCACCAACGAGAACAGTTTTCCACTTCTAGCATAGGGGAAAAGGCAGAATGAAAACGAACCTGCAGGACTCAGCATCATATGCTGCTGTTGCTGATGACGATTCATGAGCTGGTCCGGAAAAGTGTTCGCCATGGACGAGGAACCCTAGATTTTCATCAGCTACCTTGAGATCACAATTCAAATTCCAGGAGGCGGTTCAGGTACTATAAACAACAGCAACGGTGGAGAAACATCGTACATATAAGCATAGCAAGAAAGCTAAAAATAGAAATGGCTGGAATCAGTCGATCAATCTCAGGCGCGGAAAGTGGAGCCGGGAAGAAGGAGAGAAGCAGAAGAGACGAGAAGGAAGGTGTGACGAACGGCGGCGGAGAGAAGGAAAGGAAGGAGGGCGTTATGGAAATGGAGATATGGGAAGGCGGGGGCAGGGAGGTTCATCGAAACAGAGCTCTCGATACATTACCGCGTGATATGAAGGAATCTGCGGGTTGTTTTTCATTTTTTTGAAAAAAACAACAAAATTGCATCAGTTTCCGGGACCGCCCTTATTATGAATTTTAATTCACTTCTGATTTGAATTTGTTGATTAGTAGATGAATGAGAGGAGCATAAAATTAAAAAGGTAAGGGTTCCTGCCTGGCGCTAATCCAACTCGCAATAAAAGTCAAAAGAGAGAAAGAAACAGAAGAAGTGTTCACATTTGTGACTGAAATCAAAATAAGATTGTTTCCAGGTAATTAACTAATTCTTTATTAATACCAATTTTTGTATAGTTTAATAATTTTTGAAACTTATTGATTCGATGAATATGATCCTAAATACGTTTAATTTATCGAGTCTTACGTGACAAACTATTCCAACTTTATTGACGGTCATCAAAATCTCAAGAGAAACTCATAGTGACTTACGTATCAAATCATTCGGGCCTCTTTGCGATCATCGGGGCCTTACATGATCTCACATGACAAGTTATCCAGATCTCTCTCGATTGTCATTAGGACCTCACATAACCTCATGTGACCACACGTGACAAGAAACTCTTAACGGAAAGGAAATTTCAATTTTCATTTTAAGGTGATATAGCAGTTATTAAGTTGATTTTGACTCGCACGTTAATGCTGACCGTACATTTTGTTAAATATAACAGAAATGAAAATTTCGTTCACGATTGTCATATAAAAACTATAATATGTAAATGACAATATCACTAGAAGTTTATATTTGTAGTGATATATTATTATAGGCAAAATACTCTTTCATAGCCACAACTTTCACGTTTGTGACATATATAGTCACAACTTTCGAAAAACACGACTAGTCAGAATTTTTATAGTAGTTTGACAAATCTAGCTATTTCCTCTACAAACTGTAGCAGTGTAAGAGATTGTGTTAGTTAGGTTAACGACACGCTGACTAGGATGCCAAATTGACGCACACGTAGCGAAAACTCGGCCTCACTTGCCACGTAGATGCCACGTCATAATTTACTTTAAAAATATAGCAATACAAGAAATAGCCAGAATTTCGATGTTTTTTTTTTACAAATCTAGTCATTTCTGTTACGAACTTTCGAAATACACAAAACAGTCGCGACTCGCGACCATGTGCTTGATTTCTTCTAAGGGCTCTGTTTTAGAAGGATTGCAACGAGTCGAGCTAGTTGACAACAACGAATCGAGCTTCATCGGAAACAAGAACAACCGTACATGCAACAGTTACGAGGAACTGGAAGGAAAAATGCACTACGAGCCGCCACATCCTTCCTTCCCGATCCATCATTCTCTGTCGTCATCGGAGACACTGTCTCCTCTTTCACCAGCGTCGCCGATGCCTTCTTCTTCGCGACAGTCATCAGCTTCTTCCCAACAACCTTCTTGCTCTCTTTCTCGTCGTTTTTCTGTGAACTCGCCAAGTGTTTGAGGCCTTATTCTTCAATCTAGCGATTGAGGATCTAAATCAGCAATTCGGGAAATAATGCCTCATTCTCAAGTCATACACTCATACTGTTAATCCATGCGAATCGCCAACGCAACACTTCTGTTAGTCCAGTCATACTGTTAAGTGACATGTTAAATGGATGGACGAAAGTGGTTGTTTTGTGTATTTCGAAAGTTGTTGCTACAACTGTCACAAACGTGAAAGTTGTGGCTATGAGAGTTTTTTTTTTGTTAATCCACATGGATCGCCAACTCAACACTTCCGCTAGTCCAGTCATACTGTTAAGTGACACCGTTAAAGGGATGAACAGAAGTGGCTATTTTGTGTATTTCGAAAGTTGTGGGTATAACTGTCACATACGTGAAAGTTTTTGCTATGAAAGTGTATTTTGCCATTATTATATAATAATAAAAAACCCCGAAACGTTTGGATTTTAGCAATCCGTTTCGCGTCTACCGTCTCTCAATCCCGTTTCCCGTCCCTTGTCGTGGTTTCGAGTTTCTGCGCGAACGTTTCGCGTTGGCCCAGCCGCTTCGTGGTTTGGGTTTTCACCCCTTTCCCCTTCTTCTGTTGCATTTTTTCCCCGCAGGATCAATCGGCTTTTCGATGTCTGGTTACCATCGTCACGCAAAGAATGCAAGTGCGAATAATCCTTCCATCCGCTTTATTTCGTCTTCCTTTACGGAGCAGAGTGGGGCGTCGTATTTGTTTCCCCTAATAAGTTAATGGTCCATCCAGCATGGGATTGGCATGGTGGTGGTTCATCCACTCTTAACAAGAAAATGGCGGAAACATACAGATGGGTATAAGAGGGTGAAGCTTCTGGGTTAGACGGAGAAACTGGAAATCAAGACGGTGGAAGGGAAATACTTGCTTTTGCGATAGTTGCCTCTTTGTCTCTGTGAGTTCTTCTTTCCCATTTGATTGATCGACAAAAGTTGGCATTTTAAGTGTTTGTTACTTTGTCTCAGTGACTGAGTGAGTATTTAATTAATTGTAGTTGGTCGGAAGAGGTGCCGGCCGCCGTCGGGAAGAAGGGCAACGGACGCCGGGCGGGAGACATATTATTATTGTTGCCTGTTAATTAACTTAATATCAATTTTTTTTTTGTTTCTTGTTTGGGGTTGAGGGGTAAATAGGAAAGACCGAAAGAGCAGCCTCCCTCACCACTCCCTCGCTGCAACAAACACGCAAACACAGATCCACACTCTCTCTCTCTCTCCTCTTCTCCGCGTCCGAACTTTCTTTCTCCATCCCAATCGACAATTCTTTCTCTCCTGTCGATGGGAACGGTAATGGAGGTATTGGGATGGCCATCATCGATGGCTGATTGATTTTGGAGTATGGTTGCGATGCCCTTTGATTTTTCGCGCTCTTCCACTCCTGCATTTACTCTTGCCCTCACTGCTCTGCTCACTCTTTCACCCGTCTCCCGTTTTGGGTTTTCATGACGCGCGCTCTCTCTCTCTCTGTCTAATCTCTCTCTGCAAGCTCGCTTAGCTTTTGGATCCACCGTCTGATCTCCGACTGCAACATTTCCCCTAACCTCCGGATGCCGTCCTTGTTCCCTCTCTTCTGCTAATTAAGCAAGCAGCTATCACTGTCTCCGGCACTGGGTTTCTCCGCCTGTTTGTATTCAATCCCTGCTCCTCGCTCGCTCACTCTCGTTACTGCAGGCCGCATTTGAAGCTTGCAAACTGGGTCGACCATGGCGATGATAAGCAAGCCCCTCGTTTTCACTTACATCTACCTTCTGATCTACATCATCCTCTCCTCCGGCGTCATCCTCTACAACAAGGTATACCATCAGTCACACTCCCTTACTACTTCCTGCTTCTTCTGCTTGCTAGCTGCCTGCCTACCTCACGCTTCCTCTCATTTCCCTTTTTGCAGTGGGTTCTCTCACCCAAGTATTTCAATTTCCCCTTCCCCATCACGCTCACTATGATTCACATGGCGTTCTCCGGCATCGTCTCCTTCTTCCTCGTCCGCGTTTTCAAGGTTTGCACAATGTCTTTCTTCTTTTGGTCATTCTGCTCGCTTATATGTGCTGATTACTACTGCTACTGTCAACTTAAATTTCTGCAATCTCAATTTGGAGCAACCCATTTGACAGGAAAACCCTCTATGCCTTGTTCTTGCCTGATCATTGTTGCTAACACTACCTGATTACGGATTTGGAGAGACAAGAATAAGGAGAAAACACCTACCCTTCTGAATGCTGCAGAATTTCTAATCATACTCTCAACCTTGTTTTGCCATGTTGACTGAAATAGCAAATTAGCTCTATACTGCTCTTGAATCCCCCTTGTTGCTGATTTTGTTTTCTTGATTATGTGCCTCGTATCCTTTTGTTCCCTTTTCCTGTGTGCTTACTGTAGCTCTTACCTTCTGTCTCTCTTTCGCTTGATGGTGTGCAGGTTGTGTCTCCTGTCAAAATGACCTTCGAAATGTATGTATTTCTTCTTCCATTTGACCTTATTGTGAAAACCTCCCCCCTCCTTTCATTTCCAGTATTAACTTCTGTTTCCCCTGATGTTGCAGCTATGCCACTTGTGTCATACCCATAAGTGCCTTCTTCGCAGCAAGTCTTTGGTAAGCTTCTGCACTGTCTGAATACCGCACACATTCTTTAACTTGCTTGGTCTTACTGTGGCAAAGTAGTGATGCAACTTAGGGAAAACAAACAGTCATGTCATGCCTCACAATACATGAATAACTCGATTTCATCAGTACAACATAGGCCCAGTTCTTATATACAATTTAAGTTGTTGTTCGCAATACATGCCTTCATTGTCCAGCAAGACAACGCATCCAAATTTCTTATTTATTTTCCCGGCTTCTACGCTACGTTTTTCATGTATAAGTCCCACTTATTCTTATGATTACCTTGAAAATTTTGCTAGTTGAGTTACCTATGGGTGAATTCATATATGCAGGTTTGGAAACACTGCATATTTGTATATATCAGTGGCCTTCATCCAGATGCTTAAGGCTTTAAGTAAGTGGAATCAAACTGTGTAACATTATTCTTGGTCAAATATTCTGTTTTGTTTGATTTAATCTTATGTGTGCTCATCTTCTTGTGAATTTTTCTTTGCAGTGCCAGTGGCAACTTTTATCATGGCTGTATTATGTGGCACTGACAAAGCAAGGTGTGACGTGTTCTTAAACATGTTGCTGGTCAGTGTTGGAGTTGTCGTTTCCTCGTATGGGGAAATCCATTTTAATGTAGTTGGTACAGTTTACCAGGTTACGGGCATCTTTGCAGAAGCACTTAGGCTGGTCTTAACTCAAGTTCTTCTACAGAAGAAGGGCTTGACCCTGAATCCTATCACCAGTTTATATTACATAGCTCCATGCAGGTACTTATGAATTTATTATGATGCCTCGGATCTGGCTTCCCCATGTGGCATGTCTACCTGATTTTGAACTCTTAACGTTCGAGTGTCTGATCGTAACTTAAATTTACATGCGAGTGGCCGTTTTTGTGCAGAATTCTTCCTTATGTGTCCATGTTATCCGTGCTTTCAGATTTTATGGTCATTCTTATAGCGAGTTTTTGTCTTGTTGATTGGATGTAGTAACTGGAATTCTCTAGTTTTCACTACCGTCTGCCAATGGAATCAATAGTATCTACTTGTTCGAGTTGGATTAATGGAGAAGCTTGATTACTTTGTAGTGTTACTCAAAGTTCGTCATGTTTGGCTGAACTTGTGCTTAAAGGACAAGGAGAAACCAGCTGTTGATGCAGCCAATATCTTCTGTCTCATACAGAATTAGCTGAAATTATTTCCAGATGCTTTCTTGGATTATAAAGTTGCTATATCACATACTTGTACCAATGTTTTAGCTGCTCGCTCATGTAACTCTATTCTGTTACCTGCAGTTTTGTGTTTCTGTTTGCGCCTTGGTATCTACTGGAGAAACCAGGGATGGAAGTTTCGCAGATTCAGTTCAATTTCTGGATTTTCTTTTCCAATGCACTCTGTGCATTAGCCTTGAACTTCTCCATATTCTTAGTGATCGGAAGAACTGGAGCTGTCACCATCAGGGTTGCTGGTGTACTTAAAGATTGGATACTGATAGCCCTTTCAACCGTAATATTTCCAGAGTCTACTATAACTGGCCTGAACATAATTGGTTATGCAATTGGTATGTATTCCTAATAGCTATCTCTGAGAAATTCTAATGTGTACCTATTGTTAGCACATGCATTTTGGAAACTTATTATGTGATTTGATTTACTCTTGTGCAGCTCTTTGTGGTGTTGTAATGTACAACTACTTAAAGGTTAGGGATGTCCGTGCATCATCGCAGCTCCCTGAATCTTCTCCTGAAAGAATGGCTAAGGTTTGTAGCTTTTGTGCTTTATTGACTCATATGTTCTCTATTGTACCTCAATGATCTCACTAAGGTGGTTAACCAGCCAAACCAAAACCTGTTAAGGTGTCGCTAATGGAAGGTGTAACTAACCGTTAATCTACAACCGAAACTATGACCAATGGGCTAAAACCGATCAGTCATCCTAACAGTTTTCTGAAAACAAGAAAACCTATACCATCTTTTCACTATTTAGTGAATCATTCTTGGTTGATTTTCCGGTTTTTGGTTATGTTATGATTTCCGCTTATGGAACTGCTACTGCAAAACCAAAAACTGTCTAAAGACTATTTAAACCGGTTAGCCATCTGCAATTTCAGCCATACATTTTCCCGCGTCGCTCATCTAACTTACTGCTCGTTGATGTGGTTTTGCGTGTTCAACAGGAGTGGAAACTGGAAAAGAAGTCATCCGATATATATGTGCCTAACAATGGCGATGGCAGTGGAGCAAACATCTTGTCGTCCTCCGATGGAGCGGATGAGGAAGCACAACCGCTAATTGCATCCTCCAGATTGTCCCATATTGGACGTACACAGGCTAGTAACCATGGTGGATGAATACATGCTGCTGTGGCATGTGAATCCAGAATTGCAGAAACAGGAGGCCGGGAACCTGTGCTTTAAGTTTGCAAGTCCGAGGTGCAATATGTTACGTCAGTGGCTGCTTCTCGTACTCTTAAATTCTGCTTGGTTCGATTTTGTTCTTCTTTTGAGGCTATAGTGAGTGCTCTTATTTTGTCTGGCTTTCTCTAGGCGCATTTCGAGCAGCGATAGGGGGTTGTAGTAGCATCAGTGTTTCGTAGTTTTTCCTATTCTTGCGTACGCTGCCATCGGTTGCAAATCTATTGAAAGTTTGTAACTACTGACTGCACTTCTACTAGTGCCACACGTTTGCATAGATACGTAATCAATCTGAGGAAGGGACCTGAACTTTTTTCGATTCCCTGATCCTTGAGCTATTGCTGGTTTAAGTAGACTCTATTCACGTTACGCAATTAAGGTATTGTGGATTGATGGATACATTAACGGAACAGAAGAGAACATAAAGCCCTATAGCAATTCACCAGAAGCAATATGCTCCAAATCACACGAGCACAAAGCATATACAGCTACGGCCTGAGAGTGAGCTGTGTTTGATCCGACTTTCTGCCTAAAATGGTAAACACCTACGTTCGTGGGCTTGGAGTGACGGAAAGCCCACTTCTAAAAGCTCAGCCCAATAAATATAAACTTTAGACTTGCTTCTTCCTCCATCCACAATTTGTGGAATCAAAATGCACTCGTGTTGATTTCGAGAGACTTATCATCCGTAAAATTGAATCGAAAGTTGTACTAGGATTCAGACACGTTATTTGTTTTTGCAATCGAGGCTGGTTCACGATCTCAACCAAACATGTTTGTTTTAACTCTTCATCCTTTAACAAATTATGGAATCAGAGTGCACGTGGTGATTTCGAGATATTTTTAGTTGAATCGGAAGTCATGTCAAATGTATGTTAGTGATTTTAGTGATACAAATATGGTTCAATAAATCATGTATCGAAAAATTATCTTAAATAAAATAGTATATTCTACTAGTATCATTTTCACTCCAGATATATCGGGTAAAATTAATTAGACATGCCACTTTACTTTTTCATAGTAATATATCGGATAAAAGTATTTTGTAAATAGTAATTACTGATTAGGCACGACGACAAGTTGCTAACTAATTGAATTACTTGTTCCTCCATCCTTAGAAATAGTAACTCATCACTACTCCTTAAAAAAAAAAAGGCAAGAACAAGACTGGCCGAATATAGTAAGTTACCACACCAAAAAAGGTAGCAGTAAATTAAATAGACTACAGCAACTAATAATAGGCGACCAAGTTATCCAAAATAAGCACCAAATACCATAACCCCAAATCAAGACCCAGTCCCACGGCCTCAGCTTCATCCTCGCACTCTCATGCTTCTCTGGTTTTCCCCCCTTCACTTCCTCTTTTCTAGCGGAGCCTTTCCACGTCACCATCATCGTTTCCTCACTAGTTTTACGTATAACATATAAATACCACCTCTCCTCCTCCCTAATCCTCCATCAACAACAAATAAGTAAAACACACTTCATACACATTTCCAATAAACACCTCAATAATAACAATAATAATAATAATAATCCCCACCATTCACAATACCATAAACAAAATCCGCCACTAGAATAAAAATCATACAATAATGGCGGTGAACAAGAAAGCAATCGGAATAGGAGTCTCCATCATCCTCGTGGTCGGAGTCTGCATCGGCGTCATCGCCAGCGTCTCCAAGACCCACGGCAAGGGCGCCCCCGACGGAGGCGGCGGCGACGACAACGCCGCCGCCCTCTCCTCCGCCTCCAAGCAAGTGGCCGCCATCTGCGTCTACACCGACCACGCCGAACAATGCGTGGACAGCATGAGCTCCGTCGCGGGCAACGAGAGCGCCACACCGATCGACTACCTCAAAGCCGCCATCAACTACACAATCACCCACGTGAAACACGCGGCCTACAGCACGGCCGTGCTGCAGAACCAAACCACGGGAGGGAAAAACAACAACAACAAGAACAACATGACGCAGGAGCTGGCGTTCAAGTACTGCGGGGAGCTGCTGGACCTGTCGGTGGACGAGCTCCAGAACTCGCTGGCGTTCCTCGGGACGGCGGAGCAGACGACGGACGTGGTGGAGATGGAGCAGGAGATCAGGAACTGGCTGAGCGCCGTGAGGGCGTACCACGGGACGTGCGTGGACGGGTTCGAGGGCACCGGAGACCTCCACAAGGGGGTCTCCGACGGTCTGTTGAACTCAACCCAGCTCACCAGCAACGCGCTGGCGATATTCGCCAGCGTGTCGAGCATCCTCGCGAACTTCAACCTGACCGCCGCCTACGACGGCCTCATCGACGGGCCGAAGAGCCGCCGTCGTCTCAGTCTCAGGAGGAGGATACTGGAGGAGGGAATCCCCCGCGGGGGCCGCGGGGGGTTCCCTCACTGGTTGTCCACACAGGACAGGAAGCTGTTGCAGGCCGGTCCTCCCAAGCCCGACGCCGTCGTGGCTCAGGACGGGAGCGGGCAGTTCAGGACCATCACGGCCGCACTGGCTGCTTACCCTAAGGGCCCGCTCAACGGAGGGAGGTACGTGATCTACGTGAAGGCCGGGATCTACGATGAGTACATCACGATTACGAAGAACCAGCCGAACATCTTTATGTATGGCGACGGTACGCGCAAGACCGTCGTCACGGGCAACAAGAGCAACAAGGGTGGCTTCCCCACTTGGGGCACTGCTTCCTTCGGTACGTATGACCGTATTGTTAGAGAGTGCGTGGTATAAGATTCAACATAACCTTCTTTCAACAACTCGAATTATTGGGAGCAACTGAGTCATGACAACGTATCGTATTGTACTATATTAGTCGCGTATTGTACATGTAACATAATACTAATCGTACTACTCATGCTATGCTGTGATATACAATGCAGCGGTGATCGGGAACGGGTTCATCTGCAGGGACATGGGATTCCAGAACACGGCCGGCGCGATAGGGCACCAGGCGGTGGCGCTGAGGGTGCAGTCCGATAGGTCGGTATTCTACAACTGCAGGATGGACGGGTACCAGGACACGCTGTACCAGCAGGCGCACTATCAGTTCTACCGTAACTGCGAGATCTCGGGGACGGTGGACTTCATCTTCGGGGACGCGTCGGCCGTAATCCAGAACAGTAAGATCGTAGTCAGGAAGCCGATGCCGGGCCAGGCGAACACCGTGACGGCCCAGGGGAAAACAGACAAGAACGAGGTGACCGGGACCGTCATCCAGAACTGCGCGATCGTGCCTGAAAAGGAACTCGCGCCCGTGACGGCCCAGTTCCCTTCGTTCCTCGGGAGGCCGTGGAAGCAGTACTCGACCACGGTCATCATGCAGACCGCGATCGGCGGGTTCATCAACCCGGCCGGGTGGATGCCCTGGCCCGGGAGCAGCTACTTCGACACGCTTTTCTATGCGGAGTTTGGGAACCGGGGCCCGGGTGCCAATACGGACCAGCGGGTCAAGTGGAAGGGGTTCCGAGTCCTTACCCCTGATCAGGCGAACCAGTACACGGTCGGACCGTTCCTTTTGGCTAACCAGTGGCTACCCAACACCGGATTGCCTTTCACCACCGGCATGGGACCTTGATTTATATAATTTTTTTTGAAATATTATTCTTTGGTTCTTTCTAGATATTATTTTTGTAGTTGATGATTCATTTTACACCCGCTCCATGTCAAACCCTTCTCCCCCCTTTTTTCCCCCCTTCCACATGCATGGAATTTTGAATAAATATTGATTCATTCAATATACATAATGATGAATTCAAGTTAATTAATGATCAATTCATTGGTAATTTTTTTTTTAATTCTTGCCTTCTTAATTATGATGATCATATTCATATCACTCAATGCTTTTGATAAGGATTAACTAGTGTATGTCTATCACAAATTGAGTAATTTCTCGAGTGAGTTTAGCCGACAAATACGATCAACCCATTTAATTATAGAATAAGCGATATCTATCGTGTGGCTTATAATAGTATACCTTGTCATCATACCATATTCATTTGAATTGAAGATGTCTATACCAATAGCAAATTGTAATTTTAATTCTATACCATTGAATAAAAGTTGCATATACTTCAAATATCTGACGACTTAAAGTGTTAACACAATCTAATTATGATTAACTCTATACTTATTCTTCACTTTCCATACATTACATATACACAGTCGATCGGTGTATCGAGATTAATTACAGAAGAAGAACAATGAAACATTTAGACTGTGTCTGTGGCCATCAATTGAATCTCCCATCACACTGGAACGGTATGATCTGGCCGAATCAGGCTTCCGCCAGAGCCATGGTACAACTTGACTTTGGGGTCGTAACTGACGATGAACTCCCCAAGTCATTTGATAGCTTTTCACATAACTGCCATGTCAGAATGGAAATTAAAGGTCGATATTACAGCCATGAAATTGCAATGTATATAGTAGTAGTTTCTGCTATTGCAATAAGCTGATCAATTGGGTAGGTAAGCTGAAATGAATTACTTGTCTATAGACAGAGGAATCTCCATATGATTTCTGCAGTTCAACTACGTAGAGTGAAGGGCTTATCTCCAATATCTGCCAGGCCAGTACGCATCAGAAAAAAAGAATACATATATATATAGTGTGGTTTTCTACTTAAAAAAAATGAGTTGATGTTTGGCGTTCAATTGTAAAAGTAGTTTTAAAACATTGAATTTAGAATTTTAATGGGTAGCATTAATCTAATATGATATAACATATGATCATAAGTTCACAATTAATCAGAGCATTACCCTAACCCTAAACCACAAATAGAGAACCTTAAACCCAAACTCTAACCCCTAAATAATATCTAAAACCTTAAATCCTCCGGATGAAACTAAATCTTGAATAATTCCGTGCAACCTCATGTGTTTTTATTGTCCTATCATATTACAAGTGACGAATGATATCGCGATTTGACAAAACTCACCTACTCAGAATGACGAATATAAGTACGTAGAAAAAAAAAAGTACGCCGAAGTTTTTATGCACAGTACCTCCGCAGCAACCGAGAGATTGGATTTGGCAGAACCCGTCATAATGTGCTGGCCGTTCTGCACCACTTTCATGATCATCAACTGCATCGATTTTGATCATCACCAATTAGATCAAATAACTGATCATCATGCGAGGCACGCACTGAAAATATATAACGTACATAATAACGTAACTCTCACCCTAGGCCTGATGTGTTGGTTCCTCATGACCTTGCGGACGTGGAACCCCATCGCCGTCGCAATCCCCTCCATCTTCTTCATCAGTTGCTTGAACGAGCAGTCGGACGCCGCAAACCTGACCTTCCGCTCGGAAACGTCCTCTTCCTCGAAAAACCCGGAGAGGTCGAGACACGACGACATCCCTATCAGCTGGAACGCGTTGATGACAGGACGACGAGTACTGCTACGACGAATATTGCTGCTGGTGGCTTCAGATAATCCGGCCGGTAGAGATTGAGTCTTCGGCAGTAGCACTCCAGCTGCAGGTGGCGGCGGGATCATCAACCTGCAGTAGCTTCCATCTTCGTCATCAACAACGATGTCATCGTCGTCAACGTCGTCGTCGTCGGCCTCATCGACTAATAATTCTGCTTCGTATTCTTCGTCATCTAATAAGAGTAGCGTTGCTGCTGCCGTTGCGACGTAATCTTGCTTGAACCAGGGATCGGACTTGATGCCCGCCATTGTGATTCTGGTGGCGGGGTTTGGATCCAGGATCTTGCTGATTAGGTTTCCAGCCCCGGGGCTCATCCATTTCGGCATCTCCACCTCCCCCTTCAATATCTGTTTCATCACAAAAATCTGAGTTCATATTGTGAAGCAGTAGTCAATTCTAAAATTAGTCTTTTCAAATATCGAAATTTGAATTTTAATCGCGATAGTATATTAGTCTAATAAAATTATATAACACAGGATCACGAATCGTATAAGTTTTAAAAACCTTTGGTTTTGAAAAAAATGACGTTAAATCTCACAGCTAGTAAGCCCTAAATTTCTAAACACTAAAGTTTCAAATCAAAGCGATGTTTCTGCTTCCCTTACTTTGCTCATCATATCATTAAGTGATGATTGGCATAATTTTTACATGATCGCATATTTAAAATAACAATTATAAAGCGCGAGCATGCACTCTGTTAAAAAGAAAATCACGTGTATATATATATATATATATATATATATATATATATATATATATATATATATATAGTACCTTGTGATACAGCACAGCAAGGTTCCTGTCGTCGAATGGGAGGGAGCCTGTGAGGGTGACGTACAAAATGACACCACAGGACCATATATCAGCGGTTGCACCATCGTAGCCTTTGTTCCTCAGAACCTCAGGTGCTACGTAGTTTGGAGTTCCGCAGATGGTATGAAGTAGCCCGTCATCCTGTATATCGAGTAAACCAAGATCGAGATCAACAAGGAAACGAAGTTTGGAAGTTGCGATTGTTAAATAGACGTATTGTTGAGAATGCATGTATAATATTATACATGTATTGTCGAATTTAATGCATTGTAGAATACAACGTTTGGTATGTGTGATTGTGTATGTCGCATCAGCTAAAAGCTGTGACAAAACAATCTCAACTCAACTATCACAACAATCGCAACTAAAAGTTGAGATATAACAATCACTCAAAATGAGTGATAGTTTCTGTCACATCATAGAAACAATCCATGCATTGTTTCTGCTAAAAAAAACAAAAAAAAAACGATGCATTGTAAACAATACATGCATAATGACAATCTCAACAAAACAATCGCAACTTTCAAAGGAAACCGAAGATATCAAAGAACACCACTGACCAGCTATCTAGCACATATGTAAGGAATATTGTATATATATATATATATACCTACGTACCCTGAAATGTTTTGGCAACGCACTGAGTCCAAAATCTGATATTTTGATGCGCCCTTTTGCATCCAGAAGAACATTCTCCAGCTGCAGGTGTTGTTGGTGTGTAATATAAAAGATCAGTGCAGATTGAAGAACATACACAACCACTGATAGAAAGCCAACATATATATTTTACATTATAACTTAATAAGTGACCTTAAGATCCCTGTGAAAGACACCATGGTTGTGACAGTAACTGACACCGTCGATCAACTGGTGGAAGAGCTTCCTTCCTTCAGCTTCAGATAGCCTCCCCTTGAATGCCTACACCATATGCATGCAGTGAAAAACTAATTTAAGAACAGTAAGGCTAGAGCTAAATCAGGGGCGGAGCCTGGATTTCGAGACCAGGGGGCCGAAAATAATTAAACAAAATGTATGTAGCCATGGTGGATCAAACCGATGTGCTTTTAAAACACAAGTTAAGCTTGTCTGTCATTAGACTCCATATGACTGTTACACAACAAAATTTACGGGACAGAAACTACTTATAAAATTCGTACTAAATATCCTTACGATCCTAGGAGCCGTGACCAATCCCGAGGGGGCCGGGACCCACCCTAGCTGTGTAACTCCTCCCCTGAGCTAGATGTATCTAACTAAGTCACGATTTTAGTAAAAATTATCTTACTCCTAATTTTTTTCGGTACAACTCTGATACAGTTTCACAACTCGATCTTACGCTATAAGCATTTTCATATTATAACAATAATAAGCTTGATCTGATCTTACAATTCTGTCGTAGAGCTCACCGCCGGTCACATAGTCAAGGACCATGTAAATTTTGGATTTGCTTGCCAATACCTGCACAATAATGTAATGCAGAATATAATGTTGTGATGGTAGCATATGGTGTGACAAATTATTAAATAAATGTCACGTACGGCGGCCGGCAGGAATACATATTGTTATTTATATAATATCAATTCGATATACATTATATATAACACGTCACCATTTGGAAGAACGAGAGATATAGGGAATGGTTACGTGGCGTGTACGTGGATGGTTATCTACCACTACCCAATCCAAGATCTCTCCCAGCACACAAGTCACCATCCAAATCACAATTTATTAAATGCTCACTTGCAGCGGCGGATCCAGAACACAGAAGAGCACTTGGCCGAATTACATTAGAAAATTGAATAGTAAAAAAACATAATGATTATAGTTTTTTTTCCAATATAAATTGTACATGACGGTATTTTAATTTAGTGATGCATCAATAATGGAGCCTACATCCAGACCAATAGTATACACCGTTTCAAATAAAATACTTGAGCAATCGGCAAGAAATTCATCGCTCATTTTGTTGAGCAAATCAGTTCTCAGATATTTTATTGTTGAAAAGGTTCTCTTCGTGGTAGCTGTTGAAACGAGCAGCATTAACACTAGACAAATCAATCGACTAATTAATTGGCATTGTGTGTCAATCCCTGCATCCACCAACTGCTCTAGTAAGTTTTCAAGGGAACAAACCTCATATTTCTTTTAGTCTTTTAGGTTTTAAACTTTTAGAATTTTAGGTTTCATTGTTTTTTTTTATATGCATAGAGTAGTGATTTGAATATGGTCATCTGGATAATTTTTCTAGTTATACTCAATTTTATTATAAATCACACTAAGTCGAATGTCTAAAATCGAAAAATTCATAAGGACTATAGTAACTACGAATCCAGAGAAGGGCTGGGCCGGGGTCCGAGGTGGTCACCCCTGGATCCGCCACTGCTCACTTGTAATTTTAGTATACGTGTATAAATCAAATAATCAGAGGAGGAGCCATTTTATATAAACAGAAATTAAATTAATTTGTCTAATTAGATGATTAAGAAGAGTCAATTAAAGACGCCTACTGTACTGTATTAATAGTGTATACATAGAAAAACAACGCCTTAAATTACGTTACCTCGTGCAACCTGACGATGTTAGGGTGCCTGAGGAGCTTCAGCGTTGCAATCTCCCTCTTTATCTGCAGCCCCAAAATATTTCAGTACTGTGATCACGTGTATCATAATCCTCACCACCTTGACCAATTAATTAATTAATTAAATAAATCATGCGCCCATTAATCAATACCATGCGTATATATTCTATAGCTGACCAGAAACTAATTAAAAAAAAAAAGGGTGCGGGCGTATCACGCAACTTTAGCAGTTCATGATATACATAATACAATGTAATTAATGAAATCTGTGCCCTTATTAAAATACATCTTAATCATAAGAAGCATTTCGAGTTAATTAAAAAAAACAATTAATTGGATGAACTGATTGATTGATTAATTATACATTACCTGATCGGCGATGTTACGGTTGAGGATGTTGGCCTTGTCGAGGATCTTGATGGCAAAAGGGTGGCCGGTGTCCAAGTTCCTCGCTAGCTTCACTTTGGCGAAATTGCCTTCTCCCAGGGTTCGTCCCACCTCGTATTTACCTATTCGCATTTCCCGCTCACCCCGCCGGCCGGCCGCCCGGTCTGATCGGATATCGGAATCGATCTCCGATCTGCAGCTCTCTCTCTCTCTCTCCCTTGCTAGCCCGGCGGCCGGTCTCCTTTTTTTCTTGTTCTATGTATTTTTCTCCTTCTTGCTTATTAGCGAAACCAATGAAGCAAGTTGGTATATATATGATCGGTATATGTGGAACTTCCAGTTGCTTTCTTGCAGTTGTGGGTCTCTGCCATGTTATATCAATCCATTAAATTAATAATTTGCCTTTGGCGTGGGGAAAAGCTGGATAAGGTCCCCTCCCGTTTGCATCTTTTCTCTTTCCCCCACATCCCAACCACCCCGTGTGTGGCCTATAGTCATGGAAACATATATATGTTGTTGCGAAATTCATAATCATGGTTTATCGGGAGAGATTGTTGTGACAGTACTTGTGTAGTCGAGTTAGAGTTAAATGTAGGTGCATTTGAGGAATTAACTTCATGTCGTTGAACATTTGGAGTTGTTTTGACCATTTTTATCAAGATTTCTCCATGGTAAAAGCTACATATTTTAAAAAAACGGATTAACCAAATAATTAATTGAAAAAACTCAATTAGATTGGGACAATAACAATAAGAAACCACAATGACAATCTCTACCTACAGGTTGAGGCGATGATAATGGGAAATTGGTCAATCGGGATGGAGTGATGCTACCTATAGGTTACCTTTGTAGCAGAAGCCTGGAAGGGAATTTGATTACTAGATTGGTTTGTTATCCTTTTGATACTTTTTGGATAAAAGTATTTGTTTTAATATGTTATTGTCTCAACTCCTAAACGTCCAAGTCCACAAGTCCAGGTGTAATTTTAATGGGCTCTTTCCAACATACACCTATTCTCCCTTTGTTGAGCCCAAAGCAAGGGTGTGCATTGGCACCCCCTTCTCCTGTGCTAGCTACGCCCCTGCTTAACAGTAAGTAAGAAGTGTAAGTCACAACTTCATAAAATCATTGATCAAGAGCTCGCATTGAAAAGATTGTACGTTGTAGATGATGTTAATTTCTCCATTACGATATTGACGGTTCAGCTCCACCTAAGTGTCACTTAGGTGCTGTCGTACTTAATCGCCACGTTCTGAATTTCTAACTTGTTGCGAAACCTCTAGACAAAGTGTGTTTTTTTTAACGTTTGTCTAGTACCTAGGATCAGCTTAAAGGTGTGCATATAGAGGTTTGCGATAAGCTGTGTTTTTAACACGGGATAAAAATAAACTCCAATTAACCCAAACGAAGTCCCAATATAATAATAAAATTATTATGATTATTAGAAGGAGAAATAACAAATAAATCGAATAGAAAAATGGGTACGTGGGAATTGCGGATGGTTACTCCCGCATGCAGCTGCCGGCCGCCGCGTGGGGAGTGGCGACCGGCCAGTACGAGTAGACTTCTGACTTTTTGATAATTTGCAGTGTCATTTGGTTTTCAAGTCGATGGTGATGATTCTAATGGCAGTGGTACTTACTTGTGATGCAGCAGTAGTGAAAATGAGAAAATCAAGGAGAAAAATCCAGCTTGCAATAGTACGATTGTTCGGAGATTTTGGAATTTACGTATTAATTGGACTAATAGAGTTTATAGATGTAAAATGTAACCACTTATGTAACACAGAATTGATGTTTCCAGTGGAGAACTCGTTATCATGGTACCTAATGGTGGGAAGTTCAAACTTCAAACCCCACCCCTGTCTACTTTTAAGTTTTAACCTTTTTTTTTCCTTTAATAATTTATACCCACTTTTTTCATCAATAATGTCAATTTTGATAGAAAAGTCAATTTAATCATTTGATTTTTAACATAATTATTTAAGTTTTAAATATTAATCTTGAATAACATGCTACGAATTGAAATGAATGAATAGATTTAATTAATAAAATATTATATCTTGAGTCAGTCTAACTATTTAAAAACATCTTATGCAATTTCATAATTAACATCAGTATTATTTTGTATAACTATACTTCTAGTTTAGTTTCTATCTATTTACACTAATATGTTAACAAAATTTTGATTCTATGATTCCAAAATCCTGGCTCCGCCCATGATGGTTACGCGGCAAAAATAAAAAAAGTTGCAACCTTAGAAGTTAGAACACACCGGGGAAAGGTGGATGGTGGTGGCCGGTGGCCGGTGGATGCTACGTGCGGGGGTTGGCTGTCCTCGCGCTGCGTTACGAGAAAAATGAAACGACACGACGTCGCTTCCAATTAAGACTAGTGAGTAGTGACTGAGTGGCGCCACCCCTTGGGCTGGGCCCGTAATAGGCATTTATGAATTCTGGTCCGGGCCATCAGATTGAATTGCAGCCATATAATTGCTCGCCTTATGGGGCCCGTTGAATCACGGCATATTAATTGCACAGGCCCGCTGGGCTGGTGCGGAAAGTTGAAAGAGATGGTGAATGGGAATTGACAGAAAGGTTACTATTATTGTACCAAAAGAAAAATGTTATTATTGACTAATGTTATTATTAGCTGGGTTAGAAACTTAGAATCAGTTCTCTTAAGTCTTATGTGTGGTCGCAAAGGTTATTATTGACAAATGTTAAGCTCGAAAGGCTGCAGATGTGAGACAAGGTCGGAAACTTGTTAGATGAAGCACCCATGTCCAACATTTCGTTTGTTGGTCAAGTTCATAGCAGGATGGATTGGACAGACCCATTTGGTAGCTCGTAATGCCCCAATTTTCGTCAGCTCGCATATTGCAAGATCGGCCTCTGTTTCTTAGTTACATTGTCACATAAACTAGTTCCACTACAACTGAATCTTAGTTTCCTCGTTATGAGTGAACTAATGACAAAAAAAAAAAATGGAATAGACAGAAAAGCCACAGGATTGCTCATGTCTAGTTCATCCAAAACTAAGTTACTAACACACACTCAAGAAGTAAGCTGAAATAGAGCCATCCCTCGCTCCAACAATTATCACTATTTAATTACATCATTTTATAACCTAATTACACAATACAACACCAATGAAAAAATTATAATCCCCCCAAAACCGTAACTAACTCCGGATTCCAACTCAGGTTAGCATATGACAGACTAACAGCAGCCTACTTTCAGTTCCATACAGCTCCAAGGGACCAGTTCCTTGGCTCGAAGCTCGGTTTCTGCTCGACCCTCTTCTAACGCAACATCAACATCTAGCCTCTTGGTTTTCAAAGGTATAATGACATGAATCAACAACAATAAATAGTGATGCATGTGCTGCCACGAAGATCAAATACACACATTGTCGCATACCCATCTTGCTAATGCTCATCTTGTACTTTCAAGGACACGAGCTCGCTTTCTTGCCCTGTACTACTAGATTTTGCAGTGTTAGCAGGCAACCACCTTTGCAGCCTCTCAGGACAGAACCTGGAAAAATATTTCAGGCATCCCAGCCACCTCCAGTTACATGGTATCACATGATTGATCATTTAGGAACAGAGCAAACAAGAAAACAAATTACAGAATCATCTAGCCTGTTAATGCTAGAGTATAACTGAATATGAACTAATCTAGTAATCTCAAGGCAACATGTTTCCAAAATCATCCAACAGCAAATTGTACTGTATCAGAATTCGAACACCGACTATTCCATGGAAGCACATCAGCAGGTTTTTCCGGGCAAGAAATAGCATTAAACAAACGCAAGACAAGACCCCAATCTCCCTAATCTTCCTACTTATACTCATAAACACAGCAATGCAAGGTGAGATTGCAGCAGCAAGCCAGCAACAGTAGCATTCACAAGAAAATCTCTAGATAAAAGTAAGACCATACCATAAAATGAGTGTCCTCAAAGGTCCATCAAGCATAAGATGTGTCATTAAAAACAATTAATATAGGAAAGTAGATATCAATGCCAATCAAATTGATGAATATGGCGAAGTTTTATCTTACAGGTCCAATCTTTCAGAGATTGCCCGCCGGACCGATGAATTCAACCCATATGCTATCGAGTTGAAGAGCCCCTGTAAGAACAGGAGAGATAATTAACACCTCATCTGTGAAATGGCCAGACTAGTCTGTCATGAAATGCATCCAAGCCATGCTAATTTAAACTAAAACCCAATATGACAGGGCAGCGTACTGCAACCCCAAAAGTGAAAAGGAAAAGAAACTGCACAGGGCAATGCCAATATTGACTTTTTAAGAACGGCCATCAATTATTACAGGCCGGAAATATAGCTGTAACTGTAAACCTACCAAACCCCACCAATGGAAGTTTTCACCCTGCCATTCTCATGGCTAATCAAGATACACTCAACTGTTAATCAACTAACCTCCATTTCATTATGACAATATTCCAGGCTATCAGAAGTTGTTTTTATGATAAATAGTAAATTGATCCATTCACTATCAGCTAGCACTCCACAAGTACGGGATAAGATCTCTCAAAAGCAGAAGCCAGAAGAAGAATGGTAGCGAGAATTACCATAAGGGCAGCTGTACCCACATCAAGCACCGAGAGCCAAAAGATTTTATGGCCTGGTTCAATAAGATCGTGGATGACATTTAACGTGCCAAACGTCCATGAACCTATTAGGATAAGCGGATAATATCCCCACCTATTCAGAGCCTACAAGAAGAATAGAGACCAATTATAGGGGGAGGTTATTGAATGCAGTGCAACAGTAGAGGGTCAGTTTTCACTATGACTTGAACAATATACAAGTTCAAAACATCACGGAGGAACAAATGATTGAAAGTTAGCAAATAGAGGAAACATGTACAGCTTGCAAATGATGAATTTGGCAAGGAAGTTCCAGAAGCATCAAGGAAAGGGCCTATTGTATAACGTGACTAACCCTGTGAAAGAGTATAAGAAACATCAACAGTGGAAAGCAACACACCTTCATGTCCAGTCTTCCATCAGATGCTCGGTCTGACATGCCCTCTGCCATCTGAAATTCAGAGAAGAACATAGTTGCCTATCATAATTTCCATAATAACAAACCCACTTATAAGTGAAAGGTTGGAAGTTGGTGCGCGTACACGAGTTGCATTGTTTAGCATCCGGATGACTTTAAAATACGTAAACCCGTTGTAAAGTATGGCACCCCAAAGGGGGACATAAAATGTTATGAAATGATACGCCTGCAGAAAGTAGATAACACAAACAAGAACTGATGATCAAAATGGACAAACTTTTAGTCAGCAATATATACCATATGCAACTATGATTGGAACAACTTAGAGTTTCAACATTAAACACATATAACAAATTTTTCGTTTAACAGAAGTCGTGGATCAAGAGCATCCACACAGCAAGAGGATGAAGCAGGTTGGTTTCATCAAACAACATAGTACATTTGGCAGAAAAGCAAGCAAAGGAATAGAGAAAAACACAGTCGTGAACTTGCCTTTTTTGTTCTCCCTGTTGGTGTTGAACACCAGGCGCCGCCTAAGTGTCTATGATCATTACCCATGGACCGTATGACAGTCATGACCAACGAGGTTCCTGTAAGTGGCAATTAAACTCTGAGACAAGTTTGCATAAGAAAAAGAAAATGGCATGAGGCATGACATGGGCAAAGCAGAAAGCAAATTAGAGATGGTACTGAAGGGATAATGAGCAAACAAAGAAGAGACAAGGAAAGGAGGAAAACATGGAAGGCTGAGCACACACTAATTGACAAAACAAGGAATCAGGCCATGTTAGAAGAAACAATAAGTGGATAGTTGAAAGGGTTGGGTATGGAATCATTCTTACCCCAAACGTACAAATGAAACATGGCCTCCATGTCTTCAACATCAGTCTTGTGTTTAACAACAGTACGATGCAGGGTGAAAGCAATGGTGGTAGTCCAAAGGAAAGATGCGATGCAGAAGAAATGGGTGCTATAACCCTGAGCGTAGCAGAGGAATCCTGTGGAGGGATCTCTGCATTAAGAAAGGGAATTGAAGTTCCCACACAATACTATTCAAATCAGGCTCTCCTTTTTCCTGGGTCACTATTGCCTTGTCTCTCGTGTAAGTTCTAAGAGGAGGGGAGCAGAAAAGAAAGGCAGATATCTGAAAGAATAGGGTTTGAAGAGGGAGCTCACCCAACTATGCTGAAGAAGCTGCATAGCATGTCCTGCCAATGGATGGAGCACAAATGTCAGTAGTTAGTCGCTAGAATCGCCGTAGAGGCGAAAGTGTTACATGAGATTGATCGGTCTCCCGATCTCCAGAGAAGGCCACCCAGTGCTCGAGCGAGAGAGAGAGAGAGCATACCGAGATTGCGAGGTAAAAGACGAGCTTGAAGGAGAACTTTCGAAGGTCTCTGAAAAGGAGGTAGCAGAGGACAATGAAGCTGGAGCCTAGGAACGAAAGAGAGGATGCTCCTGCATTGACAGTCCTCAGAATCCGGCGATCGTAAGCAGTTAGGTTTCCGGAACTGAGAGCTGCAGTCCCCATCTCCAGTTTGCCGCGATGAGTCTGAGTTCTGAATCAACGGAGCAAGCAACCGACGACGGGGGAAGGGGGGCGAAGGCGGAAATGCTCCTGGGCATAAAGGTTAGTTAAGACTTTGGATATTCCCTATCACAAATCGTGACTTTGGCCGAGTGGTTAAGGCGCTTGCCTGCTAAGTAAGTGGGGTTTCCCCGCGTGAGTTCGAATCTCACAGGTCACGAATTTATTTTTGGCTAATGCTTTGCTGACTGTTAGTTGACATTTACAACTTATTTGTTTTTTTCCCCCACTAATTTCCTGCAATTAATATCCACCTGTTGTTTACATTTACAGATTTATGCTGGACTATAATTGTTACTTACTTTTTTTTATAAGAGACTATACCATTAGTTACATTTACAACTTATTTGTTTTTTCCCCACTAATTTCCTGCAATTAATATCCACCTGTTGTTTACATTTACAGATTTATGCTGGACTATAATTGTTACTTACTTTTTTTAGGCAAAATACACCTGTATAGCCATCACACTTTTGACAAATATAGCCATTTCTATTCGAAAACCAAAAATAGCCAATTCCGTCCATCTCTTTAACGGTGTTACTTAACAATCTGACTGTACTGACGGAATATGCTGAGTTGGCAATTTATGGTCCCCACCAAGCCGATGTGGATTAACAAAAAAATTAAAATATAAAAAATCATTATTTAGTTTAAAAAAAAATTGCAACCCTAGCTTCTCGATGCTCTCCACCACCACTGCCGCCGACTCTCCCCTCCTCCTTTCTTCTATCTAATTCTAACCCCACATCTCCCGATATCCTTCACCAATGGCGGCCACAACCTCCAACCTCTTACTATGTCTATTCCTCTCCCTCGCCATTTCCCTCGCCCACGCCTCCAACCCCGACCTCGACTTGTACATAACGGTGCCGAGCTTCTTCCGGTGTCCGATTTCGCTCGACGTGATGAAATCCCCCGTCAGCCTCTCCACCGGCGTCACCTACGACCGCTCCAGCATCCAGCGCTGGCTCGACTCCGGCAACAACACCTGCCCGGCGATGATGCAGGTCCTCGACACCAAGGAGTTCGTCCCCAACGCCAACCTCCACCGCCTCATCCAGACCTGGTCCAGCCAAAACCGCCACAATCCGCTCGACGACTCCTCGGCCTCCTCTGCCGAGTCGGCATCGCCGCTCTCGCTGGACAAAATCCAGATCGTCGTCAAGGAAATCGGAGGCGAGGAGAAGGAGTCCGGAAGAAATTGCTCCTTCGACGACCTGTCGAAAATCGCGTCTTTTGCCGAGGAATCCAGCGAGAATCGGAGGTTCCTGGCGAAGATGGACGGATTCGTCACAATGCTCGCTGCTCTGATTCATTCGGATGACAAGGATCTTTCCCCGCCGGTGGTGGAGCTTGCGGTTAGGGTTTTGGATTCGGTGTCGACCGAATTTGGGGATTTTCACGAGCTGAAAAGATTGTTACTGATTCCAAAGGAGAAATCCCCCAATCCGCTGCCGCCGTCGCTCGTCCGTGTCATGAAACAGGGGAGCCGGCCAGAATCGCGAATCGCAACGGTGCGGATCATCCAATCAATCGCCATCGACGCCGAATCGAAGCTTGTTGTGGCGGAAAGTGACAGATTACTGCTCCACCTAGTCAATTCCATCGCTCCACGGACCGATCTGCCTCTCATCGACGCCGTCCTCTCCGCTGGTCAAGTCAGCTTTTTGTTTTTCAATTGCAGGGTAGATCTATGTTTGACTTGAGTTCTCGCTTCAATTTTTCTCCATTTCTGGATTCTGAATTGGCCACCGTCGTCGTGGCAATGCGAATCGAGACGGTGGTGCTACCGCTGGAGAGGTGGTTGGGAGAGGAGAGGGAAAGGAGGAGGAAGAGGAAGCGAAGAGAGAGATGATTGGAGGAGGAGAGGGAAAGGGATTTGGGCAGAAGATGTTGCGGGGGAGGAGAGATAGAATTTTTTTTTTATAATTTCAAAATTAATTATTCAAAATGACATGGGAATGATTTGATGATTGGTCGCTGACGTGTCCAATGATTTGGCATCCTAGTCAGCCTAACGTTAATCTAACTGACGGAGTTTCTAACACCGTTAAAGTTTCTAACAGATTTGGCTAGATTTGTCAAACTACCTTTAGTTTTTTGGGCTATTTTTGGTTTTCGAATAGTTATGGCTATATTTGTCACAAACGTGAAAGTTATGGCTATACAAGTGTATTTTGCCTTTTTTTTATAAGAGACTATACTGTTAGTTACATTTACAACTTATCTTTTTTTTTTTCCCACTAATTTCCTGCAATCAATATTTATGCTGGATTATAATACTGTTAGTTACATTTACAACTTATCTGTTTTTTCCCACTAATTTCCTTCCTGCAATCAATACCCACCTGTTGTTTACATTTATAGATTTATGCTGGACTGTAAGGGTTCAATATCAAACCAAACAAAAGCCAACAACACATTGATGCCCACGCCTGGGCTATATGGATGACAACAAATCGGTATTGGATAGTGCATATTTATTATAATACTTTAAATAATTTGGATGTACTTACATTCATACTCATATAAGAATCGGATTTCAAATTAAACTCATATTCGTGTTGGATTGGGTTCTGGGTGTCCACCGCTACTCATGGTAACAATTTCTCTTTATAAGTTGAACCAACATGTTAAGGAGATTTGGGGTTGGATCGAAAATTTGAGAGCAACCTTCTGACGATAAGACGTGAAAAACATGCTAGTTGGGAAGCATCCCAATATTGGTTCGGTTTCTTTTCCCTTAACTTTCAATAACGAACTTGCCTGCTTGTACATTGTTCTAAGGAGTGTTTAAAACTTGAGTAATAGTGAATGAATCCTTGTGTTGGTTGAGAATGAGCTTGAATGGATGTTGGTGAAGTGATGAATGGTGAAAGGATTAGGTTTTATTTGTGATGAATGAGTGTATTTCGTTTGGAGGCATTGTTAGGCATTTATTGTGTGCATTTTAATGCTTCCAGTGTCGCCCATCAAGGCTTGATGAAATTCCCAAATTTCATGAGTTGTGTTGTTTATGATTCGATGAATCACAATTGAACTTCAATGCTATTGGTAAACCCCTATATTTTATGATTCGATGAATCACAATTGAACTTCAATTGAGTTTATGTTTTATGGGTGTGAAATTTTCTTTTAGTTCTTCATCTTATGGATTTTTTCTCAAGGATCGATCACACCCACCCAACCCAAATTTCCCACAATCAACTCGACATCATCATTTGGTAGCATCGTCCCTCTATCCATCACTTGTGCTCACGTTGAGGACAATGTTATCCTTAACTGTGTGTGTCTGCAAGGGGTTGTGCATGAATGCTTGTGTAAAATCTATATTGTTTATTCTGTTTTCTAGTGTTATGAATGATTGGGTGAGAGACCTGCCTTTTTGAGTGATTGTGGAAAATGTTTTAACATAATTCGACCATTAGGAGTCTTGTATGTATGTCCAATTTTTTTCAAATTTGAGTGCTCCAAATTGGCTCACTTGCTTACAATACAATTACTTGCTTTGAATCGTGAATCTTGCTCCCCTACAATCTTGACCAATGTTGAGGAAAGTGTAGTGAGTGAAAAGTCTCGATTTGATGTAGTTGATTTTACTGCTTGACGTTTCCTTATGTGGATGTTCACTTGTGAATGTGTGGTAGGTTTGTTTGGATGCGCAGTTTGATCTTTAGTTGTTGGTCGATTGGTTGATGCTCGGTTTTATGCTTTTCACAACCAAAGTTTATAAACAAAATAAAGTGGGTTGTAGCTTGTTCTTTAAAGATTTATGTGTTAGGCATCAATCAGATGATTTTATAGAATCTTTAGTAATAATCGTGACGTAAAAGTGACTATTCCCAATTGGTGGTAATTAAAATGTTATTCACATGAGATGCCAACTAATTTTAGGGGTCGTTTGGAAGTTGCGATTTTTAAATAGATGTATTGTTGAGAATGCATGTATAATATTATACATGTATTGTCGAATTTGATGCATTGTAGAATACAATGTTTGGTATATGTGATTGTGTATGTCGCATCAGCTAAAAGCTGAGACAAAACAATCTCAACTCAACAATCTCAACAATCACAACTAAAAGTTGAGATATAACAATCACTCAAAATGAGTGATAATTTCTGTCACATCACAGAAACAATTCAGTATTGTTTCTGCTAAAAAACAAAAAAAAAACGATGCATTGTAAACAATACATGCATAATGACAATCTCAACAAAACTATCGCAACTTTCAAACGACCCCTTAATAACTCGAATCGTTGAAGGGAGTATAACAATAAATCATAAGGCACACCAAAAAAAGTACAAATCATAAGGAGTTGTGCCAACCGGTTTAAATAGAAAGGCAGAAACTACCTGATTTACCAAAGTCTTCATTTTCTTTCTTGCCCAACGACCCACGCCAAGAACATCCGATTAACCTCGATTTGACGATTTGCTCAGACCTTCGTTGGATTGGCAGAAGGGAATTAACCTTAGAAACCACAAGGAAAAGGAAGGAGAAGTCAATCAAGAAAGAGCTCCAGAAACCTTGGGTGGAGCTCCGACTAGTGGAGGACAAAAACCAGAGGGCGATCTGTCAACAATTGAAGCGATCTGAAGAAACAACAAAGATGGAGGGAGTCGGAGCGCGACTGGGACGTTCGTCCACTCGATACGGACCGACCACGGTGTTTACCGGTCCTGTCCGGCGGTGGAAGAAGAGATGGGTGCAAGTTTTGCCGTCGTCGAATAATAATAATTCTGCCCACCACAACGGTGGTCAGTTTCATTCCAATCTCAATTCCAACGGTACCGCCACCGCTCCCGGCGCAGCTAATGGTAATCACAGTAGTTCGCATGTCTTGCTTTACAAGTGGACTCCTTTAACCCAATCCAATAACAGCAACACCACCTCCAGCAATAAGGAGAGCGGCGGCGTTGCTGTTGCCACCGACGATGCGCCCGAGGAACCCCAAAGGCGTAAATGCAAATACATCCCGGTAATTTCCCATTCTCTGTTCTTAGTTGTTTAATTTGCTTTGAATCTAATGCTCGGTTGCTGGATCCAAATCTATTAGTACTACTGTAAAGAACCTGCCTTTTGACTAGTGTGATGATCGCAATGTACCCCGTCTCAGCCCCATTGCACTCACCATAAGAGGAGGGGTCTGAGTCAGACCCGATCGAGCCAGAGATCCTCATGATACTCGTAGATTAACGCCGTTTTCTTGAGCTTTCTATTGATGGGTAGTGGTTGATACTAAGTTTGAACTTTATTTACCTGCTGTGAGTCAGTTTGATGAATCATGGTCATTCAGATTCCTTTAACACATGCTATGATATGAGTTCTGTGGCAGGGCTACATTTCATCACAATTCTATTTCTAGGGCATTTTTCAGGGCATGATTTGCACTTCAGTTATGCTGAAAAATGCTATATTGCTGAATATTTGCGTTCACTAGTACTTCCATTGGTTGTTGTTGGCACTAACGTGGTAGAAATTTTGATTCAACATAGGTGGCTTTGTTAGAGGCGCAGAGATTAGAGGCTGATGAAGAAATGATTGATAGTGAAGTTAAACCAAGCGACGGCGATGGAATTGCCGATGACCCAGTTTCTACATCTGCTGGGGTTGATGAAAAACCTGATATTAATGAGTCTCCAAAAGAAAGCCAGGTTAAACACTCGTCGACTTTGTCTTTTATTGGTCTTCCTTTGGCTGCTTTACAAGTCCATTGTGCATTAGCTTGCTTGTTTTTGGAGATATCGATTGATTTGATAGTGAACAATGTCCTGGATTATTTTCAAGTTCAGGGTAGTGGTCCTCTGTCCATATTCTTTTTGTTCTGTTTTCTATTGGTTATTGATGTCCAATTGGTTGTAGCTCTAGATTAGCACCCGAAATACTATGTAATGCTTCTCATGTAGTATCTCTATGCTAACGTGGGATGTGCTGTTTGCTTCAGTCTCAGGGTTAGTTGTTTTTCTTCTCCACTAGTAATGCTGTTGCAAATGGTTTTAACTAAGATAACACAAAAGGTATTGTGGAATACTTCAAAATTTCCACCTCTATGCTGATCTGGCATTTTCTGTTGGCTTCCCTCTCAGGATGATGAACAGGTGGTACGGCAAGACCTCAATGAGAGTACCTTAGATTTGTGCTTAGGATTGAACTCGCATGATCATGATTCTGAATCAAAACCTGAGGAGCTTGGTGAAACAAAATCCGTTCAGGTTGATGATTCGGTTCCTTCTTGAAAGGCCATGTTAAATTTGTTTGTTCTTGATTTGAAGACACTTTATACATTGAGTTGATCATTCGGTCAAAAGTTTTTGTTCATCTTAGAGGCAGGCACATTTGCACTTCCAATTTGGGTTTCTTTCTTCGGCTGCAGACTTAACAGGGATTGATGCTTCAAGAGAGTCAATATTTAGATTTCAGACGAGTAATGGCTAAATTTTAATCCGCCAGGGTTGTTTCACCATTGACAATTCCACTTTTTTGAACTCAGATCTTTTTCGGCTTTTATGTTGTGAACATTACCTTCTATTATTCTTTTTGTTTAGCATCTTTTCTGTTGTTCATTACAAGAGACATCTATGTTTTACATTTACATCAATCATACTAGTCACTAGTCACTGGTCAGTTGAAAGTGAAGTCCAAACAATGAAATGCTTTGTTTTGGGAGCCATCATTCCTGGCATTAATGTTTCCTGCTTCTACTTGATCTGGACGCCAAATCCCCCGACCCAAACGAAGCAAACCCCAAACCACAAGTATTTCTCTTTGAAGGGGCTCAGATTTGTATTCAAACCTTCCCTTGTCTGGTAAAGCTTCTTTCTTAGCTGTTGGGGAATATGGTCTTCTGCTTATGTTGTTGTAGCTCTGTGGAAGGATGGGATAGCTATGCATGTACAGGTATTGACGATGATGATGTTGATGGTGAGGATGATGAGCTGACAGATACACAGCCTTTCAGCCGTTCAAGAATGAGGTTGCGGCTAACTAGTCTGGCATGCGAAGTAAGAGGAAGACCCTCTTTCATGCACTCGTCATAGTTCTCCAAAGCACAGACAATGTCGCTGAAATCTGGTCGCTTTGATGGATTGGCAGCCCAACAACACTTGATTAAGTGCGCAAGTGCAGGCTGACAGCTTGCTGGCAGTGGGGGTCGTTCTTTCTGTCGGAAACAACAGCAAATGAAGGTGGATGCAAACTTTAGAAATAGAGATGGTGGCTTATTCGAAGACTCATTACATGGATGTCACGAGTCTATTGTCATAGAATGAGGGGGAAATCCACTACAAACAGTCTTTACCTTCTCAGCCACTGCAAATGCGGCCTGGACTGGAGTCATTCCTTGAAATGGAAGCAAAGCCGTGATGAGCTCCCACAATACAATCCCAAAGCTATAGACGTCGACTTTACGAGTGTAAGTTTTCTCCTTGACCATCTCGGGTGCCATCCAGCGATAGGTGCCTTTATTTCCTTTAGTCTCCTGGCATTGTGTCTCGAGGCATGAAGTCCCAAAATCTGCCACCTTAACACGCATCTCATCATTCAGAAGCAAGTTGTTTGATTTCAAGTCTCTGTGAATTACACCTTGTGAGTGAAGGTACTCCATCCCTCGTGATATGTCGAGAGCTAGCCTTAGAACCGTCTCAGTTGATAGCGAGTAGGGCTCTTTCTTGTTCAGGTACATTCTGAGTGTTCCTTGTGACATATACTCTGTGATGATACAGTACACAGGGGGTTTCTTGCATGCAGCAATGAACTGAGTAATGTACAACAACAACATCAATAGGACGCACGAGCTTGATGGAAAATCAAATGGCACATTTAGCAGCCCTATATACCCTGAAAGTTAGGTGCATTTGATGAATCAGAATCATGGGTTATTGTTCTTACAGTGGCCTATCCTATATAATACTATTCTCGCTCAGCTAACGACAGTGACCTGCAATGGCATCAATGTCGGTCGCCAACCAGCCGGAGGTATCATGCCATATGCTGTAGAAGCTTTGTAAGCAAATACATACACAGAGCTCCACGAGAAAGAGGGGAACAGTTAGTTACCTGCACTATATTGGGATGATAGAGTCGGGAAAGCAGAGCAACTTCAGATTTAAACTGCTGCTCGAGGACAGATCTGGTCTCTTCCTTGTGGCTAGGGATCCTGACCATTTTGACAGCAACTGCTCTCTGCTTGTAAATCCCTCGATATATCCTACTGTGCGCCCCAGAGGCAAACTTGTTCCCTATAAACAGCTGTGAAAGGTCTGCTGTCCACTCATCTTCGTCTTCCTTGGGAGAGGCCTCCCACGTCTCCACGTTCTCGGACTCCAGTATCATGGACCAAGATTCCAAGCTGTCGAACCTCTTCCCCTCCATGTTCTCCTCGGAGTTCAGCTGGTGCTCTCTCGACGACATGGGAGGCATTCGTAATCTCCGCTTGCTCCTGGGTTTTCCAAGGCGGAAAGCAGGGAAACAAGAACCAGCCATTCCAACACTATGTAACTTTGTTCCCAAGGAAGCAGGGGAAAAAACAGAGGATGCAATGATCAGAACAGAGAGCCGTACGTTCTCCTTCTGAAAGTGTGCATGGATTTCAGGAAGTGCATGAACTGATTCAGAAACATGGGTTGTGTGGGGAGATTATCAACTCATCGATTGGATAGAAGAAGAACGTGACGATGAGGTCTCCTGGTAACGGAAGGAAATGATGTCTTCGACGTAGGAAAACAGAGAAGATTTCAAACTCTCATGTCAGGAAAGAAACCCTGCTGCAAGAATATGCAGGAAGGGAGTTGCAGGAGGGTGAAGAGAGAGATGACGACATTGCGAAGAGGGAGGTTGATTGGATGAGATTAGAGAGGTGGGTTTTGGAACTGGAATGGAAAGCAAGATGGTGAATTTCAGGGACGTCTCGTGATTGTCTCATCTGAAAGTTGTGCCTTTTTAGTTGGAATGGAAGGAAAGGAAGGAGGGCAGCTTTTTACTCTTCCTTACGCCTTCTCTGCTTTACGTATTCCTTCTACAAGTTCTAGCCCGGTAACCCCTTCTCCAGTTCTCCCTTCCCTTCCTTTAGTCTGATGAATGGTTGGACTGATTAATTATGTAAAGTACATGGACATCAATGTCGACTGTAACTAATGGCTAATTATTGTTTGGGACAGTAATTCAAGAACTGAGTTCATATCAAGCTCCATGAATTTTACGGTAAAATAACATGGATAAATATTAAGTAGTGTCACTATATGTATATGCTTTTTATGTTGCTAGCTTAATGCTCCAGTTTCGTAACCTTATGTTACGTACATGGAGTGAGAGGTTAGTATCTCATATGTGTTTAGGAAGGGAAATTGTTTAGCTTGTAGGGCTCGTAGGGGTTATTCTGTCATTATAGTTGTTTATGTTTCTGAGCATGATCTTGACATTCGCTATTAAATTTTTTATATATATGACATGATGAGATTTCTTTATTTCGATATATTAATGTTATGAAATAGTAGTGCTTCGAACCATTTTTCTTATATTAAATAAATAAATAAATATTTACCTTCCACAATCAACAAGAGAAAGGTAGGAATGATGGTCAGGGTGAGATAGGTTTTCAAATGTGCATACCCGCCGCATGATAAGTCGGATTTAAAGCGAGTATTTTAACTTTGATAGCTAGTCAGGTGGTCAACCTAGAGCACTTCTACTATGCTATATAGTATTGGTGCTTTAATGTACAACTTAAAGTTGTACCATAACATTAAATGTATGAGTTTAGGTTGTACCATAAAACAATTTGTACCATTATGTTATGGTACAACTTTGCAACTTGAAGTTGTACCCTCACATAAAGGTACAAGTTCAAGTTGTACCATAAAAGAATTTGTACAAAAAGTATAGGTACAATCTGAAGTTGTACCATAACATAGATGTACAATTTTAAGTTGTACCATAAAGGCAAAAACTTATAGCACCAATACTATATAGCATTGTAAAATTTCTTGGTCAACCTATTTGGATTTGTATCTCAAGGGATGGGATTAGGTGCTAACCTTATAGGGGTTAGCACCGTGATAACTAGCAAAAAGCGCTACTAAAAATAACGAAATCACTACGGATTATTATAAAATCAATACAACATCTAAGCTAAATCACTACTAATTCAAACTAGTAGTAGTTTTTCTCTTGGTTAGGACGGTGCTAACTATTGTACAATTAGCACCGTAGCCGTTCCCGTATCTCAAGGAAGAAAGAACTCAATAGATTAAATGATTAATGTTTTCATTAAAAAGTACAGCAAAATATTATATGGCAATCAAGTTGAATTATTCTAGAAATCAAGACTCTCACATATTAAATAGTTTTTTTTTTTTGCGTAAAAGGAGGCTAGCGCCAAGAAGGGGTACAAGGGGAACAGAATTACAAAGACCGGGTAGCTAGTACCCTCCGCTCAAAAGAAATTCCTCTCATATCGTCCTGAAGAATGCTTCCGATACCCGTAGGCGGATTAACAAGCTCATGCATACCATAGGGATAGACGAGACTGTGCTTCGAGAGCCAGTCCGCGGCTCTATTCCCTTCCCGGTATGTATGAGATATGCTAACCAGCCAGTCTTGCGCCGTGCGTCTCCTGATGGAGGCCAGCAGAGAGGCATGAGGATGGAGAGGGTCACTTCTGTTCTTCAGCCACTGGACCACCAATTGAGAGTCCGTCTCAATCAAGAGGTTGGTGCACCTGTACTTCCAAGCGAGATTCAGCCCATGGAACAGAGCCCACAACTCGGCCAAGGCAGCGGTCGCCTCCCCAATCATTGCCACAAACCCAACCTGCCATCTGCCTTGCTCATCCCGAATTAGCCCTCCCGCACCAGCCTGCCCTGGATTCCCGGCCGACGCCCCATCCACGTTCAGCTTCATCCATCCGCCGGGGGGGGCCACCCACCTGATGTCCGCCAGCACCCTATGAACCGCAGGGGAGCCTTGGAGCTGAACCGCGCTGCCTGAGACCCACGCCGTGTGCCAGAGAGAAGCTCTATGAAGGATAGAATTCGCCAGAGAGGGGGCAGTCAAAGCCGCTCCAATGCCTTTGAAGCAGGCTGTGCACCTGTTCTTCCACAATAACCAAATAGCAGATGCAAAAAACTCATTCCATGCCATACCTGACTCCATCTCCTCCTCCCTGTTAACATTGCTTCTTATCCAATCCTCAACTGAGGCCGAGAAGAAATCGTGATGCTCTGCCTGAGGAACCTGTCTATACCAGAAATACGCAGCCGGCGGACAATCCCGGAGAATGTGAAGGACAGTCTCCGGGGTGCCAGTACATCTGTGACAATCTGGGGAATCCGCACACTTCCTGGTGAAACGAAGCACATTAGTCGCAATCTTCCGCAAGGCCACCAACCAGGTAAAACAACAGACTCTTTCCGGGACGTGAAGCCGCCAAATCTTCTTCCACAGACTCTCATTGTGCCCCGTCTGTCCGGGGTACGCCATGAGATACGCCGATTTAGCAGTGAATCGGCCATTTTCAGAGGCCGACCAGAAGAGAGCGTCATCAGTGGTCGAGAGCGGATCAACCGCCACCGCCGTGACTTTGTTCAGGGCATCCTCCGTTAGCCAGTCCTTCAAACGGTCCACATCCCAGCATCCATCTTCGTCCACATAATCCGCCACCGAATCCGCCAGCATCTCCTCCGGCAAGGGCTGCACTGCAACATTCATCAGGGGAACCTGCAAACACCACACATCCTTCCAGAAATTAGTGTTCTTCCCGTTGTGAATATTCCAAGCAAGACCCTTTTTTAACAAATCAGAAGCTTTAGTCATGCTTCTCCAAGCAAAAGAACTTCCCTGACTCGACCGAAGCATCTCAATGCCCTTCCGCTTCCTCCCGTATTTGTCCTCCATAATTCGCACCCAAAGGTTGTCTTTCTCCGTCAGGAAGCGCCAGCCCGTCTTAGCTAGGAGGGAGAGATTCGCCTGTCTTAAGGACCGAAGCCCCGCTCCTCCTTGCCCCTTTGGCTCCAAAAGCTTCTCCCAAGCTACCAGGTGCATCCTCCCTTGGTCCTCCTCTTCGCCCCAGACAAAGTTCCTGTTAATCTTATCAATAGAGTTGCAAACATTAACAGGTAATTGTTCAGTGTGCATAGAGTAGGTAGGGATGGATGACGATACAGATCGAACCACAGTGAGTCTCGCTGCCAAGGACAAGCGGCGCGCCTTCCAAGGCGCCAACTTTTTCTTGATTCTCAGAATTAGACTCTGGTATCGATTCCTAGTGACCCTCCCATGAATGGTATGGATCCCTAGATACTTCCCCAGATCTTTAGTAAGCGGAATCGAGGCTCTGGAGCTTAACACCTGCGCAGTCTCCTCCCTAACATTTGGCGACACATACATGGAGGACTTGCTGAAGTTGACCCGCTGGCCCGAACTCTCACAAAAATCCTCCAGGCATTGCTTGATGATCCGCACTTGTGATCTTTCTGCCTCCGCGAAGAGAATGAGATCGTCTGCAAAAAATAGATGAGTGAGAGCCGGACCAGTCCCCGAGAGTTTGACAGGCTTCCAAGCCTTGTCCCGGACTGCCTGATCAATTCTATGAGATAACCTTTCAATACAAAGAACAAACAGATAGGGTGAAAGGGGATCTCCCTGGCGAACTCCGCGGGATGGAGTGATAGGGTGCGAAAGCTCCCCATTCCAAAGAATACGCATATGATTATGCTCCACACAGTACATAATGCAGTGTATCCAGGAGCTTGGGAGGCCTACTTCAATCAGAGTGTCTCTGAGAAAATCCCAGCGCAGTCTGTCGTAGGCCTTCTCAAGATCAATCTTCACTACAATCCCCCCTTTCTTTCCTTTCCTCTTCCTGAGAGAATGTAGCACTTCCTGCACAATGAGAATATTGTCCGACGTCTGCCTTCCGGGGATGAAACTGCTCTGGCGAGGGGAAATCAAGCTCTTCATAAGCGGCTTCAGCCTGCTAGTCATGGCCTTCGTAATCGCCTTGAGACTGACGTTATTAAGGGAAATAGGGCGCAACTGGTTAACGGTCTCAGGATTCTCCACCTTTGGAATGAGCACAACTGTAGAAGAGGAAACCTCCTCCGGGAGAGACCCATTTTCAAAGAATGATATCGCCATGTCTGTCAAAGCTTTCCCAACAACACTCCATGATTTTTGATAGAAGATCGCTTGGAAGCCATCAGGGCCCGGAGCTTGCAGCGGCTTCATGTCAAAAATCGCCCTGTGGATATCCATGATGGTGAAAGGACGTAGCAACGCAAGCCACTCTGCCTGGTTAGGCCTCGGAAAAGCTCCCTTGGGCATGCGATCGATGTACTGATCCCCTCCCTGTGTATAAAGATCCAAGTAGAAGTTAAAAACCAGATCTTTCAACTCCTGCATATCATGAATCCAATCACCATTATCATTCTTCAGACATGCGATCTTGTTAGCCCGCCTCCTAATATTGGCAATTTGGTGAAAGTAGGCGGTGTTGCGCTCCCCGAACTTGACCCACTTCTCTCTAGCTCTCTGAAACCAGAGAAGTTCTTCCTGTTCGAGGGTTTTATCCAGCTCGGCCCCCAGCTTAGAATGAAGCTTCGCCAAGCCCGGGCAAAAACCAGCCGCAAGCCTCCTCTCAATACCCCCAATCCTTGCCAGCAGTCTCTTCTTCCTATAGTGAATGTTCCCAAAGACTGACGCATTCCACTCCTGAAGTTTGTGGGCGAAATCCTGAAGAGCTTGGGGGAGGGCCACCTGCGAATTCCAAGAGGACGTTAGCAACTCCTGGAAATCATTATGGGTAAGCCAAGCGGCCTCAAACTTAAACTTTTTCGGAAGATGGGGAGGGACTCCCTGAGGTGAAACCGTAGTCAAAACTGGATTGTGATCTGAGCTCAATCGTGGAAGGTGAGTAACAGTCGTGCTGGGGAAAGCCTCATTCCAGGCCAGGTTGCAGATCGACCGGTCGAGGCGGCTAGCTCTAAAAGAGGAGGTATCGCGTCCTCTAGACCAGGTAAAAACCGGGCCAGAAAAGCCCAAATCCACCAGCTCAGCCGAATTGATCCACTCACTGAACCTTCGGCAGCGCCGAAGAGTAGCTACAGAGGGAGCTCCAAACTTTTCTTCAGGCGTCAAGATTGCATTGAAGTCTCCAGTTAGTATCCAAGGGCAGGCAACCTCCTTGCTCTGATTGATCAAGAAATTCCATAGCAGCTTCTGCTCACACTGCCGCGGAGAAGCATAGACCGCTGTCAAAAGCCAATTCGGACAGTTAGGCTTTCCCACCATGAGAGAAAGGTGCTGGGGGCCGGCAGAAGAAATGTGGACTGTGAAGGAGCCGCCATTCCAAAAAATCCAGACTCCCCCACTCCTCCCATTCGCTTCGACCCTAGCAACATCAGAAAAACCCATCTTATCACAAACCTTGTTGGCCACCTCACCACTGACCTGCGGTTCCAACAAAACAACAAAATCAGGTTTGTGAAGCTGAAGAGCGAGCTTCAGAGAGCGAGCAAAAGCTTTCCCTCCAGCTCCCCCTACATTCCAAGAAAATATTTTAAAAGACTCAAACATAGTAAAGGACATCGACATGAATAAAAATGGGAAGAAACAGAGGAGGAAAGAAGAAACGCAGGAGATTCCGAGAGCAAAAGGACACAGGTTAGGCAGGGGGCGGGGTCTCCGAGCTGGCTCTCGTTTCCCTTCCATCATCGCCTTGAAGGACAGAAGACGATTGGCCCCCGTTTATCCCCTCTCTAATTCCTGCTGCCGCGGTCCATTCTTCGATCTGTTGGAGGGTTACCGAGACCCTCCTCTCTCTGGGTTTGGATTTCTTCTCCTTCTTGGGTGTCCAGATTTGCAACGCTTTAGAGGAAATTTTCCGCCCACTCATTGCTTTGGATGGGGAAGCACGATTCCCCCGGCGCTCTTCGTTGCTGATTTTCTTTCGTTGTTTGGTCCGAGCGCTCGCCGAGGGGGCATCCGGGTTCTCTTTTCTCGCTGACGAGGACGGGTAAATGGAGGCTTCCACAATCTGCATTTTTGTGCCGTTTTGGCCATTCAGAACTTGGGCTGGAACTGCCATTGGGCCCTCCACATTCAGCTTCAGATTTTGGAGGCCCAACAGGCGACCATCGAGCCCATCCCCCTGTCCCCTAGAAGAGGAGGCTTCCTCCTTATCCTTTCCAGCCGTGGACTTCATGCTTGGAGACTTAAGGCCAGATGGGCTTGGGCCCAGAATCCCATTCCCACCAACAGAAAAATTATTATGCACCTTCTCCTTTCCCTTTTTGGAGCCATTCCCTTCCTTTTCTCTCCTCACCGAATCCCCTTCTTTGTTCCCTAGTGATTTGCTCTGAATCTGGTTCTTCGGAGGATGTCGAGATTTGGATGTCTCTTGGTGAGGAAAGTTTCCTTCCGCAATATCCTTTGTTGCTGCTACTTTCCCCATCTGCAACTTGTGATTCCCGTGAACGGCATCGTTGGTCCAAGCAGGAGTATCCCGAGTGGGTAATTCCCGCTGATTCCGCCTGGACTTCCGCGTAACTAGCATCCAAGGCCCGAACCCGCCATTCACCTCCGGTGTCTCAGAATCGCCGGCGTCAACCACCGGAGGGTTGCCATCACCTTGTGTGGCGACGACCAGCTGCTGTCGGATCTTTGGGCAAGTAACTTTAGTGTGCCCCACCATTCCGCACTCAAAACACACAGTCGGAAGGTTCTCAAATTCGACTTTCTGCCACTTACCATCAAGACGAACCCGGGGCACCAAAGGCTTGGTTAGATCGACTTCAACCGCCACCCGGGCAAACTTAGTTCTTTGTTGATTCTGAGTGTGGTAGTCCAGTTTAATCGATCTGCCGATCATGTTGCCAATCGAGAACAAAATGTCCTTGTGGTAGAAGTGAACTGGAAACCCCGGGAGTTGAATCCAAACCACCATAGTACTTGGAAGCTTGTCATAAACCCGAAAAGATGGAGACCATTGTTGGACAATGAGATAGTGATCAAAGATAGTCCACGGACCATCCGTCAGAGCCTTGTAGTAATCCTGATCATTCCCGAGTTTGACGAGAAAGAAGTCCTGATCAAGAGCATGGACGTCCATAGAGCCAGTCGGACGCCACAATGCCCTGAGACGATTGCACAGAAAAGCATAACCAATAGACCGCCCCAGCAAACGGACTACCAGCGTTCTCTGCCATGGAGCGCTAAGTCTGGCCCTGAAACCGTCCGAAATGGTCAGCTCCGGCTCACCGTTGAAAGTTCCCGGAATTAGATCGCGCTCTCCGACGGGTATCCATTGATTTATCGGCGCTCCGGGTGAGCTGCTCCCGCCGGCCACCACACCGGCGTACGACGCGAGAAAGGGAGCTGGAGAGGAACTTTTAGCGGACTCGTTCGGCGCAGTCTCGTTCAGATTCCCGGAGGGAGAACCAGCGGGTGCGATTGAGTCGACGTGCATCTCCATCCCATTGGGGTCCTTCTGGGGCAAAACCCCCTCCTTATCTCCTTCTAGCGGTGGAGCTAAAGGCTGCTCCCCGGTTGTTATAGGGTCCGGCGGCCATCCATGAGGGGACACGGGCGCCGCCGGCGACTGAAGACTTAGAGGGTTCATACAGAGGATTTCAGACATGAAAGGTAAGGATTAGTGCATATTTTGTCTCGTCTCACATATTAAATAGTTACTCTACGGATTAAAATGTTAGTAATTTAAATAAATGCTATATTAAATTGGGTAATGACTATTTATTAGCCAAACTTTCTTCGGATTCTTTTTTATTAGCTAAACCTATTGAAATACTAAGATTAGCCAAATGCTAACTTCCAGTTAGCCATTTTATTAGTAACATTAACCTGGCAACATGATACTAACTTGGAAGAGACACATGAATGTCAGCATTTCAAAATTTTGGTATTTTAACTAAGAAAAGAGTTATAAAATTATTAATGATAAAGTAAAAATGGCTAATAATTTGATGCATTACAAAAAATTTGGCTAATTAATAGCATTTTGATAGATTTTGATAATAAAAAACAATCAGAAAAAGATTTGGCTAATAAATAGTCATTACCCTATTAAATTCAGACTAAATCACTAAACATATTGAGAATAAGACGAGGAAATATGAAACGTGACCAAATGAGGATTTTAATCTATCTATCCCACATACGAGACGACAAGATGGGTTTTACTCACTAGGACCGTAAATGAGCCGAGTCGAGTCGAGCTTTAGCCTTTATCCCAGTTTGAGTTTGGCTCGAGCTAGCTCGTTTACTAAAATATTGACTTGTATTTGATACTTCATTTTTGTATATTATGATACATGTGATTCATTTTGTTAGTTAATCTCATATTATACTTTGTTGGTATCATATTATTTAGGTAATAAATTTTAACTAGTCCAAATCATGTTATTTCATAGTATCGAAGCAATATATGATACATAATTCTTTATAAAATAAAAAATAAGTTATATTTGCTCACATACTTAACGTGTTAAGCGTCATATATGGTGAGATATATAATTTAACAATCATATGAATTAAAATCATAAGATATAGATCGATTCACCCATAAGTCGGTAATCGAGTTGGCTCTCTAGCAACATGTTGAGACATCTCATGAGGCTCTAAACGAGTCAGCTCACGAGTTTAACTCAACAAGCCACCGAGTTGAGCTAGCTCGTGAAGCAGGCTTAGCTCATGCTTGGCTCGTTAAAAAAGAATGAAATTTCAAAAGTTTTTTTTCAATTCGAACGTCGTACCCTCGACTCATTTGCAGCCGTAATACTCACCGTTAAATGAATGGAAACAAATTAGTGGGACGGATGAAATCAAAATTATGAGTGGCTATTTGTAGCCCATTTCTCAGACCCTGCGGCCCATTTTAGTCGCCGGCCCCTGCTTCAGCCTTACGCACTCCCTGATAAGCCCGGCTCAAGAGCGTCCGGGGACCCAGTCAAAAACAGACGGCCGGCAAAACAGAGGGAACATTCACCGTTGCATTTCTTGCTGGGCAAGTGGACAATTCCTGATTCCCTCCCTTCCCCATCCCCCACAAAATGGAATATCAGTTTCAGTGGGCGTCCAAAGGAGCCGGAGACTGAATCGGGAGGTTTAAGGTCTTACACCGCCATGGCAGCAGCAGCGTCAGCTCTGTGTACTACTGTCCTTGCCATCTCGCCAGCAATTCACAACGCCCGAAACAACCTTTCTCGTATCAAACTCCTTCCCCTTGCCTCACGCCGTCCGTCACTTTCCAGGTATGCTTCACCTTCTCCTCCTTCAACTTTCCGGCCTATCGGCAACAATCCCCGGCTATGTAGTTAATTTGCTTGCTTCTTTGTTACGCCGATTGATTCATTGGAAGAATTTGCAGAGGTCGGCAGCTTATTCAGCTTATGTGAAGCTAATGATTCCTTTTCCATTTCCTCCGATTTCCAGGAATCGAAACCCTAGGAAATTCGGCAAATCCTTTGCGATACGAGCAGCTGTTGTGCGCGAACAGGAGGAGAAGGAGGTGGTTGTAGAAGAAACTTTTCAACCCAAGACATCTAGCTACGATGTACAGGAGGGCGGCGGAGGCGGACCGGGGGAGCCTCCTCAAACTGATTCTGATCAATGGATCATCAGGATTGAGCAATCCATTAACGTCTTTCTCACGGTAATTTTTATCATTTCGATCGGTATGCACACTCCCCACAAGTCCTAAAATGTTTTCTGCTTCTGATTATAGTAGCTCTACTGATATTGGCAGGACACGGTGATAAAGGTTCTCGACACCTTCTACCGCGATCGAGATTACGCGAGGTTCTTCGTTCTTGAAACCATTGCGAGGGTTCCTTATTTTGGTGAGAGTCCTTGTTGTTTATATGGGTAACTACTCTTTACTTGTCAGTTTGCTACAACTACTTATGACTGACTTGCCACGGTTCATTTCTTTCTCACTGTTTTCTTTCACAGCCTTCATTTCTGTTCTGCACTTGTATGAGAGTTTTGGTTGGTGGAGAAGAGCAGATTATATAAAAGTACATTTTGCTGAGAGTTGGAATGAGATGCACCACTTACTCATCATGGAGGTAAGGATTCTTATCCGATAAGTTTCCGCTGTTGCTATGAGTGTGGCAGGCATGGCATATTATTCTTGTCGTCACTTAATTCCTCTCTGCCTTGTCATTGTAAACCCCTTGCAGTTGCAATCTTTTTTTTATCTTTATGACACATATTCCCTGTAGTAGTAGGCTACGCAGAATTATCAATTCTTCGCAGGGAGGTTCGTTTGGCAAGATTATATAACCATTGAGTGCTGCCCCATACCCATGTAGTAATTTGCCCGAATCTAGGATTGTACAGATGAGAAAAAATTAGATTGTATTATGCTTGTCACAAAGAAAAAAGAGAGGTATGCAAAACTTGTTGATGGCAATGGTTTTGTGTTTGCAGGAACTAGGGGGTAATAGTTGGTGGTTTGACCGATTCCTCGCTCAACATATTGCAGTGTTTTACTATTTCATGACTGTCTTTATGTATGCATTGAGCCCAAGAATGGCCTGTAAGTACTTTCTTTTTGTTGATTAATTTTATCAAGTACTTTCTCTGTTGATTGATTCTATTAAGTACTTTCTCTGTTGTCCTTAACGATAAGTAGTTCAGCCTGATATATTTTGTTCATCATTGTTGCAGATCACTTTTCTGAATGTGTGGAACACCATGCTTATTCAACTTATGATAAATTTATCAAAGCGCATGGAGGTATGGTGTCATACAATCTTGGAGCCTCGCTTAAATTATTATCATCTTCATTTGATTACAAATTATCCATGAAGTTTTTGTGTCGAATGGTAGTGGTTGGGAGTACATATATCAATGAGTGTTACCCTATAAGTGACATATACATGGTCGGTCTTGGAAGGAATCCCTTCAGGGCATTGGACTCAGGGTTGAAGACCCTTATCATCTATAAGAAATTGTATCCTCATGTTTGGTAGAGTTTTGACCGTCATTGTGTAAAGCTGCTCCCTCAGGTGTATTCTTATGTTAGCCTCTACAGAAATAACAGATGCTGAACTTAAGTTATAGGAACTGGAGGTAGTTAAATGCACAGTATTTTTTTTATAGATTTTGCTGAACCAATTTGAATTTTGTTTGAAAGGAGAAAGGAAAGACAAAAAAAAAAAAAATTATGCATAATAAAAGGAACTATCTTTTCCACAGGTGTTTTTGTTTTCTCTTCTAACATAAACCAATTAGGGTAGCAGAAAAGAGATCCAAGTAAGTTAGCTGCAAGAAACATATTCACCATTTGATTATACATATCTGTCCAGATGAGCTGAAGGAATTGCCTGCACCAGAAGTTGCCGTGAGGTACTACACTGGGGGTGACTTATACTTGTTTGGTAAGTAAGTTTCTATTCATTGATATCCCTCCCACCACCATTTGATTGTGATCTCTGAACCACCGCAACTTGAATATTGATGTCCTTCCTTTCTGAACACAGATGAATTTCAGACTTCCAGAACTCCTACCTCACGAAGGCCAAAAATAGGTATTCTACCTTCTCAGGCACTCATTATGATCCCAAAAATGATATGAAAGCTCATTTCAAGTCTGTGCATGTTGCCGCCGCCTGGCCTTTGATGCTTTTGCTTTCAAGGTTGATCATCTTGGTCACTTTATACTTGGAATTAGGAATCCCATTCGGGGAATATATATTCGATTGGCCTATGACTTCTGATTTCTAATTCCCGCAATGGACGTATGATCCTCTTTGCTTTCTTATTATGCTCTGCACGACAGAACTTTTTTATTAGATGTATAACTCATTACTGCCGCTGATTCCAAGCCATATACTATGTCTGACTAGCTTGTCTTCTGCGCGCAGATAATTTGTACGACACTTTTGTGAACATCAGAGAAGATGAGGGGGAACACTGCAAAACCATGAAGGCCTGTCAAACTCCTGGTAATCTGCACTCTCCACATTCATATGCAGATGAGGACAGCAATGAAGATGAATCATCTTCCTTGTGCATGGATCCTGAATTGCACTGCGAAGGCATTGTTGACTGCTTGAAGAAATCTGTAGGCCCTGGTTTGTCCAAGACCAAACAGCAAGTTTAACCAACAGAAATCTCTGATACCATTGTGACCCAATGTAAATGCTACGAAATATAGTGTGTATTCGTATATTAAGAAAACTATACAAAATGGCAGGATGAAGGCTATTAGCTCCCCTCCGAGATCTAGCTTCAGTTGTGGGAAATCGTCAGGATTTCTTATATCAGCTCCATCGTACAGGCCAATGTGTTTTCTTCCACCATGGATGCCTCATCTAGTCATCTTCCCCGGCACTGTGCCGGCGGGAAAGATTTCCAAACATGGTTCTTTCCTTTTGTAATCCTACTGGTTTGTTTTAAGGCTTTCATATACGTAACTCTTGGTTTATACATTTCGGCTCGTTGCCATGGAAAGGTTATACTTGTATCTGTTCCATCTATTATTTGGTTGGACTTTCTACACGTGCGTATTCCCTCTAGGGTTGGGACGGACCAGAAACAGAAGAACGAGTATTAAGTAGACAGCATTCATTGAAATTCATGACATAGATAGGCTCGAAGCCGAACAAGGAGATGTCCCAACTCCCAAAAGACGTTAAGAAAGACTGAAAACGTAACAAGACTAAGAACACTAAATGATCATTCCCAGAAACCCGCCAAAACGGAACCGATTTCAAACAACGCAACAACAGTAACAGAGAGCGAGATTACATCCATGAACTTTAATCACTGAACCGCTTCATGCTCCAAGGAAAACATTTGTCAGAACTGTCTGGGACTGCAGAGACGCCTTGAGCAGATTCAGCCCCTGAAACAGCAAACAAAAGAAGCAAACTATTATTAAACCCACTTACGAATCGAAAGCCAGGATTTGATAAGATCCTCAGGAATGATTAAAAAATGTTGCAGGGGGGGAAAAACAGAGTGGGTTACCTCGTCCATTCCCAGCTCAATGACCTTCTCTTCAAGAGCACCAACTTCCTGAACATTGAACTTATTCAACATCGTGATGCTCGAGATTGTCGACATTGGCTTCACCTCCAGATTGTCCATCACCATGTAAGTTATCACATCCTTCACAAACCCACCTTCTTCACTGTTCACACCCACAGCTTTGTCTGTGCTAGCAGCAGCAGGAGGGGCGGCGATTACAAAGGGAACCTCGCAGCTCATCGTACCTCTGCAAGTAGGGCAAAGAGCTTGCGGGTTATCAGCCACGTTCCTGTGGAACGTAGGGCACATGTAGACCTTCCTGGCCGTTGCTCCAATTCCGTCCACGCCACCGCCGGATAGCAAAAGGGTGCTGCTACCAGTTGGACAGAACGGAGCTTTTGGGTTCAGAACCGCGCCCTTGACTATTTTGGGCTGGAAGAACGTATCGCTGAGCTCTTCGATGCTGTGGTACAGATTTCCAAGGCTGCCCACCATTTTGCTCTTGGACAAAAGCTTAATCACGGTTCCCAGCGGGAAGGAAAGGAGGGTGAAGAGGAAATCAACGAAGTCTTTCCCTGCTTCAGCAAACAGCACTTTCTTGGTTTTCTTGTTGATCAGGAGCTTCAGGGTGACTTTGGGGGTCGACATTTTTGGTGGGTATTTTTGCGAGTGATATGTGAATAGAGGGTTTGTGTAGTTCATGATGAAGTTTGGAAGCTGGAATTTATAGAGAGCAGGGGGGGAAGAAGGTTCAGGCAGAAGGGGAAAATCGTGCCTCTTGTGCATGGGGAGACTTCAATTTTTTCCATAGGGAATCGAAGAGGATCGCCGGAATCAGGGGTTTTAATGGGCAGGATTATGATTTCCTGTTCCATATGCAAACTCAGCCAATGGAACACAGTCAGGTTTGCAGGCTTTCGTGGCGGTGTGGAGAAAAGATACACATCATGAAGCGAAGCAAAGCAAAGCAAAGCAGGCGTGGTATGGGAAAGATGGCCGGCATGTGTGTTGAATGTGGTGAGCTAGAAGAAACCATAATGAACGTCTATGGGAATCCAAAACTAAGAAGAGGATAACACTCTCACTGATGCTACGAGTTTGCTTTGCGAGGACTTGAGCTAAATCGTATGAGATAGAACCGGTAAAATCAATAAGTTGATAGGGGATGACTAGGTGTGTAACGTATAGTATTTGGTCTGGTCCATGGTCCATGTTCTAGGCTCTCAATCTAGATCGCATACAGTATATATGGTCGGTCTGGTCTAGACCACATCGCTCTCCAAGCCTATGTAGCAAGCAGGTCAAACATGAAATAAGCTGGTAAACCGGTTTATACCATTATATGGTAGATGATACGATTTGATTGATGTAGAACATGTTTATGTCAGTTTCGACAAAGTATATGAGAATATTAGAAAATTATTAAAATCAAATGAATTATTGCATATATCAAGACAATTTTAGGGATGACAACATGTCGGTCGATCGGGTCCTAAAAGTTCATATTCATTGCCTACATAAAATAGTATGATTTTACTAGGGGTGGGCAACGGGAAACGGGTATTTGGGTATACCCGTCCCGTTTTTTAAGGGTTACGGTTACATTCCTAATAAGGGTACCCATATTATAAACGGATGGGACGGGTTGTACATTCCTAATATGGGTACCCGCGGGTTACCCGCGAATACCCATTTGGGTAATATGGGTACCCGTTATACCCATTTAATACAAAGGCAGTCCAGCCCCATTCAGAACCTGGCTTCCCATGAACCTAAAAATTTGGACACTTTCTGCATTCAACAACACAAGAAAAGTAGCAGCATGCCTCCCATTTTGTTGTGTTGAATGAAACTTCTTATTTGATAATTTGGTGCTTGGAATGATTTATTTCTATGTGTTGTGATTGTTTATGAATGTGTTATTTGCAAACCGAGTATTTGTGATTGGGATGTATTTTGTGTCTTGTGATTGTTAAGCAAATACAAGTTTAAACTTTTGTTAAAATTTTAGTGGTTTAAACTTTGGGTATTTATGGGTAGTATGAGTACCCGTTATCCGTCCCGTACGGGAAATGAGTACTCATTTCCCATATGGGTTTGGGATATGGGATGGACTTTGGTCTCCAAACGGGACGGGTATCCCGTCCCGTCCCGTTGCCCACCCCTAGATTTTACCCATACCCACAATCATACAATAATTTGTAAAATATCAAAACCAAACCCCATACCCGACATGTTTCACGCATCCACAATTAACCATGAATAATAACTTCTCTTCTTAACTTTAAACATGTTAATAGTTTTAAATATACTAACATTACTAAGTGAAAAACTAAAATAATACATAACTAAAATGAAGAAACTTAGTTAAAAATAATGATTACTTAAAAAAAATACATACACAATGTGTATAATAAAGTATGAATAATAAAAGAGTGAGAAAACAAAATCCAATCATCACCCACAATATTATTCGAGTTCAGATTTTAAATAATGCTTATTTTTCTTGGGTAAATTGCAAGGTTGATCACTGAGAATACTAAAAACGTTCATGTTTGGTCACTATAAATATTTAATTCCAATAATGATCACTAGATTTAGTAAAACAGTTCAAGTTTGGTCACTCTCTGTTAGTCTCCGTCCATCTCCTTTAACGAAGACCGTTATGTGCTGACATGGCAGACAGAATCATCCAATCGACCTAATTAAACCCTAAAATAATGAGACCTGACCTGCCACGTCACTAACCCCCGCCACGTCTTCTTGCCCAGCCCAATCCAACACTTTAACCAAACCCAACCCAATAACCGACCCACTCAAGCCCCAAACCTCCGACTTCTTTCGCAGCTGAGATGAACACGCAACAGTTGGCTCCATCTCCCTTTCCTCTGCTTCTTATCGGATCGACCAGCACCTCCGATTAAAGCCAACATGGCTCTCGTCCCTGGGCAAATAAGAGGGTTTGGCGGTGGTTCTAGTGCGATTGGAGTCTGGAGAGACAATGAGCGAGGGGAGAGAGAAGATCCGACGGAGAATAGATCTGTGTCGCGACTCCACTCCTCCATTCTAGTTCACGACGGCACGGAGAGGAATAATCGACGGCGGCGAGTACGACTATCAGAGAGGGGTCGAGGGAAGATGGAGAACTGGGAATCCAAATCGTTGGGTGGGGGTGCATGGAGGCCGAGACGCGGAATCAACGGAGGAGAATGGGGAGAGAGGGATTTGAGGGGAAGGAGCCAGGGGCATAAATAAAGGAGATGGGATTTTGGGTGCGGGAAAAATTGAATTTGGAGCGTTTGGATTCAGATTTGGGTTTCGACTCTGTATTCCATGTTTCGACCCTCTGTCGCGAAATGAGTTCGGGGAAGGAGATGCAACGGTCAGTGATGCTGCCGATGATAGGGATTGCGAGCTTGGACGGATAGCTGTGGTCGAGCTTTAGTGGTCCGGAGGCGAGCTGATCTTTGCTAGTGTTGTTGGCGATGGAGTTGGTGAGCAAGAGATATGGGTTGGGTGGGTATCTCATGTGGTGGGTTTAGCTAGTGACCAAACATGAACGTTTTTAGTAATCTGAGTGACCAATCATTCAATTAATAACTCTATTTTTCTTGTTCTTGTTAGACCATTTGTAGTTTGGTATGATATCAGCTTCACCACGGAAGAAAGTTACGATTTATGGGCCAGCAAATCCGGATTGTTCAAATTGGTCTCAAATCAAGGTTGTCAAACCGATTTGTGCCAGTGTGTCGGTTTAGCAAGTGGAATGGTTCGACCGGTGGTACATACCGGTTTGTACCGATTCATGCCGGTTAATATTACAAATAATTTACAAATACTCATATTTAAGCACGACATTTAACGTAAATACCTAAATATTTGTACTTGAATCCAACAACTAACATCAACATTTAACTTTTTAACACATAAAATAAATAATAAATTACTTTTTATCAAATAAATTCACTAATATAAGATCATTTTACTTAGAGATTCATATATCAATTATGCCGGTCATACAGATTTTATGACCGATACAAGTTGAATCAATTATGCCGGTCATACAGATTTTATGACCGATACAAGTTGAACCAGTAGTACATGCGTAACAACCATGTCTCAAATAAATATTAACTTAATGGTTCTGCGGGGTGACTTTTACTCATTTGGCCCATTTTTTATCACTTACACTAACAGATCTATGACGTTTGGAAGGTTGGTGTTTCGATCAAATTGAATTGATTGCAAAACTCAAACTCTGATCCAATTCGATTGATTGAGAAATTAGGGGATCGCAGAAATTGATGAACTAGCTCCGTCTCCGTAGCTCTCGCTTTCTGCAGCATCTAATAAAGATTTCGCCCGATACGGTTCCTTCCTTTCGTTGACCTTATCCTTATGATTTTTAGATAGAGATTCTGGTATTAAGATGAAAAGATAACAAGGGAAAATATATGAATGTGGACGAGCAACAATCGAATCGTCAATCCAGATATGACGACCGAAACGATATCTCGGCCAACTTGCTGTCAAAACCGCCGTTCGTTTCCGCCGGCCAAGAGACACTCCATATCAATCTCTGGCCGGACATATATTCGGAGGAACGGCGGCAGGGAACTCAAAAACTTCTAAAAAGAAACAGGAAAACGATAACCGATTAGCATGAATTCGAGAAACAGAAGATTGAGAGCGTTGGAACTTGGAAGAACGCGACGCCGGTGAGCTGAGCGGATGAATTTGAGAAAGAGGCGTGCGTGGTGTTTATAAAGGCGTAAATGGTAACCCTAGAGGCGAGAAGACCCTAGTTGGGCTTTTGGTTTGGATCCAAGAATTGGCCTGTGCAGAGACAGAAGCCCATGAATATTGTCTAGTCTACTGGAGCCAGCCCAGCCGCCATAGTTCCCGCAAATTATTTCTACTTAGTGCGGTTATATCCGTCTCTTCTTCTCGCTCACGCCTGCTGCGTTGATTTGCAAAGTTCTGGCCTCTTCTCTGCTTCTCAGCCATGGCAACCGTCTCGCGATTGAACCAGTTTGCATGCCAGAAGACCTTCCCCACCATCGCGCCTCGAACCCCGCTAATCTCCCCATCTGCAATTCTCCATCTCTCCCCTGCCAAACCCACCTCCCCTCCTCTACTCTTCAAATCCAAAGGGTTCCGCAAGCCTGCTTTCCTGTGCCGAGCGGCGGGAGAAGGCGAACAGGATGCCGCCGCCTCCTCCTCCTCCTCCATGGTCGCCGACGCCGGCGAACCCGAGCAGCTCACGGAGATTGATAGCTTGAAGAACCGGCTGGTCGACTGTTTCTACGGTACGGATCGTGGGTTGAGAGCCAGCAGCGAGACGAAAGCTGAGATTGTGGAGCTCATCACACAGCTCGAAGCCAAGAATCCAACTGCTGCACCTACCGATTCATTGACTCTTCTTCAGGGCAAGTGGATTCTTGCGTGAGTGTTCTTCTTCTGTTTTCTAGTTTGTCCATTTTCGTTATTTTTTTGTGGGTTCCTTTCCTATTACAGTTCTTAAAGCAAATTAAGAAGAGAAGAGAATGTACTCTAGGATGAAAATGAAATTGAGTTGCTGGTGGTGGTGCAGGTACACGTCTTTTCCGGGGCTGTTCCCTCTGCTGTCGAGGGGAACTCCGCCACTAGTGACGGTGGAGGAGATATCTCAGACCATAGATTCGGAGAATTTTACCGTCCAGAATTCTGTGCGCTTTGCTAGCCCGTATGCCACCACTTCCATTAGCACCAACGCCAATTTCGAAGTCAGAAGCCCTAAGAGAGTGCAGGTTGATTCCTTGCTTCCTTCATTGTCTTTTCTAATCGTTGTATATATACACGGTCAAGTCTTGGACTTAGTGGAGAATATGGATTTAATAAATGTGCTTGCTTTGCTTGGTGTTGTTTCAGATTAAGTTCGAAGAAGGCGTCATTGGAACGCCCCAGCTAACTGATTCCATAGTGATTCCTGAGAGCGTGGAATTTCTGGGACAGAAGATCGATCTGACACCTTTCAAAGGGTTGATCACCTCGGTTCAGGACACAGCTTCGAGCGTGGCAAAGACGATATCCAGCCAGCCACCGTTGAAGTTTGACATCTCAAACCGCAGCGCAGAGTCGTGGTTGCTCACCACGTACCTGGACCAAGACCTTCGAATTTCGAGGGGAGATGCTGGGAGCGTGTTCGTGCTGCTCAAGGAGGGCAGCCCCCTTCTCGCTCGCTGTTAATTTCAATCCTCTGCAAGTAGATAAGCAGCCGTAGCACGCTCGATCTGGTGGCCTGTAATGTATGGTTTGCGCTTACGATATAGATATATGTACAGTTGTGTTGTGTGTGTGAGTGAGTTGTTTGTTTCGTGCAGAGTCCGTCATAGATATGGCTCCATGTATCTACTGTATACACAGTGTGCTCGGAAGATGCTGTTAGTTATGGGGAATTCTTACACTTCCACCACGATGCATCCAAGAGTACTGTTGTATTGTGTTGAACTTAAATGAATAAACAGATTAGAATAAGAGGGCTTGCTTTGGTGCTCTTCTTACATAATAACAATCAGTTGAGTTGATCAAAAGTCTGCAGAATAAGAGTAGCATTTAGAAGACGAGAACATATCAGTACAGACCTGATAGAAAGCATCCAGAATCATGACATGAAGTTCTTGGGGGTTGACTGACATGTAGTAGTCGAGAAGTGCACGGAGGTTGTTTGGATTCTGAAGCTTGTTTGCAGTGATCATGGTAGCCACCGAATCTACAAAGTCTTGTCTGGGATCCTCACTGCACTTCTCGACGACCACCATCGTAGTACCTATGCCTGCAGTCGTTGTTGTTGTTGTTACTGTTACTGCAACAGCATCGCAACCAGTTCTTCTACCACCTCTCCTTCTTGCAGCTGCTGTCACTTCTGTCATCCTACGTCGGTAGCTTTGTTCTGTTGTGTCTCTGATCATCTGATCCAGTTGGTGCTGAACCATGGTGTGTTCCAAGGTGGAGATCTGCTTGCGCCCGCTTTTATGGATGTCGAAATGGATGCTACCACTATTATGATTCCACGAACGCCGCCGCCTGCACGCTCTGCTGCTGCAGCAGTAGCACTCCCAATCCTCGCTCTCATAACCATCTTTGGGAGAAAAGCTACTGAGCCTGCTGCAGCAAAACCTGCCCCTTCCTCCTGCTGCTGCTCTCTTTTCTACCTCCTCCTTATGGTACTGCCTCCTGTCCCCTGATCCTTTCATTCTGCACTGGCTTGGCTGCAAGCTGGTTGTCTCAATTATGGCTGTAGTAGCAGATCCCCAACAGCAAATTAAAGTAAGCAGCTGTTGTCGAGTTTGCTGCCTACTTCACAGGAGGTGATGGAATGTGATCGAATAGTATATATAAGGTCACCACCTTTTTGCATCTCATATCAATTAAGAAAATGCAGCTTAACTTTTCTTTAGTTTGCGTAAATCTTAATTTAAGTACAATTTGGCGAGATGGGGGCCAGGAATCGACCCTATCATCATGGTGTATCCAAAGGTCTAAACCAGCCATCAAACCCTTTTTCATCCCCCTTTAGAACGTTGTGGCTCTTAATTAATTGCTTTCACAAAGCTTTCTTATTTGATTATTTGAATATATTTATATATATTGGGATTTCTTGTATTAAATTGACTGGTGGACAAATTGGGTGAATAAAAAAGAAAAAGATTCAGCAAAAATACAAATAAGAAACAAAGAAGTAATGAAAGATTCTCTGAGGTGATTGCAAATGGGTTGAACCGGATGATGGGTTGCATATTTTGGGTTTGATTTCTTGAAAAAACTAATTAATGCATAACACTTTTGATTTTCGGTGTTTTAGAATGTGTATTGGTTATCTATTTTGCTCATCAACTATTGTGGCGGAAGGTAAACAAAGACGATTTTATATTATACAAAAGCGCTTTTAGGTCTTTCAAAAACCGAGCTTTTAGAGATGTTTGGCCCTGCTTCAGTTTTTGAAGCCGAAATACACTTCTAAAAGCCGGGCCAAACATAGGCAATATTGAAATAAGTGCTTATGCATAAATTTTACTATTTTAGTGACAACTTTGTCGATGACTCAAACTTTAGGGACCATTTTTGTAATTGAGCCCATAATCAGCGGAGGGAATACTACGTACAAATCACGCGCTTCAGAATAGCGCGTAATCAGACGTCAACAACTGCGTTGATCATTGGCGCGGATAAATCCAACCGACTGCAGGCATTTCCTGCTTTGCTTCTTCCCCGATATTTGATTCAATCAGAGAACAACCGGAAGAAATGTCATCACGGGACAAGAAACCGGCGAAACCGTCCACCAGCAGAGCCGGCGGCATCCGCACGCTGTCCGATCTCAATCGGCGGTCGGGTCCCGACTCAGACAGCGACGAAGAAGGTCCTCAGGAGTATTACACCGGTGGCGAGAAGAGGTCTCTTCCCAAACCCTAATTCTTCCTTGATTCTTATGCGCACGACATTCCCCTGAATCCACTTGCTTCGTTGTCGTTAAATTTCTCATTTCCAGTGATCCAAAGGGCTAATTCGTGTCTCTTTGAGGTGCTCTTAGGCCTTAGCCTCTCTGATTTATTGTTTGTTATAAGAAGAAATCGAGGGAGGAAAGGAGGAGATCCAATTGAGTCATTTTTAGTCGCTGAGTGCTGTATCACCTGCCACTCAGTTTTTTTCTTGGCTTATTTGGGAGAAATCATGACGTTGCCTGAGACCCCTTTAATGATGGTGTGGACTAGCTAATTGAGCCTTGCGGATTATGGTCTATTGCTGTTCCTTGTTGTCTTTCTTATGAAGTTACTTGATTGGGTATACAAGTGGGAACTAAGCGACGTAACTCATTCTTTTCGTTATTATCTCAGTGGTATGCTTGTCCAAGATCCCCAGAAAGTTAATGATGTAGATGCAATCTTCAATCAAGCTCGGCAGTTGGGAGCAGTAGAAGGGCCTGTCGATCATCTCCGTCCTGGCTCTAGCTCAACAAGCTTTACTGGAACTGGTAGATTGCTTTCTGGGGAAGTTGTGCCATCAGCTCCACAGCAGCCTGAGTCTGTTGTTCATAACATCATCTTCTGGAGCAATGGATTTACTGTGAATGATGGCCCCCTACGGAGGTTGGATGATCCCGAAAATGCACCTTTCTTGGAGGTACTGTGATGTAGGCTTCTATGAGATCTAGCGATGCGAATAATCTTTCTCCATGTGACCATGCTTTTTCTTCCACCTGATCGGTTTAGTGACGTTGTATTTGATAGCTCTAAGATTTGCACACTTCAGATTCTACCGCATAGCAGATCCAGATTCTTAGTTCTGCAATTTGGGACTGCCAAATCATTGGCGGGTGCAATCTTTACTTGATTATAGATAGTGCAATATGCTCTGTTGATCCGTAAATGTTAAAAGGGCCTTGGGAATATAACAAATCTGGTCCTGTGCATTGGATGGAAGATTCTGATGCATAATCTTCCCAACTTTAGTTTTGACTATCAAGATTGCGATGTCTGAAATTGTTGCTTGTTTTATCGACTTTCCATCTGTTGCAGAGCATTACAAAATCTGAGTGTCCAAAGGAGCTCGAGCCAGCAGATAGGAGGTCCTCTGTTCATGTAAATCTGATTAAGAGGGATGAGAAGTGCCCGGTAATTACCTAACTTTCATTTTTCCTATTTCTTGCTTCTGATTTCACTTTCTTGTTATGGCAGTTGCTTTATGTTCCTGCGAGAGTTAAAAATGATGTTGACTTAGTTACTCTAATAAGCTCTAGGTTCATATTCTGACTTCCGCAATTGTGGTCTTTTAGCAGAAAGCTGTTCCCCTCTATTTCACTGAGGGTGTTGGAAACTTCAATCCAGCTTTGTACTGCATTCGAAACACTTGTGCATACCTGTTCTAATTTGCCCCTGTCACCTTTCTTTCCCTTGGCTTGCAGGAACCAGAGAAGCAGCGGCAGGTTGCATTTCAAGGTGTAGGCAGAACTTTAGGTGGCAGTGCTACTCCAGTGGCGACAGAACCGGGTGTTGGTTCTTCCACCAATTTCACTGTTAATCCAACCCCTTCAACGGGTGTGGTTGTAGATGAGACATTACCATCAACTTCAGTACAGCTAAGAATGGCTGATGGGAGCCGCCTGATTGCCAACTTCAATTACCATCACACTGTTAATGACATACGCGGGTTTATTGATGCATCTAGGCCCGGAGCAGCACAGAATTATCAGCTGCAGATGATGGGATTCCCTCCTAAGCTTCTTAGCGATCCAACTCAGACAATAGAGCAGGCCGGCCTTGCAAATTCAGTTGTAATTCAGAAATTTTAAGCCAAGTCCTGCTACTGTGCTGCAAAAAAATTGTGGTGACTGGTGAGGGAACTGAATTGTTTAGAACCCTAATATCCTATAAGAGAGAAGCTTGGTTTTGTGGGGGAGGGGGGGTTTTCATGGATGGGAAACGAAGGAGAATTTTGTGGTGGGATGAATGTAATATTTCTGTTTGTGTATTTGTTTTCTGGTAAATACAATTCTTGTGTCTCTGGGACCAACCAACCCTGTACTCTTCTTCATTCATATTCCTCTGGTCTATTTGGCATGAACAGGATAACCAGATTTCGGATTAGATCTTGTGTGTGGTATGATACTGAACCATGAGTTTAGGTTGATGTGGATTCCTCTAAATTCGAAGGTGAAGTTTAATCATATATTTTCACTCTAATTTGTTCTAAATCATGGTTTGTGATACTATATTGAATTACAGTATCAATAGTCGAATCACAAAAATTGTCAAATGACAGTCAGACCAGGGCGATACATGCATATATAAGAAATGTAATGGTCCATGTAGTTCAATTAAATTGCTTAGTCACAATATGCCAATTGATATTACTAGTACTAGTTGATCAATCGATAATTATCATGAATCAATATTCTTTTTGTACCATTTTGACAACGATATCTTAATAATATATTGTTGATTGGACACAAATTTGTACCGACAAATAAAATTTATCTGTCTTGTACAATTTCACTCACTTATCACTCTAAATTCCGTACTTCTTCTAACGGTATTCCGTTATCTACCTTTTTTTTTTTTTTTTTTGCCTGTGCCCGGTGCCCCGGTCACGCTGCCCACCACGGTGGTAAGAGAAGTTGAAGAAGCCGCTGTCCGTGGCCGTAAAAATGAAAATGAAAAAAAATAAATATAAGGTCAAAGGTCGCGTCTTGTCAACCTCTTCGCACACTCTCACTCGCTCTGTTTTTTTATTTTTTTTTTTTTTTTGCTCCTTCATTTCCCCCTGGGGGTTCTTACTTTCTCTATGCCCTGTCGTTCTTTCTCCCCTTCTCTTCTTTCTTCTTTGTCGCTACCAAATGTGAAGGAGCTGCTGGGTAGAGCATGAGCTGAAGCCCTAGGGTTTCTTTTCCTTCTTCCCTTCTCCCGACAAGCAATCCAATCAGTCCAATCAATTAGATCCTCCAGTTACGTATCTTACTCTAGCATAGATTTCTTACCCCCCTTCCATCATTCCTTCCATGGCTAAAACCAGGCCAGGCCTCGCCTCCAGCAACGCCAAGCCCAAAGCTACTGCTAGTGCTGCTGGCGGCAAGAAGGAGCTCGACTCCTACACCATTCGCGGCACAACCAAAGTCGTCAAAGGTAAAAATGGGCTCTCTTCGCTCTCCCTGGTCTTTTCCATTCTCCTTTCCAGCTTTGCTCTCAATAATGGGGGATTGCATAATGTCGGTTTGTTGCATTTCAATGTCAAATACCCAGTTGGCGAATGCGTGCTGATGAGACCTTCCGACACTGGGAAGCCCCCTTACGTTGCCAGAATCGAGGGCATCGATTCAGACTCCAGAAACAATGTCAAGGTCCGGGTCAGGTGGTACTACCGGCCTGAGGAGTCTCTCGGTGGCCGACGCCAGTTCCATGGCGCCAAAGAGCTCTTTCTTTCTGACCACCACGACGTCCAGAGCGCCCACACAATCGAGGGGAAATGTACTGTTCATTCTTTTAAGAACTATACCAAACTCGAGAATGTTGGCGCCGAGGACTACTTCTGTAGGTTCGAGTATAAAGCTGCTACTGGAGGCTTCACACCAGACCGTGTTGCTGTGTGAGTTTGTTTTGCTCGACAATTTTTCTGTTCCACAATTCGCTCCTTAGTCCTTACCCTTTGTTGGGTTTATCATTAACCTGTTGCTCCTTGGTTTTTTTTTTGGGCCCTTTAGGTATTGCAAATGTGAGATGCCATATAACCCGGATGACCTTATGGTCCAATGCGAGGAGTGCAAGGACTGGTAAAGTTACTTCCTTTGTGTAATTTTCGCATAATCAATTGCTT